TTTTTAAAAGACCCAACGATATGTTATCTACAAGAAAAACACTTTAAATGTAAAGACTCGGATAGCTAGAGAAGGATACACCATGCTAATGCTCATCAAAAGAAAGCTGGAGGGCTTCCCTAGTGGCGCAGTGGTTAAGAATCCGCCCTGCCAATGCAGGGGACATGGGTTCGAGCGCTGCTCTGGGAAGATCCCACATGCCACGGAGCAACTAAGCCCGTGCGCCACAACTACTGAGCCTGCGCTCTAGAGCCCGCGAGCAACAACTACTGAGCCCACGTGCCACAACTACTGAAGCCCACGTGCCTAGAGCCCGTGCTTTGCAACAAGAGAGCCACCACAATGAGAAGCCTGCGCACCGCAATGAAGAGTAGACCCCGCTCGCCGCAACTAGAGAAAGCCCGCATGCAGCAACAAAAGACCCAACTCAGCCGAAAAAAATAAATAGATAAATAAATTTAAAAAAAGAAAGAAAGAAAGCTGGAATAGTTGTATAAATTTCAGACAAAGCAGACTTCATTACAAGGAAAATTATCAGAGATAAAGAGATGCATTACATAATGATAAAGGAGTCCTTTGTCCAAGAAAACATACAATCCTAAATGTGGATGCACCTAACAATAGAGTGTCAAAAGACATGAGGCAAAAAGTGATACATCTGAAAGGAAAAATAGACAAATCTAGTATTATAGTTGGAGACTTTAACACCCCTTGTTCATGAACTTCAGCAGGTAGAAAATCAATAAGGATATAGTTGACCTGAATGGCACTAGCAATCAACTTAATCTAATTAACATTTATAGACTACTCCACCCAACAATAGCAGAATACACATCCTGCTCTCAATATCACATGGAAGAGTCACTAAGATAGACCACATTCTGGGCTATAAAACACACCTCGACAAATTTAAAGGAATAGAATATATGCAAAGTATGTTTTCAGACTACAGTGGAGTGAAACTAGAAAGCAATAAAAATAAGACAACTGGAAAATCCCAAGTTATTTGGAAATTAAACAACACACTTCTAAATAACACACAAGTCAAAGAAGAAGTTTCAAGAGAAGTTAAAAATTGCTTTGAACTAAATAAAAATGAAAATATATCATCAAAATTTGAGGGATGCAGTGAAACCAGTGCTTAGAGGGAAATCTATAACATTAAGTGCATATATTAGAAAAGAAGAAAGATCTGATATCAATACCAATATTCTACCTCAGGACACCAGAGAAAGAAAAAAAATTTAAGCTCAAAGCAAGCAGAAAAACAGAAATAATAAAAGAGCAGGATCAATGAAATTGAAAATAGCAAAACAAGAGAGAATCAATAAAGCCAAAAACTGGTTCCTTGAAAAGGTCAATAAAATTAATAAACCTGCAGCCATGCTCACCAAGGAAAAAAGAGAGAAGACACCAATTACCAACAGCAGAAATGGAGAGATCACCACTACTGATCCCAGGGACATTAAAAGGATAATAAAGAAATACTGCAGATACCTCTAAGCCCACAGATTTGATAACTTTAGATAAAATAGACTAATTTTATAAAAGACACAAAACTCACACAAGGACAAACAGACCATCTGAATATGGCTATACCTATTGAAGAAATTTATTCAATGATTAATAACCCTCCAAAAAAAAAGCACCAGATCCAGATGATTTATTGGTGAATTCTATGAAACATTCAAGGAAGAAATGATACAAATTCTCTACAATATCTTCCAGAAAAATCGAAGCAGAGGGATCACTTCCTAACTCATCCTATGAGGCCAGTATTACCCTAATACCCAAACCAGAAAAAGACATTGCCAAGGAAAACTACAGACCAGTATCTCTTATGAAAATAGAAACCAAATCCTCAAAAAAAAAAAATTAGTAACTCAAAAACAACAATGTATAAACAAAATTATATACTACAAGTATATACAAGTATATAATTTACCTGGGATTTATTCCAGGTATGCAAGACTGGTTCAACATTTGAAAATCAATCAATGACATCCATCACAACAGGCTAAGAAGAAAAATCACATGATCATATATCAGTTGATGCAGAAAAAGCATTTAACAAAATTCAATACCCATTCATGATAAAAACTCCTAGGAATAGAGGGGAACGTCCTCAAGTTGGTAAAGAAAATTTACTTTTAAAAAGTTTTAAACGAACTGCAGTTATCTTCATATTTAATGTTAAGAAATTAGATGCTTTCCCCTTAAGGTCAGAAACAAGTAAAAATGTCTCCTCTTACCACGCTTATTCGACATCATACTGAAAGTCCTAGCTAATGAAATAAAACAAGAAAAGGAAATAAAATTTATAAAGACTGGAAAGGAAGAAATAAGCTCTTTATTCACAGATGACATAATTGTCTATGTAGAAAATCCCAAACAAATGCCAAAAAGAAAAAAAAAAACCTTTCTGGAACTAATAAGCAAGCACAGTTGCAGGATAGAAGGTTAGTATATAAAAGTCAGTCGCTTTCCTATATACCAGCAATGAACAAATGGAATTTGATAAAAACAAAAACAAACTTCATTTACAATAACACATACACACACAAAGAGAAATACTTTGGTATAAGTTAGTATGAACTCATGTTTTGCTTATTATAAATACAGATAGTTAATATAGAAATACAGTTCTGTCTGGGATGAGTCCTAGGAATCTGCATTTTAAACTGGCATCCCAAGGTGATTCTGATGTAGGCAGTCCAAAGACCACACTTTGAGAAGCACAGAGTAGCTGAATACAGTTGAAACAAATGGACTCCTCAATTGCCAGGCAGTAAGGTATCTTTGAGCAAACTGCTTCTCCCTGTAGGGAGTGTGTCTGGTCAGCATGGACCTTTTTGTTTACACAGAAGTGACACATCACTAATGAACCAGCCTTAGGCAAGAAGTTAAGAAGGCAAATCTCTAGCCTCCTGCAGCCTCCTATGTCATAACTGTTCACCAGCTTCCAGGGAACTCTCCTTGAAACTGTGAGCCCTAGTCCTCTTCACCACTCCACTTTCCCACCCCCAGAATACCTGCTCTCGAGAAGAAACATCAATTATTCCTTACTGTTTTACTACGAATTTAAGTCAGTGCATTAGCTCTCTTAAAAATATTTACTGTCTCAGGGATCTATAAAGTATTAAATAATCTCTAGTTCAGGAATAGAAAATAACAGCTCCAGTTTCAGGAGGAAGCAGGAAAGTATTTTGGGGGCAAATGGGTAGGAGAATGTTGATAAGCCACTTGCTCAGATCCGGGATCTGTGGCCTCAGGCTCTGGACCACTTGACCTCCCATCCCCAAGAGCTGTCTCCTGAAGCCCCGTCCCTCCTATCCCTACCTTTGGCCTTTTCCACATGATGGCCTTCATCTTGGTTTTCTGGCTCAGCTCATGGGAGCCCAGGGACTGAACACCTGCTGGGAACACACGGTCTTCAAAGAGGCACTTCTGAGCCAGGCACCGTTGTCTGAGAACAACAAAATCCTGCCCCTCATACTTGAGGGGCCGTGTGGCGGTGCCTTCTCCGTTTCTCCTGTTCCTCTCCCGGATCACACGGTCACAGAAGAATCCTGGCAGCAGGTAGGGCATGGTGACCACTCAGGGAGTGGAGCTGGGACTTCACTGTGGCCTCTCTCCTGCTGCGCCCTCAGTCCAAGGCCTAATCCTCCCGTGAATGGGCCGGAGCCTATATAGCTCCTCCACTCTCAGCAGCGCAATGCAAATGAACACAGCCCAGAGAAAGGCCGTGGTCAGAGTCAGCAGCTTTGGCTGGAGGCCCCTGAGCCCACGGTCAAGGGGCAACACCATGCCAGTCAGACAGGGAGTTGGCAAGGGGAGCGAGAGAGCCAGGGACAGCCCCAGGACAGGCCACAAGACCTGCAGACCTTCAGGCTACTTCCATCAGCCTTGCTGGGATTCTTTCTTTAAAAAGAGAAAATATAGTTACAGAGAGGCTTACCCTGCCTCAGCAAAAGGCATTCATGCCTTTAACACTGGCGGCCAATGGGATATAGCATGGGGCCTTCGAAACATGCTGTATACACTAATCCTATACAGGCTCCTGAATGCATAGGAGGATTCTGTTCCGGGCCATTGTCTGAGGTTAATGAAGCCTTCATTCTCCTGATGTCCCTGCCCCATCCCCCCAAAGACCTTGACTGGCCATTTAGGGACTCTAATCTGTGAGAGGGACCCAGAGGGTAGGTAGCTTGACCTCAAATGAGAGTCCCTGTTAGAGTGGGTTCCAGTGCAGTGAACAGACATCCACGGTTGTGAGTTCAGGACCTTTGAGGCAGAGAAAGTGGTAGATGGGGAAGGAGGATAAATGTGTGTTGGAATATATTCACAAGAAAACTGAGCTTTTTCAAAATTTCACCATGCACAGACGGGCAACTCGAGAGTAAGGGCAGCCTTCCCACTAGGAGGATGCCGTCTCCCTGTCCACTTGTTCATTCTTGTCAGTTTTTGTCAGTGCTTCTTGAAGTGTGGTCTTTGGACTACCTGCATCAGAATCACCTGGGATGCAAGTTTAAAAGGCAGATTCTAGGGCTTACCCCAGACCTAAGGATTCAGATCCTCTTGGTAGGGGTTTGGGACTCTGCAATTTAAATAAGCACATCAGAGATTCTATGTTCACTAGTGTTTGAAACCATGACATTGGCTTTACAGGACACTATAATAGCTCAACGTAATTCTTTTTTTTTTTTTTTTTTTTTTTTTTTGCGGTATGTGGGCCTCTCACTGTTGTGGCCTCTCCCGTTGTGGAGCACAGGCTCCGGACGCGCAGGCCCAGCAGCCATGGCTCATGGGGCCCAGCCACTCCGCGGCATGCGGGATCCTCCCGGACCGGGGCACGAACCCACGTCCCCTGCATCGGCAGGTGGACTCTCAACCATTGCGCCACCAGGAAAGCCCTCAACGTAATTCTTGAGGTCAGTTTTTTTAAGAAATAATTTTATTTTTATTCAGTTTATACATGAACAAAGTTTTAAAAAGTCAAACAAAAGTTACCTAGAGGAATAGCAGTCTCTTGCCCTGCAAATTTCTCTCCTCAGAGACAGCCACTTTTAATTCTTTTAGCTCTTTCTTCTGGTATTTACCTCTATATTTCTAAATAATATGCTAATATTATTACTTTTTAATTTATTATTTTTACAAAGTATCAATAGAATTCCTATTTGGGGGAATGAGATTTAGGTTTCTCACATTATGCTCTGCCCATCGTCTTCCCAAAATACTTATGTCATAAATTTTAGAGAAATTAAAATTCATTATTTCCTTTAATATAATTAAATATTGTTCACTTCTTAACTAAGTAGTATGCTGTGTTACATTTCCTTTCTGTATAAATGTTTCTTTTCTCTTATTCTTTATCATTCTCTGATTTTTTTATGTATCCATCAGTGCTTTTCTTCAGCAGTAGTTTTTACAAATACTTAAATGCATAGATAACCTAGAGGTTCATTGCTCCCCAACCTAGGGCCTTTCTTTGCAGCCCTTCTCCCCTACAGACCAGACCAGCAATCTTCCAGGTCTGGAGCAGTGGCCTGGGACTGACTGCCCTTCTCCTGGGTGGAAATCTGTTTCCTGGATTTTAACCCTTCTTTGGTTCACTCCTCGATTTTACTGGCACACAACTTGCAGTTTTCGTAAGAATGGATGAGTGGGAGGTAAGTCACTTGAGTCCTTGCCCATCTATCTCTTTTCTATCTTTGCACTTGATTGAAAATTTGTCTAGGTGTTTTAGGTTGAAAATCAGTTTCCTTCAGAAGTTTTAAGGCATTGTCTCATTGCTCCTGGCATCTGGTGTTGAGAAGTATGATGCAATTTTTATGAACATTCCTTTGTATGTGACCTGTCTTTTCCCTCTGAAAGCTTTTAGGGTTTTCTCCCTTCTCCCTCTCCCCAACAATCCCCCACCCCAATTCCAAAAGCTACATTTGTGTGTCTTGGTATGAGTTTATTTATTTTTAAAATTCTTTGTGCTGAGCGCTCAGTGACTCCTTTCAAGGTAGAGAATTTTGTCCCCAGTTCTGGGATATTCTTATATTATTTCTTTTACATTTCTCTCCCTTTCAATTATTTTTTCTCCCTTTCTTCCTTTCTCTCTTTCTTTTTTTCCTTTTCCTTGATTTTATATTTTAACCCTGTTATTGAAATGTTAGATTTTAGCTATCACAGTTTTTTAGCTTTTTATTATGAAAAATTTCAAACTTGCAGAAAAGTTTAAAGAATGGACACCCATATAGCTTACATCTACATTCAACAATTGTTAACATTTTGCCATCTTTGTTTTACCTATCTATATATGTATGCATAGATTTTATTATTTTTTTGCTGAACCATTTGAAAGAGTGTTGTTCATACAATGACAGTTTACACCTAAATACTTAGGGATATACTTAGGATACACCAGGCATCTCCTAAAGACAAGAACACTCTCCTACTGACCATAATGCCATTATCACTAAGAAAATTAACTACTGCTCTCTAATATTATCCAAGATCCAAATCCCTGTGATAATTTTTTCAGTTGTTCCCCAAATGTCTTTTATAGATGCTTTTATTTTTTGAACCAGTATCCAATTAATGTTCACAGTGAAATTTAATAATTCAATAATTGGATTAGGTGGTGTTAAAGTGGGAATTAGTGAATTGGAAGCTACTTCAGAAGAAATCACGTAGAATACCACACAGAGAATCAAAGATGGGAAATTTTTTTAAAAAAGAGGTTAAGATATATGTGATAGAGCAAGATAAGATCAGCATATATTTCATTGGAGTTCTAGAAGAAGATAATAGAAAATATGGGGAGAAATAATATTCTAAGAGATTTTCTACAATGGATTAATGACTCCAATCCTCAGATTCAAGATCCCAATGAATCCTAAGCAGGAAAGATATAAAGAAATACACGTTTAGACACAACAATGCAGAATACCATAGACAGAGAGGAGTTTGAAAGCAGTCAGAGAGAAAAGGCAGATGGCCTATTAAGGGATACCAAATAGAATGATTGCTGACTTCAACAACAACGTAATCCAGAGGACAGCACTGAGAATAAACCTAGGGCTGATTACTCAGGAAAAGTATTTTAAGAGTGACAGCAAATTTCACACAAATAAAAATTGAAACGCTTACTACAAACAGACCCCCACTAAAGGAACTTTTAAACAATGTACTTTAGGAAAAAGTAAAATTATTCTAGATAGAAAAGTCTAAGACTCAGGAAGGATCAGTAAACAAAGAAATTGGCAAATGTGTGTAAATTTAAGCAAATATTGAAAAATTACAATATTTTCTAATTTTAAGGTTGAAAAATCAAGATAGAGATAAAATTCTGAACAACCATGGCATATTAGTTAGAAGAGGAGTAGTTAAAGTGCTCTATGTTCCTCATATTATTTATGAGAAAAATAATGGTATTGATATTTCAGGCTTCGTCAAGATAATATGTATGCTAACAATTTAAGGCAACCACTGAAAAGACAGAAACAATCAATAACTTCCAAACTAGTAGAAAGAAAAAAAAAATGAGAGAAAGCACTTTTAATCAATTAAAAGGACATAAAGAGGAAAACAGGAACATTTCAAAAGAAATACAAACAGAAAGGTTATAGTTAGGAAGATAGAAATAAACCCAAAGTACATCAAAGCTCATAATCAATGTAAATAGACTAAAATCTCCAGTTAAAAGACAAAGGTTTTGGACTTCCCTGATGGTCCAGTGGTTAAGAATCCGCCTTCCAATGCAGGGGACCCGGGTTTGATCCCTGGTCAGGGAACTAAGATCCCACATGCCGCAGGACAACTAAGCCCCCACACGCAACTACTGAGCCCATGCACCACATCAGGACATAGAAATGTTGAAAGTAAAAGAATGAAAAAAATATATATCAAGCAAAAACTTGCCCCCAAAGTTGCTGTATCTACATTAATATCCAATATGATTGACTTTAGAGAAAAAAAAAAAAGGTTTTTAAAGAGATAAAATGGTTACTAAAAATTCCTAGAAGAATAAATATTACCACTGACTCAAGAAGAAAAACAATTTCAAATGATCCCATTATTATTGAAGAGGCTGTATTTTCATTAGTAAATAAAATCTTCCCTTAAAGAAAACACTGGCAAAATTCTACCAAATATTTAAGAAGCATATAGCTTCCATCTTACACAGTCTCTTCACAGAATAGAAGAAAGAACATTCCCCACTCATTTTAGGAGGTTAATATAACCTTGATCCCAAAATGGGACAGCACCAGAAAGGGAAATATTAAGCCAATCTCACTAATGATCATATATGCAAAAACCTAAATAAAGGATTTGTAAGCCAAAATTCAGTGACATGCAAAAATGATAATACATTCTAAGTTTGTTTTATTCTAAGAATGCAAGGGGTCAATACTAGAAAACTCTATGAATGTAATTTTGTATATTAACTGTTTAAAGAAGGAAAAATCACGATTTTCTCAATAAATGCAGAAAAAGTATTAAAGTTCAACAACCATTTATGATTTTAAAAGAAACTCTTAGCAAAGCAGGAATAGAGGGGAACTTTCTTAATGATAAGTTGTTTCTAAAAATCAATGTGTAGAAAATCTATTCAACAGTGAAACATTAAGAATACACCCTTTAAAATGGGAAACCTGAGGAAGATGCCTGCTATCTCCTTAGTTATTAACATTATGCTAGAGGGTTTCGCCAGTGCAATAAAACACGAATTAGCCTGCTGAATACAGTTGTGCATAATGCACTGGGTAGCTCCATCATTATTTTCACGTGACCTAACTATTTATACAGAAACATAGACTCTATAGACAAATAACTTGGGATCAATAATCAAATTATTAGAATTACTAGGAGTTTAGTGGGAGTTCCCTGGCAGTCCAGTGGTTACTCGGGCTCGGCACTTTCACTGCTGTGGCCCGGGTTCAATCCCTGGTATCCTGCAAGCCATGTGGCTCGGCCAAGAGGAAAAAAAAAAGGCTTATTGGCACAAGGTGTGTTAGCACAAAGATAAACACACACAATGGAACACAACAGAGAGCGCAGAAACAGAGCCACGCATTGATAGATATTTGATTTATTTAAAAAGTGTCATGTAAAAGGGATTGTCTTTTTAATGAATTGTGCTGGAAACTTTGAATATCCATATGGAAAAACAACAAAATGTGATCCCTATCTTATATGCAAAAATAATTTCTAGATGTATTATAGACCCAAATATGAAGGCAGAAAAATAAAGTTTCTAAATGATAATAAAAAGGAATTACTTTGGTTTAGGAAAAACATTCTTAACAGAACACAAAAAGCACTAACTATAAAGGAAAAAATAAATTAAGAATTAATTTAGAACTTCTAATTAAGAGCTTTTAATTTAGAATTTTTTAAGTAAAAAAATACCCTTAAAAGAGGGAAAAGTTTGGACTTCCCTGGCAGTCCAGTGGTTAAGACTCTGCGCTTCCAATGCAGGGGGCGCGGGTTCGATCCCTGGTCAGGGAGATAAGATCCCACATGCCACGTGGTGTGGCCAAAAAATGGGAAAAAAAGCACATCTAAACAATAAATGATTAGTATCCAGGATACATAAAGAATGCTTATAATTCAAGTTGAAAAAAACAAACGACTCAATAGAAAAATGAGCGAAAGACATTAACAGCTATTTCGTGGACAGCAAGATGAATAATCAAGAACTACATGAATTATGAAAAGATGCTCTTCTTTATTCATAATCAATGAAATGCATCTTCTCATACCTTTCTTGGCTATTTCTGTCTCTGCCCCTCCCATTCTCAGAGCTCTACTGCTGAGTTATTTCAGCTTGTTCCTCCCATGATGTCTAGAGTCCTGTCTCCATCACGACTTTCAGGAGGAGCTGCTGTCTTGCGGAATATAATGGGAGGCAGTCCTAAATGTTATCGATATTTATAGAATTGTCACACTTTCGCCAAAACTTATGCTTCCCCAGCCCCACTCCAGGATGGCACTGTGATGATTCTCTGCTGAGTAGAGAGGGGGCTGGCTCTCAACTGGGTACCTCATTTTGCCTTTCACTTACCATCACCGCTATTGACAATCGCGCTAAGCAAGTCATGTACGGTATCTCATTTAATCCTTACAACAACTCTATGAAAGTAGGAATTTTCATTTTCTTTTCACATGGGAGGAAACTGAGACCCAGAAATGGTCCGTAACTTGCCTGAGGTCACATTGGTAAGAGGGGGAGCCGGGATCTGAATCCAGTTTCTTTGACTTGAAAGCCTGTGCACTTCGTCACCGTGTTGTGCTCCTGTCCTCAGCTGCCTATCCTAATATTGCTACCTAACCTTGAGCACCTACTAGGATTTTATGGATACTCAGATACAGCCATATGATGAGAATATCACTATGTGCATTATAGAAGAGAAACTCGAAACTTGGAAAGTTTATGTGACTTGCTAGGGGCAGAGCCAAGGTTCAGACCAGGTCTGTTTGGTTCTAAATCCAGCTGTCTTAACCACTCTGCACCATGCCCCCAATTCTTCCTTTTAGCGGCTAGCCCAGGGATCCCCACTTCTTTCTAAACTGTCTGACAGATGATGACACTAAAACAGATTACAAGCAGACCTCCCAGCTGGTTTTACTGGAAAGATAATATCCCTGAGAGAAGCAGCTGCACAGCGACTGGGCTCTAGGCCCAGAAACAGAGGGCTCACTGCACACAGCATCGGTGTTTCTGTAGCTCTGCTCCCTCCCTCTCATCTCACACTGGAATGAAATAAATTTATTTTGTGCCAAACTAGGATTTCTTCTTTTCGGAATTGAGTAACTCAGGTCACGTGACCCCCTGCGGGGAAGTTACCCAGGGTGGGGTGTTAATTATAGAGGTGATGGGCATGTGGAAGAGGTCGTTAGAGCAACAGACCTGTCCCCACAGATTGTCAGAAAACTTTCAACTTCAGAGCGCTGATGTAAAGGCCAAGCACTGGGTCCCAGGAAGTCAACAGGCAGCTGTCTTCTACATTTCACTCCTTTTCTTTAACTCTAGTTCAGACTAAAAGGAACCAGCCTCCTTGAAGAAATGATTCATTCCAGATCTAGAGCAAGAAATGTACAAGATGAGCCTGAGACTTTTTGTTGTGGCCAGAAAACAAGGAAGCTATTGAAAATGAATGGGGTCATGTCAAATGATACAGGCAACTTGTAGGAGGCTCCCATTGTCTGAAGATGGGACAATTTGATCATCAAAAAGAATAATGACTGTAATAGATTAAACTATGTTGCAGTGTTTCCTGCTGATCACACTGTTCATAGGGTATTATCTCAAGCTGTGATACCTAGGAATAGAGAGAACATAGGAATACTGTTGATTCTCATTATTCATGGTAGTTACGTTCTATAAAGTCACTGTGACTGTGAGTGCTCAATTAGTGAATATTGAGTCATTGCACCTGGAGGAAATACAGCATTAGATTCCTGGGTGTCTACCGTCAATACATAACCTTATTTTCTGTGTGTTTCTGTGTAAAGACACCTTATTTAATATATATATTAATTCATTAACATTGAACTCACAGCACTATAGCTCATGCCTGAATGAAGCTTATCTAACACATGTATTTTCTCGCCAAGGCACATCACAGCCTTCTTGCACTTAGGAACACTAAATAGCACTTCAGCACTACACGTTGGGGGACATTTTATTTATTTATTTATTTATTTGCCCTCAGCCTGTTTGCTTCATTTTTTTTTAAAACATGTTTACTCTTCTTTTTTTTTTTAATTTTATTTTTGGCTGTGTTGGGTCTTTGCTGCTGTGCGTGGGCTTTCTCTAGTAGCGGCGAGCACGGGCTACTCTTTGTTGCTGTGTGCAGGCTTCTCATTGCGGTGGCTTCTCTTGTTGTGGAGCACGGGCTCTAGGCATGCGGGCTTCAGTAGTGTGGCACGCGGCCTCAGTAGTTGTGGCCCAAGGGCTCTAGAGCGCAGGCTCAGTAGTTGTGGCATATGGGCTTAGTTGTTCCGCGGCATGTGGGATCTTCCCGGACCAGGGCTTGAACCTGTGTCCCCTGCATTGGCAGGCAGATTCTTAACCATTGTGCCACCAGGGAAGTCTTCATCAGGGACATTTTAAACAGAGAAAAAACGTGGCACCAGACTATGAAAACGATACTTGGTTATAGTCTGAGAGCTGAAACTAAAAGGCAGAGGGTAACCTTGTCTGACTTCAGCTGGGAACATGCATGGAGGGAGACTCAAATTTTTCACTGCCCTACACATGTCAGCAAATGACCGAAGAGGCACCATGGATATTGATTTGGGGGTTACAAATACATTTCAGTGAGTAGGTGAATTCACAAATACAGAATCCACAAGTCCTGAGGATTGACTGTATGTGGATCATAGCATTGACAACTCCAGGGTTGGAAAAATCACACCTATGGGGTAGAGTCGAGAAGTTTTATGACTATTTGATCTGAAGCAACTAAAGGAAGGATGGCATTATTCACGAATAAGGAGAATTACTATACAGAGGAAATCAGCTGACTCAATTTCACTGTCTGCTGGATCAGGGCCAGATATAATGTGCTAAAATTGTGGCCGGAAGAGTTCTGGCTAGAAATAAGGGTGAACTTTCAGACTGAGAAAGTACTAACTATAGGTTAATAAAGGAGGTGGGGGCATCGTTTTCCCTTCAAAACCTTAACATCAGGAAAGAAGTCCATCTACCTGGAGTGGCAAAAAGTAGTAGTTCCCAAACATTTTTCAAGCCTATGATTTATAAGGAGTTTTTTTTATAGCAGCTTTGATACTGCTTTATAATATATACTCTCTATTCCTGGTGCTCTTGGAGGGTATAATACACTCCTAAAAGTTCTGATGGTGATTATTTAAACCTGAAGTTTGGTTGAAACTGGTAAAGCAAGTGTCAGCTTCTCTTAAGCAGTATGCTTCCCAGGTGTTAGCTGAGGGCTCATGGTTCCTTGGAGATCCTGAATCCCCACATCATAGCCTCTGAGAGGTCAGACCCTCCTCCCTCCCACCACAGTTCGGCGGGTTCCGGGCAGCTTGCTTCTTTATGCTTCTGTCTTTCCCCACTCCTGTGCTTTCCACATTCTGACTTCCTGGTGTGCTGGCCCAGTTCGGCCTGTGTAAATCAAGACGCTAACTTCCGCCCTTTACTGAGAAAAGTTATATACTTGCCTCCGGCGTTTCACAAGTTCATTGGTAAAGAGGTCTTTGAGGGTCAGGTCAAGGGGAGGGATGACCCTCACCTGTGTGGTCTCCTGCCCTGTTGCTTCCCCCACCCCCCTTTGGTTTCTGTTCTAGCTCTCCTTCCTCTTGTAAGTAAATCAGCATTTTTTTTTTCCTTTTTTTTCCCCTAGAAAACAACCATGTCCAGCCCCCTTCCTATAACTACAAGAATCTTCCGACTTTTTCCTGATGTGTTTTCCTCTTGAAGAGAAAAGCTGACGATTCAGCCACGGTAAGGATTCACATATAAACACATCTGGATAAATATGTATAAAATATCAAAGATAATTTTGTAGTGGTAACAAGACCTAACCTGAAGAATGTAGTGGTTTATTTTATTTTTTAATTTTTGTCTGGTGTAACAGCTTGGGACAAGGGAGAAGTTAGCTCTGCCTGGATGCTGGGGACTTGGGAAGGGGTAAGAGACCAGGTCAGACAGAGAGCAGCAAAGCCCAGCTGGTGGGGTTGGATTCAGGCTGCTAGGCAGCAGAGGAGAAGGAAATGGTTTGGGAAAAGGAGTAGGAAGGGGATGGCAGGACTGTGAGTTAAGGGGGAAAGGGGTCTTATTTGTCTATTCTAAAGGTACTTTTCCCCCCTCATATTTTAACATCCCTGAAATTGTGATGCATGTTATATTAGAAAGCCTCCTCCAATTGCATTCAGCTGGGTGGTGGTCGTGACCTTCCGTGGATACTCTGATAAGATCTTAGTACCAGCATCAAAATCTTCTAGTCTTGTTGAAAGATGGTTCATGATAAATTACAACTTGGGAAACTTACCTAAACTCTAGCCTTAAAAAGAGTGTAAATCAAGAGACTTCCAGGTATGGAAACTATAGGAAATAAAGTCACCTGCTCAGAATATAAAGGGGCTGCTGTCTGTCTGGGAAAGAGGTTTCCTCAGGTCTAGGTGTTGGCAGAGGGAGCTAGCTGACCCAAGGAGTGCAGGAGAGCAGGGCTGAGAGCCAGGTTAGACCAACCAGGGCAAAGCACAGTTGGATATGGGGTTGTAATAATAATAACAGGTAAGAGGGAAGGCATACACCAGAGGAATGTGGGTGAAGTTGGGACCCAGCTCCGAACTGGCAAAGGGTCAGGCTCTGAAAAGATGGAGCCATGGGGACAGGACCTGAGGGGAAGAGGCAGCTAGGCAGCCTATGGCTGGAGGCCCAGCCATTGCCGGTCAGTTATAAAGCACTGGATCTGGAGATAAAGGAAAGATGGTAAATTCCCCCAACCCCCCAGAACCAGTGGAAACAAAGCTGAACAGAAAGTGGCTCAGGGAAAATGCAGAATCCCAGCTATCAGCCCCAGGAGCTTAGACGGCAGAGGAGGAAGGGAAAACAGATTTCCTAGGGAAAGAGCTGACGGGATAAATTGGGGGTGGCTGTCCATCAATGATGCAGTTTTGACCTCAACTCAGCTGTGAATGGGAGGCCCAAATAGGTTATAACCTCTCCTGGCAGAGCCAAGAGACACTGAGGCTGTATCCATCACGTGCAGTTTAACCTGAAGTCTGACTTAACCTGGTTCCCAAATAGGTGGACTCCTGCTTCTCTGGGGTCCAGGTTAGGGTGGGGCTGGAATGAGATGGAATTTCCTGAAAGGTGACTCTGCCTAGAGCCAGAGACAGGGGAGGCTCAGGAACACGTTGCCAGTCTCTGTTGTTGGCGGCCTTAGTGAGCTGAGCTGACTCAGAGGGTTAGCACTGCATAGAATCTTCTATGCAGAATCCTTGCACAGAATCCTTGTGCCCTGAACCACGAGAGGATGTGAGTCAACTTGCCTATGGAGGGGCCCTCGCCGGGAAGGGCAGAGGCACCAAGAAGGGAGATGCTGCCTCCCAAGGGAGAATTCCCTCGTGGGCTTCTGGGTCTCCGTGGAGTGATCTGGGGGTCCTGCATTCCCAAGGGAAGGAGGGTAGCAGATGCACAAGGTCTTGCAGCTGGCCCGTGTCCCATCCCTCCAAAAGCAAAAGGGATCTAGGTTGCCCCTGATTTTAAGAGTGATTGCAGGAGAGTATGGAGAAATAACCTGGAATGCACAAGGCAAAGGCAGATGGGGAAAATGGGAGCATTTGCTCACCGCCTTATTCCAGAGGTTGTCATAGCCGATAACCGAGTGAGCAGCCAAGTTCCCCGACCCAGTGTGATTCCCCCTTTATGTGGTCACCTTCACCCTCGAATGATGCACTCACATTTCACAATCACACACACATTTTGTATTTGATGGGGATGACTGTAATGGCCCAAAAGGACAGGCAGTTTCCTGCCCACGAGGGGATGGTTCATACGCATATCCTCTTGTTCAGTTGGACCGATTCACTTAGATCAGGCACGAGATACTCAAACACATTGCTTTGAGTAGTATCCTGACTGGTCTAAAGGCTGTGTATGAGAAGACTTAGAACAACAGAGCAGCTGAATGTGTAGGGGCCCAGGAGAGAGGGTGACGGAGAGATGGACAGGGAGGCCGGGGCTGACTGGAGAAGGGCCTATAGCCCAGGTAAGGAGTTTGGACTTATCTGAAAACACAGGGGGAGGGGAGAACAGTGTCATTGAAGATATTTCATCAGGGATGCGACGTGTCCCAGTTCCCTCGCAATAGGGCAGTGATTGGGTTGGAGAATGAAGTTCTTTCCAGTCCTCCCTTCCAAACTGAGGGCCCTCAGGACAGTCACGGGCCTGAGCATAGAGCCGGCAGGGAAGGAAAGGGGCCCTTGTGGAACACACAGGGTGAGGACAGGGTTGTTGGATATTTAACCTGGATATTTCATCTCAGGTTAAAAGGAAACACATGGCTTGGGACTTCCCTGGCGGTCCAGTGGTTAGGACTCCGCGCTTTCACTGCCGAGTGTCCGGGTCCAATCCCTGGTCAGGGAACTAAGATCCCACAAGCTGCACTGTGGCCAAAACAAAAGAAACACATGGCTCATGAATAGCACTGGGCCTCAGTTTAACCTGATGAAGCTCATGAATAGCACTGGGGCTCAGATGAAATGGTTTCCTCAGGAGGGTTTCTCTCCCTGGCCTGGGTTAGCTCTCCTTTGCCTTCTGAAGCGCCCTGAAACTCATCACTCTTGTTCAAAGCCTGTCTTGCCTTCAGGACTCTAGGCTCCAGGAGAGCAGGAAGTTTTGTTTTCCTTATTTACGCTGTCTCCTCAGTTGCTTGCCTGGTTTCTGGCTCTAGAAGATGTTCAATAAAGATTTCTTGAATTAAGGACAAGAGTCATGCTGGAGGTGTGATCAGAGCAGGGAGCCGGGGGAATGTGACTTTCCTCACTTTCCTTTCCTGACTATTCCTGGAATAGTCACTAAAAGAAACAGGGTTTTAATCCAGGCTGTCATGCGTGCCCTGGATGTACTTCACTCTGGTGTGCCTTTATCTCCTCATTTGTGAGGTGAGGTAGATGGACTCAAATGATTGCAAGGGATTCTCCTTCTAATCCTAACATTTTGTGCATGAAAAAGTAGTCTTTGCTGCCACTCTCCTCTTTCCAGGGTTCTTTCCATTTCAGAAAGACATGGCTACTGGCAAACTTAAAAGAACATCATGATTTTAGCCCTTCAGTAAGAAAGTGAAGGAATCTTATAAAGATGCAAGATACTTAAACAGGAGGGTAGATCTGGACTACTCTCCAGGTCAGAATTTTGGAATTTGTTTGGAAATTCCAGTTTGGAATTTGTTCTGGGAAAGGAATATTTACTTTTATAGGGTGAATTAAACTGACTTCCAATTGCTTTCATAAAGAGCAAGGGTTTTTTTTGAGAGAGAGAGCAGAGAGTGAGAATCAGCCCTGCCTCACCTGAGGACAGAGCCCTGCAGGGCTACTGCCAGGATCCTTCGCCCAGTGCCCCGTGCACCACAGAGCTGTGCTGTGGGGAGGTGCGGAGTGGGAGGACTACTCTGAGGGAAAAAAACCCAAGCTGCAACCACTCAGCTACTCACCGGAGGTCTCTTCCAGATGAACTGGATGGGGAACTTCTGGCTATAAAAGAGAGAGGTCTCATCCGGTGGGAACTCAGGATCCACATAAAGAACCTTCTTTTCTAGACATTTCTTGTGAAGCTGCTCAAATGTCTTCTCTTTCACCCCGATAATGGGAAAATTGCGGCTGATGATGGCTGAGTAGATGCCACTTGGGTTTCCGCCACCAGCCTCGGTGCCCTTGCCCTGGTCTGCCTGGGGGATTGGCCCCGGAGACCTGGGCTCAGCCCCTGTCTGTGGGGCCACAGACGTGCTAATGACGGTTAGCATGACAGGCAACTTTGGAAGGAACAGGCTTTTAAAGACAACAAGATTCAGCTACCTTTAAGGAAAGGAAGCAACTGCAAAGAGGAAGTTGTAGTGATTCTGTCATTGGAGAGAAAAATGTCCACATCCACTTCAAAGTTGAAAGCCCATCAGAAGGTCGTCCAGCTTGTGTTCACGTTAAAAAGTGAGCTGTGATCCAGAAGCCATCCAGTTTTCCTGAGGAAGGAGTTAGGATTTCTGTAGCAGTTTTTACTTAGGGGGCTTCTCCCAGCAGCATACATGCCAGAGGGAGAGAAAGAAAGTGAGGGTTGTGTTTCAGTGGCCCGAAGAAGCCTGAGCCAGGAAAACCAAAAATAGACATGAAGAAAGATCATGAGTATGAGAGCAAGAGAGAGGCTAGCAGTGCAGCTAGACTGCATTCTCGAGAGAGAAGGACCTGGCCAGGGATGTTCCTGTGTTGCCATTAAGTTCTGGTGTTGTCAGGAAATGAAAGGGGAATATTTGAGTAAATTGAACACTGAAACTTAGCAAAGAATGGCAGATACATTATTGAATTGGCAGTTATCCAGACTATCAAACTATTAGCCACCAAATTAATGGAAAACAGTATTGAAAAAAGTTTGCAAGGGTGAATGTGAGATACTGAATTCTAGGAGAATGTTCTAGGCATTTTTGAGAACATGATTTTTACTTTTTAAAATTCTAGGATATCAGAATATTATTCAACTGGATTTGGCATCTCTTCTAGAATGTTCTGATATCAGCGTTCAGTGAAACTGTCTGGGTGGAAAATGCCACTCAGCAGAGTCCTCAGTTGAGAAAATCCCTGTCTCTTCTTGCCCACTTGACCTAGCTATCCCTTGTCTCTCCCCACCCCCAAGATAAACACTGGGACCAAGTCTTCTACAAAAAGTGCACCTGAGTACAGATTATTCAGGCGTGCCACATTAGGCATCTGAGTCAGAAGTTGGAATTGGATACTGAGCCAGGTTGGCCATCAAGTCCTGGCATGTCATACCCAAACAGTTGGCTTCAGGGCTCTTAGATGAGACCACAAGTGGCTCTGGGGAAGGAAGTTGCCTGCCTGGCCTCTGCCTTGTCTTCTACTCACAGTAGCTGATACCCAGGTTGTCAGGAGATGGCCATATACCAAGTGTGGCTGAATGAAGGCTAGTCCCAGACTGCAGCTCTGCCTGTTCCCATGTGCCCATCTCATCAGTCCAAGGCTAGAGGCTATGAGAGAAGGTAGGAAGTGACAGCTGAAATAGGGAGTCCCGCCAGGCTCGTGATCCCTGGGGTTGCAGCTTTGAGGAACCATCAGCTTATTCCCCCATCCCTCTAAGGAAATGCCCAAGGATCTTTATTACTACTCTTGGAGAGGCAGAATAGAGAAGGGCAGCATCTGATGCTGACTGCCTAGGTTCAAAGTCTAGGCCTGCTGCTCATTGGCTGTGCCTGTGTAGCTTTAGGTGAGTCACTTCTTCCTTTCTTCCTATGTCTCAGTTTTCTCACCTATAAAATGGGTATAATGATAGTCATTCTGTTATTGAGTTGTTGTAAAAACTAAACACATTGTGTACATTTAAGATAGTGGCAGGATTGTCTTAAGCACGTAATAAATGTTAGAGATGAACCGAAGTTAATATTATTTGGGGTTATATCAGGTTGAATGACAGTTACTCATTGGCACAAATCAGCTTTCACCTTATGAGCATTTATTGACCATCTTCCATGTGAACAGTGCATCTGCCCAGGACCATGTGGTCACAGAGTCTCCAATCAGAGGCGTGCCTATCTGCCTGCACTAAAAGAGCCTCTAAAAAGACTGACTTCCACCGTCAAACTCACTAATGGAATGGAAAACAAAGGGGGGCAGTTTCCTTCTCCCGCCATAATATGTGCCATCATATGTTTGAGTCCCAGCTCTATACCACCTTGAAATTCACAGCACCGACCCACATTTTATTGTTTCTCTTTATTGAGCTTCCTGTTTGCCCACAGGACTATAAGCTCTGTGAAGGTGGGAACTGGGTCCCCACTGCACCGTAAGGGTTAAGCACATAGAAGGTTCTTAATAAATATGTGTTGTATATCTGTTGAATGATGTTTCCCTACGTGAGAAGAAATTTCTTCCACTTCTTATTGCTTTGCCAATGCAATCAAAGTATCTTGGCTGATCTGCCTCCGGGGGAGGAGCTGTCTCTGGCCCCCACACAGCTGACCTTCTTTCCTCAGCTGTCTAAGCTAGCTCCATCCTTGGTAATGAAGATGGGTGTGTGATGGAGATCAGCCTCTTGTCATAGCACAATGGGAATACTGTATCAAACACACAGAGTGCAAGGTGCTATTCATTTTGCTCTACCAATTGTTGTGAATAAAACCCCCTCTCAGATTAGCAGGTCCAAGCTCAAGATTTATTCAGCTGCACAGCTGTAGAAACTCATACTATCAGCGAGAAATCCAATCTGAGTCCACAAACAAAGGCAGATGATGAGCATGTAAACAGCTGCATGTTTTCAATTCCCAGAGCCTCTTCAAGGATAAAGAACTCATTTTTATAACATATTTCAGCTAAGGTCATGCAATATCTGCAGCTGGAATGGCTTCTGTTGCACCAACAAGGCAGTTAATGATTGCATATCACTGTCTTCCATCAACATTTCTTTGATTCAACACTGTTGGAATTAATGCATTAGCTTATAATTAGAACACCTACCACTCATTAAGTGCCTACTGTGAGCTAGCCACTTCACATAGTTGTAAAAACGTTCTTTTTTTTTTGGCCACACTGCACAGCATGTGGGATCTTAGTTCCCCAACCAGGGATCAAACCCGTGCCCCCTGCATTGAAAGTGCGGAGTTTTAACCACTGTACCACCAGGAAAGTCCCCTAAAAACTTTTAAAGTAATTTTAAACATACAAAAGCATTGCAAAGATAGCACAGATTTCCCGAATACCCTTCAACAGCCTCCCTTAATGTTTACACCTTACATAACCATGGTACAATGATCAAAAGTCAGAAATGAATGTTGGTAAGATACCACTAACTGAACTACAAGACATATTTTGATTTCTTCAGTGTTTCCGCTAGTGCTTTTTTTCCCCTTCTGTTATAGAATTTGATCTGCACTGCATTTAATTGTCATATCTCCTTAGTGTCCTCCAATCTCTGACAGTTCCACAGTCTTTGTCTCTCTTGAACTTGGCACTTTTGAAGAGTACTTGTCAGATATGTTGTAGAATGTCCCTAACTTGAGTTTGTCTGATGTTTTTCACATGCTTAGACTGAGATTATGGTTTGGGGGATGAATATCACAGAGGTTATGCACCCTTCTCATCAAATCAGATCTGGGGGTACATGACATTGATGTATTTTATTACTGGTGATATCAACCTTGAGTACTTGGCTAAGGTGGCATCTACCAGGTTTCTCCAAAGTAAAGTTACTATTTTTTTCCTTTCCATACACATGGAATACTTTTAATCTGTACACAACCCTGCACGTTTGATTAATCCCATTTTACAGCTGAGAAAACTTGAGATATCTGCTCTATTTTTACAGTTAAGTCATGGGAAACACACAGAATTTTAGAGCTTATCTCTTTTCTTGAACAAAAGAGGAAACCAAAGCCTAGAGAGATTAAATGACATGGTCAAGGTCATTCTGCCAGTTAACTACAGAACCAAACAAGACCCCAGGTCTCCTGATATCCAGTGAAGGAATAAATGCATGACTAAGACTCCAGTAATGTGCATTAGGCATAAGATCTCTGGATCCTTGCATATAAATAGTCAGGGCTTCCCTTCCCCTAGCTCTGAAGGGAGTGGAATCTAACACCATCAGCCGTGCTGAAAACAACAGTCAAGAAGCAGCTGTCTGATTCTGGTTGGCCTTGCTGTGGCACTGCAGTCTTTAGCTGGTCATAAGACAGGCAGATCTGATATCAGATGCCAATGTCTCCTTTCTTTCTGCTAGAATGTGAGCTATATGGCCCCCATTATCTGCGGTTAATATGGTAATCTGTTTCCAGTGGAGTTGCTGATGGCTTTCTATCCCCTGGACTGAGAAGTTATTTTAGTCTAGAGTGCCACTCCCCCCCACCCCCACCCCCGGAATTATGCTGGGCATTCAGAGAGTTTGGTAGATGGAAATCTTAAAAGCAGAGTGGAATGCTTGATATTGTCATAGGAGTTCCATGACTAAGAAGGCTTTTAGGTAAGATGGTCAGTTATGAGCTAAAACCCATTAAACTCCAAATATTTATGTGTTTTGACTGTGTTTCTGCTGCCTATCACTATGATACACTGATACTGAAAAGGATGTGAAAAAGTGAAGGAATTCTGCACGCAGACCAAACTCTAGAACTGCGGTCTTCCCTAGGGCTACAACAATCTGATAGGCTGGTATTAGTTAACCAGGATGTAAGGCTCAGCACAACTTTAAGGCAAACTCACGGTGACGAGCTGTGCTTTCCACTCGAGGGAGCCTTTAGGAGAATGGCCCAATCTGGGACTGGCCCTGGTCATGTTGATGTGTGGGACCAGGACCCTAGAATTCACTTAGTTCTGAAAGTGAATTGTACCCCAGAACATAAATAGTCCTATAGGTACATTTAAATGAAAATAGCCAGGACTTCCCTGGTGGTCCAGTGGCTAAGAGTCCGTGCTCCCAATGCAGGGGACCCGGGTTCGATCCCTGGTCAGGGAACTATATCCCGCATGCTGCAACTAAGACCCGGTGCAGCCAAGTAAATAAATAAATATTAAAAAAAAAAAGAAAGAAAGAAACCAGGCCTCTAGGGCAGGGAATGTTTTGGTACCTGGTCAAACTGGAATCTACATCCTGGGATCACTTCTGTCAGGAACTGACCACCCCAGGTCCACTATAGCCAGGATCCGCAGGATGACTTAGACCTGGGAAAAGAAGGAAGGTGACAAAACTGGCCTTCCAAATGCATGAAGGACTTTCCCTGACCACTATACAGGGCATCTGCCCTAAATAAATGCCTGCCATAAACATGTATTCCATTCTATTTCTTAGTGTGAATACCCTCCTGAAAGCTCCATGGTCAGCTCCTGCAGTCAGACAGGACCTCTGTGGGGAAGCACATATAGAAGCACGTACAGCGCTGCCATAGTGTGGGTGGTGTGAGGTCAGGGGCTGCTGGCCTAGTGCTCCGAAGGTGGTATTTGTGTTCCCTGAAGTAGGGGGCTTGGTTTGGCCCGGCATTTCTCCGGTGAAGAACAGCTGATCTGATGATTCTGAAGAGGTCTGCTGCATCAGAAATAAAGGTGTTTTCTTGTACTGGAGTTCATTATTTTTATTTTTATTAGAAAAAATTTTAATTGAAGTATAGTTGATTTACAATGTTGTGTTAGTTTCAGGTGTACAGCAAAGTGATTCAGATATACATATACTTTTCCAGATTCTTTCCCATTATAGGTTTTTACAAGATACTGAATATAGTTTCCTGTGCTATACAGTAGGTGCTTGTTGTTTATCTGTTTCATATATAGTAATGTGTATCTGTTAATCCCAGACTTCTAATTTACCTCTCCCCCACTTTCCCCTTTGGTAACCATAAGTTTGTTTTCCATGTCTGTAAGTCTGTTTCTGTTTTGTAAATTCATTTGTATCATTTTTTTTTAGATTCCACATATAAGCGATGTCGTATGATATTTGTCCTTCTCGGTATGACTTACTTCACTTAGTAAGATAATCTCTAGGTCCATCCATTTGTTGCAAGTGGCATTATTTCATTCTTTAAAAAACTTTTTATTTATATATTTTTAAATATTTATTTTGGCTGTGTCGGGTCTTACTTGCGGCATGCAGGATCTTTGTTACAGCATGTGCACTCTTTAGTTGCAGCATGAATGTGGGATCTAGTTCACCGACCGGGGATTGAACCCAGGCCCCTTGCGTTGGGAGCAAGTGAGTCTTACCCACTGGACCACCAGGGAAGTCCCATTGTTTCATTCTTTTTATGGCTGAGTAATATTCCATTGTATGTGTATACCACATCTTTTACCCATTCACCTGTTGATTGACACTTAGGTTACTTCCATGTCTTGGCTGTTGTGAATAGTGCTGCTATGAACATAGGGGTGCATGTATCTTTTTGAGTTACAGTCTTCTCTGGATATATGCCCAGGAGTGGGATTGCAAGATCATATGGTAATTCCATTTTTAGTTTTTTTAAGAAACCTCCATACTGTTCTACATAGTGGCTTGGAGTGCATTCTTAACTCCATTTGTTTCATCCTATTTTACATGCTACAGCTTATAAGCCTTTACAACAATAGAAAGCAAACATTTTAAAGCTGTTAGATACTAGGAAGATATGGCCCAGCATCTTTGTTTTTAAAACTTTTTGTTTTGAAATAGTTTAAAACTTAACAGGAAAGTTGAAAATATAGTGTAAGGAATTCCTGTATACCCTTCATGCAGATTCTTCAGTTATAACATTTTAATACATTTTGCCAATTTTCTCTCTCTGTCTCTGTCTCTTTTTCTCATACATACATAAATTATTTTCTGAGCCATTTGAGAGTAAGTCAGAGCTATGCTACTTTAATACTTCCATATGTATTTCCTAAAAATAAGGAAATTCTTCTATGTAATCATAGTACAATTCTCAAAATTAGGAAAATTACCATGTAATCAAAAGATCCTATTCAAGTTCTGCCAACTGTCCCAGTAATGTCCCTTATAGTTCCAGGATGGAACCCAGGATCATACATTTGTTGTCATGTCTTTTTAGTCCCCCTTTAATCTGGAACAGTTCCTCAGACCTGTTTTTCATGGCCTTCACATTTTGAGCAGTATAGGATGTGCCTCAATTCTGTTTTTTTTAAAAAATATTAATTAATTAATTAATTAATTTGGCTGTGCCAAGTCTTAGTTGCGGCACGCGGGATCTTTGTTGCTGCGTGCGGGATCTTCGTTGCAGTGTGTGAACTCTTAGTTGCAGCGTGTGAACTCTTAGTTGCAGCATGTGGGATCTAGTTTCCCCGACCACGGATCAAACCCAGGGCCTCTGCATTGGGAGTGTGGAGTCTCAGTCACTGGACCATCAGGGAAGTCCCCAGCTTTGGTCTGTTTATTATAAACTTACATAAATGAAATCACTCAGTAAACATTTTATCAAACACATACTTCTATGTTGATATATATACATTGTTATTTTAATGGTTGCATAATATTCTACTGTATGAAAGGGCTATATTTAACCAATCCCCTGATAAAGGACATTTAGTTTATTTCTAGTTTTCCATAGTATAAACCACATTACAATTAATAGCTCTGAGCAATTTATCTGATTTATCTGAAGTGGAATTTCTGGGTTAAAGCAAATTTAAAATTTTGATGCTATTGCCAGATTGTCATCCAGAAAGATTATACTTAGCATAATTCCACCAATGATGCACGAAAATGCCTATTCTCCACACCAGCATTAGCATTTTCATTTTAATCTTGGCCAATCATGGACACCCCCATTTCTCTGAATATTAACAATGCTGAGTGTATTTCATGCTTATTTTGCCTATTTCAATTTCTTTTATGAATTACCTTTGCCCATATTTCTTTTGAGCAGTTTCTAACGTTTAAACTGATTTGTCAACTCATTCCTTGGCATTTAAGTCTTAAAGGAAAGACACATTATATATTCATTTTAGAGCTTTGTTTGAATCTTTGTTAAAATGATTCTAAGTTCTTACATAAAATCCAGTTTCCTGAGAAAACATATCGAGAATTAGCCACAACAAGGTAACTCAACACTGTAGGCCAACTCGGCCCCGCTTAGCTCTCTGGTCCTGAGCTTCAGATATAGGAGGGGGGTAAAGTGTGAGAAGCAATAAGAGCAGATAACATTTACGCACACCCAGGATGTATTTCTCTCCATTCAATGTATCTAGTTAAACCTTTCAGGATAGTTCTGGGTCAAGACAGAGCAGTTCCTCACTAACCTACTCTAAAGTTCTTATTTCATTCCTTCCTCCAAAAATATTTTAAATGGATGAATAATAGACACATAATAAATGTTGAACTGAAGATAGGTCTTAATTATACAGCCTTAAGTGCTGTTAAAAACCATCATTTATATTAGGTAAGAGCATTCAGTTTTCAGTTTAAGTCTTACTGTAGCTTGGCAAGGGAAACTTGAAGCTGGGAAATCGGACTTCAGCTAATGGAGGCTTCTTCCTTTCTCCTTAATTGCAAAACTTACAGAAATAGGAGCAAAGAATCTGTATATGTCTATGTGCGCTTATATATGGTGCAAAGCTCAAATCTCAACTGATACAATCAAATGTGTCCATGAGGAAATGTGTAATGTTTACTATATCTGGAGGGAAGAGTTCTAGGTCAGAAGAGTAAATTAGAAACAAATACATTCAATTCTCAATTTTAAATAAATCCATCAGTCAACCAATTACAGCCAACCATTACTAAAAGCCAAGTATAATCATGCTCTGGCAGATATAAGACAAATATAACATGATCTTGAAGAACATACAATCTAGTAAGGGAACAAGACAGACAAACCTGAAACACTGAGGCACCATCCCTGAGAATGCTAAGCAGAATGCATATTATAAGTGGGGCAGCATTTCAGAGAAGGGCAAAATCACTGCTCATAGTAAAGGGGAGTTGAGGGTGTTAGGGTAGTTAGAAAGGCTCTGTGGGGAAGTGGGATTTGAGTTGGGCCTGGATGGATGGTAGGATTTGCATAGGTGGAGGGCAGACCGTGGATATTGGGACCCAGGGAACAGAGGCATAGAGGTGACAGTTGGCAAGCTGCTGAGTGGAAGAAGCCTGATAAGCAAATGTGCATGTTGAGCAGTGCTGAGGACATGTGACTGCCCCAGCAGATGCTGTGGCCACAGGGTGTCCCTGGGGAGCATCCTGGGGAACTGGCATAGATGTAGTCTTCTAGCCCACGCCACGCTGTACTAGAGTCTGAGGCAAAAGTAAAACGCAGTACTATCGATCCTGTCCTTATTTAAAATTTTGATATTTTGTTCATCATGGATTTTTTTTTGCTGTTAATTTTGTCTTTTTTTTTTTTTTTGCGGTATGCGGGCCTCTCACTGTTGTGGCCTCTCCTGTTGCACAGCACAGGCTCCGGACACGCAGGCTCAGCGGCCATGGCTCACGGGCCCAGCCGCTCCGCAGCATGTGGGATCTTCCCAGACCGGGGCGTGAACCCACGTCCCCTGCATCGGCAGGCGGACTCTCAACCACTGCGCCACCAGGGAAGCCCTGCTGTTAATTTTGATTTTTAAAAATATTGCATTAAAATATTATTTATTTTGATTACTGTGATTTGGGGCATCCCCTTAAATTTTGTGCCCCAGGCAAGTGCCTTACTTGCCTCCCCCTCATCCCGGCCCTGTGTTCTATTTCTGAAGTTTGAGGGTGGGGACATGGGTAATTATTTTATTATTTTAAATTATAGCTTACTCATATTATAAATAAGCTTTGGTTAGTGGACAATATTTAATAAAAAAATTAATATAAAGAAATGAGAATTTTAAGGAGATTAATTTGGAACTTTGGACCCCAAAAAACATGACAGGGAAAAGAGCCCTTTGTGTTCCTGAGTCAGTCTCTAGGGTAGAGTAACTCCCTGTTGCTGCAGTGAATACACTCTAAGCAGAAAAGGTTGTCTTGTCCAGGTCTAAGTGGGTAAAAGATAACTGGGGTGGGGAGGCACCAGAAGCTGCTGTCTACTTGGAGATAGGCCTTGAGCAGCTCAGCTGCTGGAGCCCAAGTGGCTCTGCCACATGGACTGAGACAACCTTCCACAAGGTGGGTGGGCTTGGCCCACTTCTCACATAAAACAAACCCATCCAGCTGTGCTCAAAGAGAAACTGCCCACTGGGCCAGAGTGCATACCACAGGTCATGGCCCACGGAGCAATGCGAGATCTGTGAACGCTATAAATGTCTCTGGGCCACTTGCATGTAGGAGAAGAGGGCGTGTGTGACACAAAGAGTATTATTAGCACATCTAAAAATGTAACATCTGAAAAATCTGAAAGCTATTGTTCGTTAGTAAACTGGTGACTTATGAAAGATGACTTTGAGCCAGAGGAGTCAATAGCATGCAGCACAAATCGCAAAAAAAGGCCCGTGGAAAGGCAGAAAGGTGCAGCTGCTCCCATCACTTGTCACCAGGTGCACTGCTCTGTCACTGGATTTGGACCTTCCAGTCAGCACCAATGTTCAGTGAGAACTTCTCCAGGTTCAGGGTGGATGTTTTGGCACAATATGTAAAAGCCACAGGCTGAGCTTTACCATCTAGATATCAAAATTGTAAAAGGGAAAGTTTGATGAACATCTAGGAGAGAAATTTTGAATTTAAAATGTTTCTGACTCTGTTATAAAACCTTATGCCCCATATAGGAGAATCCAAATTAATAGTACTTGTACCCATGGACTTCCATGAAATTTTAAAACATGAAACACTCCACTGTTTTGAGTGCAAGACTGATTGAAAACAAACTAAGGAACAAAGTGATTTGTCCAACAAATTCAGTAGAAAGGATAATTCAGTAAAAAAGGATATATCCTGTCCCATGTCCTTTAAGAAACTCCATAAACTCTATGAGCAGGATTCCCCAGGACTTCAGATATCTACAGTTTAAAAAAAATATTCAGAGAAGCTACAATATTATTTCAAGTCCCAAATAATTTCCTTTAGGAAAATATTAACTGCTTACAACGAGCAGAAAGACCAGTTGATGAAGAGAAGCAGAATGGCCTCACGCCCTCTAGATACTAGTATATTTGACTCCTGCCAGAAAGAGCAGAGTCCACTTGGCTAAGGACATTTTGTCAGTTTTAGACTAATCATCTCTTCACTGCAGATACTTCTATGTTTACAAAAACAAATGGCCTGTTTCCTCACCAGGTGAGTGGCTGGTCACAGAAGATGGCTGCTTCTTGAGGCCTAGGACCAAGATCTGCTCCACCACACACTTGCTGGGATAATGACCCCTCTTGTCAGCACAACTGGAATAGATACAACAAATGGCATTAGGAGAAGGAGAGGAATAGGGGTTTGGACTGGTTACCAGGTCACCATCCCGAGCCTTGTGAGTTCCCCTCCCATCTTTCTCTGTGGAGGCATGAAACATATAGTGGGCACATTTACTAGGATGAAGAGATGGTAAAAGATGACCCTATGTGCCGAGGACAAGCTAACCAGTAGTCTCCCTCTAACAAGCCATTTGGAGAGGCATCACTTAAGGATACTGAAGTCCCAAATGTTACTTGGACGCTACAATCAAATTGTAAGAAATCAGATACTTAATGAATGGCTGAAGAGATGAATAAATTAGATTAATGGGAATTTATACTGAATTCTTTTTTATTTTTCAGAGAGGGAAGGAAAGGAAGACAGAGACAATAAGGAAGGGATGTTCATGAAGTGGTTGAAAAATACTCCTGGGGGGCTCCAGACCAAGATGGCAACATAAAAGCCTCCTGAATTTCCCTCCTTCCACAGATGCACTGAATATAAAGCTACACATGGAGCAATTCCCTTTGAGAGAAATCCGGAAACTAGCTGAGTGACTCCTATACATTGGGTGACTGAGAAAATACCCACATCAAAACAAGTAGGAGGGACTTTCCTGGTGGTCCAGTGGGTAAGACTCCATGCTCCCAATGCAGGTGGCCCAGGATCGATCCCTGGCCAGGGAACTAGATCCCACATGCATGCTGCAACTAAGAAGTCGGAATGCCACAACTAAGACCCGGCACAGCCAAAATAAGTGATAAATAAATAAAAATAAGTTAAAAACAAGAAAACCAAAACAAGCAAACAAACAAAACAAGTAGGCGAGCAGAAGCAAGAAGAACTACAATTCTGCAGCCTGTGGAATGAAAACCACATTCACAGAAAGATAGACAAAAATGAAACAGCAGAGAACTATGTACCAGATGAAGGAACAAGAAAACCCCCCAGAAAACCAGCTACATGAAGTGGAGATAGGCAACCTTCCAGAAAAAGAATTCAGAATAATGATAGTGAAGATGATCCAGGACCTCAGAAAAAGAATGGAGGCAAAGATCGAGAAGATGCAAGAAATGTTTAACAAAGACCTAGAAGAATTAAAGAACAAACACCTAGAAAAATTAAAGAACAAACAAACAGAGATGAACAATACAATAACTGAAATGAAAACTACCCTAGAAAGAATCAATAGCAGAATAACTGAGGCCAAAGAACAGATAAGTGACCTGGAAGACAGAATGGTGGAATTCACTGCCATGGAACAGAATAAAGAAAAAAGAATGAAAAGAAATGAAGACAGCCTAAGAGACCTCTGGGACAACATTAAATGCACCAACATTCGCATTATAGTGGACCCAGAAGGAGAAGAGAAAGGACCTGAGAAAATATTTGAAGAGATTATAGTCGAAAACTTCCCTAACATGGGAAAGGAAACAGCCACCCAAGTCCAGGAAGTGCAGAGAATCCCAGGCAGGTTAACCCAAGGAGAAACACTCCAAGACACATAGTAATCAAATTGACAAAAGTTAAAGACAAAAGTTATTAAAAGCAACAATGGAAAAACGACAAATAACATACAAGGGGACTCCCATAAGGTTAACAACTGATTTCCCAGCAGAAACTCTACATGCCAGAAGGGAGTGGCATGATATATTTAAAGTGATGAAAGGGAATAAACTACAACCAAGATTATTCTACCCGGCAAGGATCTCATTCAGATTCGACAGAGAAATCAAAAGATTTACAGAAAAGCAAAAGCTAAGAGAATTCAGCACCACCAAACCAGCTTTACAACAAATGCTAAAGTAACTTCTCTAGGCAGGAAACACAAATGCTAAAGGAACTTTACAACAATAAATGCGAAAGGAACAAATGCTAAAGGAAATTCTTCTCTAAGTGGGAAACACAAGAGAAGAAAAGGACCTACAAAAACAAACCCAAAACAATTAAGAAAATGGTAATAGGAACATACATATCGGTAATTACCTTAAATGTGAATGGATTAAAGGCTCCAACCAAAAGACACAGGCTTGCTGAATGGATACAAAAACAAGACCCATATATATGCTGTCTACAAGAGACCAACTTCAGACCTAGGGATACATATAGACTGAAAGTGAGGGGATGGAAAAACATATTCCATGCAAATGGAAATCAAAAGAAAGCTGGAGTAGCAATACTCATATCAGATAAAATAGACTTTAAAATAATGTTACAAGAGACAAGGAAGGACACTACATAATGATCAAGGGACCAATCCAAGAAGAAGATATAGCAATTATAAATATATATGCACCCAACACAGGAGTACCTCAATACATAAGGCAGATGCTAATAGCTGCAAAAGAGGAAATCGACAGTAACACAATAATAGTGGGGGACTTTAACACCTCACTTACCCAATGGACATACCATCCAGATGGAAAATTAATAAGGAAACCCAAGCTTTAAATGACACAATAGACCAGATAGATTTAATTGATATTTATAGGACATTCCATCCAAAAACAGATTACACTTTCTTCTCAATTGCACACAGAACATCCTCCAGGATAGATCACATCTTGGGTCACAAAGCAAGCATTGGTAAATTTAAGAAAATTGAAAGCATATCAGGCATCTTTGACAACCACAATGCTATGAGATTAGAAGTTAATTACAGGGAAAAAATGTAAAAAACACAAACACATGGAGGCTAAACAATACGTTACTAAATAACCAAGAGATCTCTGAAAAAATCAAAGAGGAAATCAAAAAATACCTAGAGACAAATGACAATGAAAACACGATGATCCAAAACCTATGGGATGGAGCAAAAGCAGTTCTAAGAGGGAAGTTTATAGCAATACAATCCTACCTCAAGAAACAAGAAAAATCTCAAATAAACAATATAACCTTACACCTATAGGAACTAGAGAAAGAAAAACAAACAAAACCCAAAGTTAGTCTAAGGAAAAAAATCATAAAGATCAGAGCAGAAATAAATGAAATAGAAACAAAGAAAACAGTAGCAAAGATCAATAAAATTAAAAGCTGGTTCTTTAAGATAAAATTGATAAACCTTTAGCCAGACTCATCAAGAAAAAGAGGGAGAGGACTTATCAATAAAATTAGAAATGAAAAAGGAGAAGTTACAACAGACACTGCAGAAATACAAAGCATCATAAAAGACTACTACAAGCAACTCTATGCCAATAAAATGGAAAACCTGGAAGAAATGGACAATTTCTTAGAAAGGTATAACCTACCAAGACTGAACCAGGAAGAAATAGAAAATATGAACAGACCAATCACAAGTAATGAAATTGAAACTGTGATTAAAACTCTTCCAACAAACAAAAGTCCAGGACCAGATGGCTTCACAGGTGAATTCTACCAAACATTTAGAGAAGAGCTAACACCCATCCTTCTCAAACTCTTCCAAAAAACTGCAGAGGAAGGAATACTCCCAAACTCATTCTACGAGGCCACCGTCACCCTGATACCAAAACCAGACAGAGATACTACAAAAAAATAAAATTACAGACGAATATCACTGATGAATATAGATGCAAAAATCCTCAAGAAAATACTAGCAAACAGAATCCAACAACACATTAAAAGGATCATACACCATGATCAAGTGGGATTTATCCCAGGGATGCAAGGATTCTTCAATATATGCAAATCAATCAATGTGATATACCATATTCACAAACTGAAGAATAAAAACCATATGATCATCTCAATAGATGGAGAAAAAGCTTTTGACAAAATTCAACACCCATTTTTAATAAAAACTCTCCAGAAAGTTGGCATAGAGGGAACCTACCTCAACATAAGAAAGGCCATCTATGAAAAAAAAAAAAAAAAGTAGGAAAGGCTGAGACACACTCTCCATATAACCCCCAGCCCTGGCATAGTCCCATAAAATTGGGAAGGAATCCCCAACTCCCGGCTTCTCCAAGAAGAGTGAAGGGTTTGGACCACACTTCTAGTGTCCCTCCTTTCAAGGCTCCCACCTGAGGGATGGCCCTCAAATCACCTAGCTCTGATAGCCAACGGGCTTAATCATAGCAAATAAAGAAGTAGTTGTTAATAGGCAGTGTGGCTATCCCCCCAGGGCTCAGTGCAGAGGGAGCAGGCAAAAACATCCATCTCACAGGTTCTCCCTGGAAGGGATGTGACTTGCATACTTTCCCAGCTACTGCCTGAGTGTTCTAATCAGCCTGCAACTAGGTGCTGACTAAAATCTGCCCCTTTGGGACACGGATGGGTCTCAGTACATCCTCAACAACTGTGAGTCACTAAGAACAAAGATGGCAGCTTGGATAATCACAACGGTCTGAGAAACAACAAGGAGCTCAGGCCCAGCTGATCGACAAGGTTCATCTCCTACATGAGACCAGTCTGTCAAGACTGGAAGAGGTGGCTGTCTTATCTAATGTGAGAAACCAACACAAAGAGTCAAGGAAAATGAAACAGGAGAATATGTTCCAAACAAAAGAACATGATTAATCTACAGAAACTGACCTCAACAAAATGGAGGTAAGTTATTTACCTGAAAGAAAGTTCAAACTAGTGGTCATAACGATGCTCACCAAGGTCAGAGAGCAATGCATGAACAAAGTGAGAATTTCAACGAAGACAGAAAATATTAAAAAGTACCAAACGAAATATAGACCTGAAGAATACAAGAAGTGAACTGAAAAATTCAATAAATACTGCATGGTGTCACTTATATATGGAATGTAAAAAAATATTCAAAAAAGGAAAGTTGAACTCATAGAAAAAGAGAGTAGAATGGGGGTTGCTAGGGGCTGGGGGGTGGGGGAAGTAGAGAGAGGCTGGTAAAAGAGTACAAACTTTCAGCTATAAGATGAATAAGGTTTGAGAATCTAATGTATAACACGGTAAATATAGTTGATAATACTGTATTGCATAACAGAAATTTGCCAAGAGAGTAGAACTTAAATGTTCTCATCAAAAGGGGAAAAAAAGGGTTAAACATGTGAGGTGATGGATGTGTTAATTAACTTGATGATGGGAATACTTTCACAATGTGTACATATATCAAATCATCACATTGTATACTTTAAATATATTACAATTGTATTTTTATACTAGTATATTTTATTAAAATTTTATTTCTAAATTATACCTTAATGACCTAGAGATTATCATACTGAGTGCAGTGAGTCACAGAAAGAGAAATATCATATGATATCCCTTATATGCAGAATCTAAAAAGAAATGATACAAATGAACTTATTTACAAAACAGAATAAGACTCACAGACTTAGAGAATGAACTTACGGTTACCGGGGGGAAGGGATAGTTAGGCAGTTTGAGATCGACATGTACACACTGTCATATTTAAAATGGATAAGCAACAAGGACATACTGTATAGCACAGGGAACTCTGCTCAATGTTATGTGGCAGCCTAGATGGGACGGGAGTTGGGGGGGAGAATGGATACATGTGTATGTATGGCTGAGTTGCTTTGCTGTGCACCTGAAACTATCACAGCATTGTTAATCAGCTATTCTCCAATATAAAATAAAAAGTTAAAAAAATTATACCTTAATGAATCTGGGGGGGGGAAATGAAGAATACTCCACAAGTGGCCTTCATCATTAATTTCTTAAAATAGCAGCTCTGCATTTGAGGATAGCAAAAGGATAGCATAATTTAAGAAAGCACACAGCTCTTTTAGCTGCCATTACCTGTTGATCAAAACACCTGAGGCGAATGAAAACTTCCTGTGCAAGAATTGCTTCTGGTGGAGGTATTGGAATGAATGACCATCATCGAGATAGAATTCACCCACAGCAGAACCCTGGAGAGTGAATCATGGATAGAGAATGTGCTTATGTAATAGCTTTCTAGGAAAAGACTGTCGCCTCCCTAAAGGAAATAATAGATTTTAAAATCTATGAAAAATTAAGTTGAACAACTGCTTAATATTCAAGCTGTACAAAGCAGTCATACAATATATACACTTACTACACATTTGTGAAATAATATGAATAAACAAGTCACACAAGAGGAGGACAAAGAGTTAGGCCTTGTTGAAAGAGATTTAAACTATGAAGTATGGTCAGCGGCATAGGTGGCTTCCCCCAAAATACCATCCTAGAAGGTGACAACAGGTCAAGAAAAGTTCACAGAATGGAAATGAAATTAAAAGAAAAAATTACAACGTATGAGATCAGCTATCTTTAGAAGACCCTCCATTTAGAGAACGGCATCTAGTTCCTACTGTCTTTTAGTAGGAGGACCACTTTTGCATGTCAGATAATGTCATAGCACTCCATATGGCAGTTCACTGTTATTGACAATGTTTCATGTGCAATGGACCTTGAGTTTCTTGTAATTATTCCATGGCCTCACATGAGCCTGAGGTCCATAGTTTGACCCAAGAAAACATGCTTAAATGAAACGGATTGAAAAGAAAGATGTAAGAAAAAGAAAGCTTAATTATTTTATAATATTTGCTTAAGGGGCTTCCCTGGTGGCGCAGTGGTTGAGAGTCCGCCTGCCGATGCAGGGGACACGGGTTCGTGCCCCAGTCCGGGAGGATCCCACATGCCGTGGAGCGGCTAGGCCCGTGAGCCGTGGCCGCTGAGCCTGCGCATCCGGAGCCTGTGCTCCGCAACGGGAGAGGCCACCACAGTGAGAGGCCCGCGTACAGAAGAAAAAAAAAAAAAAAAAAAAAAAATATATATATATATATATATATATATATTTTTTTTGCTTAAGAGTAAGGATTTGTGTTTGGCACTGTATTTTGGCAGATGGCTAGGAGAGGAATCTGTTATAGGCCTCCTTTGGCTCAAAAGATCTCCTCAAAAGGACAGATCAACTCTGGATCTTTCCAGGTTTTACCCAAGGAGATTGTAATTGTTTGAGCCATCTGATGAGCATAGAAGTCATTGCATGAGACTGTGTCCCTGGAATGTTGCATAGACACAGGACCCTTTTACAGGAGACTGAGATTCAGGGCTAATCCGTATGGCAGGCTGCCTATGGCTCAATGAGCTTTCAGTCCAGTGGTAATCAATGTCAAGCTGCAGAGCACCAAGGGTCACAGTGCCCTAGAGGAAATTTCTATTATTTCTAGTTCTAAGAGTACCCTTAAGGATAATTCCAGGAAAATCAGACAAGAAATGATTCAAAACTTTGATTTCTAGATAAACTTCAGAAGCACCTATCCTGTAGATGGGGTTCACCACTTTTACATAGTGTCACATACTCAAAGGCTACAACTATAAAGAGATAGAGTAGTAACAAACAAGATGTGTAAAAGTAACATTTTTCAAATACCTTAGTGCTTAGGGCCACCCAGAGTCCATATGGGGAATCAGTCATGCAGCCCGTGGATCTTCCTATAGTTGTCTTTATTGGTACCACACTTCCACCTCGTTGAAACACTGGTATCTATAACAGAGCAACACTCTCAGAGAAGGAGGATTCATATAAGGCAATTTCAAAGTAGACTTTTAAAATATTTCATTGTACAAGACTCACATTTGTTACAAGTATAGACTCAAAGGCAATATAAATTTGTGAACACAGAGATGGCAAATATGGGGGCCCTGGCATTAAAAGGAAAAGAGTTCAAACACTAAAAATGGTTCATTTTTAAATTATTAGGGAAACTTCTCACCCTTCATCAATTTATTATCTGTTCTGACTATCCTATAAGTAGCCTTTCCTGTTTTGTATTTTTAATTTTCCTGTCAATATAACAAACAAGTTTATTTCTAGGACCCTGCTAAAGAGGGAATTTGTCTGTCTGTATGAGCAGGCCCAGATGTACATATGTATGTCTTTATAAAAGATGGTAGGGACTTCCCTGGTGGTCCAGTGGTTAAGAATCTGCCTTCCAATGCAGGGGACGCAGGTTTGATCCCTGGTCGGGGAACTAAGATCCCACATGCTGCGGGGCAACTAAAGCCTGCAAGCCGCAACTACTGAGCCCACGTGCCACAACTAGAGAGAAGCCCACGGGCAGCAATGAAGAGCCCACGTGCAGCAACGACAGATCCCATGTGCTGCAACTAAGACCTGACTAAGCCGGAAAAAAAAAAAAAAGATGGTAGTTTCTTGGTTTGGGAAAGATGACTGTTGTCCTTACTTCAGCCTATACCCTTCTTGCTCCTGCTTCCCTGATCACCAGGATGACTGACTCAATTCTGAGGGTAAAACTGTGAAACTTTTGCTATAGAAGCCACCAAGGGCACTTGAAGTGACTCTGACAACAGGGTTGTAGGCATGGCCCCTATCTATGGGTCTTCTGGAATGGCATTCCCAGCCAGGACAGCCCAGTAGTTTCCCTGCCTCCCAGTGCAATCCTCTGTAAGGAAGCTCCCTGAATCACGTGAAGGCCTGTACTTTGCTCTGAGTAATGTACAAGCAGGAAGAAGAGCAAGAATACAGTAGTCCCCCCTTCCCCACGGGGGATTCGTTCCAAGACCCCCAGTGGATGCCTGAAACCGAGGAGAGTACTGAACCCTATATAAAGGTATTTCCCCTACACTAATGGGCGGGTAGCACACACAGTGTGGATCTGCTGGACAGAGGGATGATTCATGTCCTGGGCAGGAGGGAGCAGGATGGCGCGAGATTTTGTCATGCTACTCAGCTCAGCATGCAATTTAAAGCGTATGAATTGTATATTTCTGGAATTTTCCATTTAATGTTTTTGGACCACAGTTAATGTTTTTGGGTTTTTTCTTTTTAAAAAATTTTATTTATTTATATTTATTTATTTTTGGCTGCACTGGGTTTTCATTGCTGCACGCGGGTTTTCTCTAGTTGCGGCACGTGGGCTTCTCATTGCGGTGGCTTCTCTTGCTGTGGAGCATGGGCTCTAGGAGCGCAGGCTCAGTAGTTGTGGCACACGGGCTTAGTTGCTCTGTGGCATGTGGGATCTTCCCGGACTAGGGATTGAATCCATGGTCCCCTGCATTGGCAGGTGGATTCTTAACCACTGCGCCACCAGGGAAGTCCCACAGTTAATATTTTTGGGCCATGGTTGATTGAAGGTAAATGAAACTGTGGAAAGTGAAACCGCAGATAAGGAGGACTGCTGTATACATGAAGTTGGGAATCAGGATGGAAGTAGTCAAGATGTCCACCCTCTGCTTGACTTGAAGTCAGCAGCAAGAAGTAAAGTACATTTACCTCCCCACCCTCATCAGCCAATCTCTTCTTATTCTTTTTTTTCCTTCAAAGAATGCGGCAGTTAGTATGAATGGGCTCTGGAGTAGGTGTTCAGTTGACCCGGGGTCTTGTCTCAGTTCTGCCACAATTTAGCTGCAACCCTGGGCAAGGAATTTAACTTCTCTGAACCTCACTTTCTTCACCTGTAAGCATGAGGGATTCAAATAGATGAATGGTGGGGTCTCTTCTAGACCTGAAAGTTGGCATCTGAAATCATTTTCTATATAATGGAGTTCATATTGCTGCTGAGAATTTTAAAAAATAACATCAATATCTCTTTATAAATCTTTACACTACTTAGGGCCTGTGGTAGTCATGGTGATTCAGCTGCAGGAGCAAACTTCCCTTCAGAAATGCAGCCTAGATGGGCCACTCTGAGTCTAAAATCGTAACACATAGCCTCCCCTTGGGCCTAGAGGTCCAACTAAAAACTCATGTTTTCTAAGTTGGTGTTGTAGAAGAATATTCTGTATGGTGTATGTGGAGACCATCATGTATACTCTCTGTTGTCAGTGTTATTATTTTTCTTAGACATACAAATGTAAATCAGAGTATGTTTTTTTGTTGTTGTTTTTGTTTTTGTTTTTGCGGTACGTGGGCCTTTCACTGTTGTGGCCTCTCCCGTTGCAGAGCACAGGCACCGGACACGCAGGCTCAGTGGCCATGGCTCACGGGCCCAGCTGCTCAGCGGCATGTGGGATCTTCCCGGACTGGGGCATGAACCCGTGTCCCCTGCATCGGCAGGCAGACTCTCAACCACTGCGCCACCAGGGAAGCCCCAGAGTATGTTTTTTATATTCTTTTTTTTTCTCACATTTAACAGCCTTATTGATATAATTCATGTCATACAATACACCCATTTATAGTGTACAATTAAATGTTTCTTAGTATATTCAAAGTCATGCAACCATTACCATAATCAATTTAAAATCACCCCCAAAAGAAACACTATACCCATTAGTGGTCACTCCCCATTGCTCCCAAAACCCTCTCCCTGCCTTCAGCTCTAGGCAACCACTATCGTGCAGAACACTGATGTCCTTGGTTCTTTCTGTGTAGGCATATGTTATGGACTAAATGTGTCCCCACAAAATTCACATTGAAGCCCCAACCCCCAATGTGACTGTATTTGGAGACAGGGCCTTTACAGAGGTAATTAAGACTAAATCAGGTCATAGGAGTGGAGCCCTGATCCAAATGATTAGTGTTATAAGAGATAAGAGAGCTCACTCTCTCCCTCTGCCATGTGAGGACACAGCAAGGTGTCTGTCTACATGCCAGGAAGAGAGCCCTCACCAGGAACCAAATGGGTTGGAACCTTGATTTGGGACTTCCAGCCTCTAGAACTGTGAGAAAAGAAATTTCTGTTGTTGAAGCCACCCAGTCTATGGTATCCTGTCATGGCAGCCCGAGTAGACAAATACAGCACAATAGGTAAAATATTTTACAATAGGTAAAAATAACAGTTTGAAAATAACTTACCGTGTCCAAGGCTACTGGGATCTTTACAGTACATGCTCCTTCCCAATGAGCAAATGTCTTAGAGTCATACCAGACCTGAAAAGAAACAGACCCTATGAAAAAGAGTGTATAAGCAACTCTGTTCACAATTTCATTATTTAGTGAAACATCCATTTATCTGGATTTCAAATAACCAGAAAGCTAAAATAAATACAATTAAAAAAAAAACACCTTGAGTAGAAGTTAGGAAGAACATATGCTTTTAAAAAGATCACAAAGGAAAAACCTAGTACTGCGACGGATTAAGCTGACTAAAAGGCCATTCATTTTTCCATTCATCCATCCAAAAGTTATTTATAGATCAATCTACCATGCGCCCAGCACTGCTGGGTACACACGAGTGAACAGAAAGACACATAACCTGCCCTCATGGATTTTACAGTCCAGTTGGCTTATAAAAACTTAATGATCAGGACCTCCCTGGTGGCGCCAGTGGTTAAGAATCCGCCTGCCAATGCAGGGGACACGGGCTTGAGCCCTGGTCCAGGAAGATCCCACATGCTGCGGAGCAACTAAGCCCATGTGCCACAACTACTGAGCCTGCGCTCTAGAGCCTGTGAGCCACAACTACTGAGCCCACGTGCCACAACTTCTAAAGCCCACATGCCTAGAGCCCGTACTCCACAAGAGAAGCTACTGCAATGAGAAGCCTGCGCACCGCAACGAAGAGTAGCCTCCGCTTGCCACAACTAGAGAAAGCCTGCGTGCAGCAACAAAGACCCAATGCAGCCAAAAATAAATAAATAAAATTTTTTTAAAAAACAAAAAAACTTAATGATCTAGTAGTGAAAAAGACAATGGAAGAGAGAAAACCACAACAAAGCAGAAAAGCACATTGCAAGCAAACAGATTACAAATGAGGCAGGAGAAAAAAAGTGTCAGACAAGGAAACAGATCTTAGAGAAAAACAAATGGAAACTTGGATTACTACTATAGTGTCATTGTTTCTTAACAGAGTTCAATTCAGGGATGAGGTTCAAACTCTTACCTGAGAGGCCTGTCAAGGGGGTTTACTTGCTAAAGTGCCAAAAAAGTCCTGCAAAGTAATTTGGTGGGATAAATCCTTAAGATACCATCAGAAGCAGCATGAAAACAAAACCTTTTTCTCTCTTCTAGTTCAATATAATTTCTGGCAGCCACAGAGTCTATTTCGCAAGTTCACCTCCTGGGATTACCAGAGCCTTTATAAAGCTGGGCTGTTGAATCTGTCATTGTCTTGCTGTGAATGTGAGAGGGCTGTGACCTGACAGTTGCTAGCTACAGTGAACTCTTAATTCAACTGGATCAGCCCCACCTTGTCATGAAGTATTATCTTTGGCTGGATTCAATTTGCTAATGTTTTGTCAAGGATTTCTGCATCTGTGTTTACAAGGGATATTGTCTTAGCTTTCTTTTCTCGTAATGTCTTTCTTTGGTGAATTCTACTAGCTTTAGATAAAAAGCTGGTGGGAGTGAAAGGTAAAAAAAAAAAAGGATTCAAACAATATTTGGGGATTTCCTGTCGACCATTTCCAGTCTAACTAACTGAAACGAGAGGTATAGAGTGTGTGCTCTGGTGCCATATTCAAAGATCTCCAGCCTAGGAAGCATACAACTGGCACAAAACATAATGTAGATCAGACCCAGAGCTTAGTCACCAAGCTCCTCACCCAGCAAGTACTTACAGAAGGCCTACTATGGGCCACGTGCCCATCTAGATGCTGGGGATACAGCAGAGACCATAACAGATAAAAATCACTGCCCTCAAAATGCTACCATTCTAATGGGAGAGATAAATAATAAACAAAACATAAAAGTAAATACATAGAATGTTTAAAATGGCATGTTCTGTGGAGAAATATAAAGGATGAAGGAGGGCTGGACAGAACCGGGGCAGTGGGAGTAGTTTATAATCTTTTTTAAAATTTTATTTTATTTATTTATTTTTTGCTGCATTGGGTTTTTGCTGCTGCATGTGGGCTTTCTCTAGTTGCAGAGAGTGGGGGCTACTCTTTGTAGCAGTGCGCAGGCTTTTCATTGCACGGCTTCTCTTGTTGCAGAGCACGGGCTCTAGGAGCGTGGCCTTCAGTAGTTGTGGCATGTGGGCTCAGTAGTTGTGGCTCGCGGGCTCTAGAGTGCAGGCTCAGTAGTTGTGGCACATGGGCTTAGTTGCTCTGCGGCATGTGGGATCTTCCCGGACCAGGGCTCGAACCCGTGTCCCCTGCATTGGCAGGTGGATTCTTAACCACCGTGCCACCAGGGAAGCCCCGGTTTATAATCTTGAACAGGGTGTCAGAGAAGCCCTCCCCGATAAACAGATTTGCAGGAGAGGGAATGGGCCACACAGAAACATGGGGAAGGTGACAGCAAGGCCTTTAGATAGCTCCCTGCACAGTGTGATGCAATACTAGCTAACCAGCAAGGTAAAGTTCTGGCAAGAAACGGCTTGGCTTTCCTACCCAGGCTTTGGGAAGATGTAGCAAGAGAAACAATCACAGAACAGTCTGGGAAATAGTGTTGAAGGAATAGGTTACATAGTCACAACAATGTGATTGAAATGTTAATAGGTCATTATAGAAATTTGTGGCTAAGTCAGAAAGGGAGCTAGTTCTCAATGGGAACTTATGCTTTGTCAGATCGACTTGAGAAACTCTCAGCAGAAATGCTTGGCAGGACAATTTATTTAGCTGTTGTTATATTTAACTTTTTTCTCAGGTTTCTGCTTGGCAGGGGAACCTTTGTAAAGAGCCCCACCTTCAGAACTACAAATTACTAGAGAAACCAAGCAGAAAGAACATCATTCATGAGCACTCTGTAGAAAAGCCTGGTTATTGTCATATCAGTAATGACAAGTGTAGTGGGCTGAATGGTGGCTCTTCAAAAAGATATATTTGCTTCCTAATCCCTGGATGGAGTGAATATTACTTTCTATGGTAAGAGATTTGACTAAATTAAGGATCTTGAGATAAGGAGGTAATCTGGAATTATTCAGATGGTCACTAAATAACATCACAAGTGTCTTATAAGAGACAATGGTAGGGGAGACACAGACACACACTGTGAAGATGGAGCCATGGACTGAAGTGATGCAGCTACAAGCCAAGGAATGCCAAGGAGTGCAGGCAGCCACCAGAAGCTAGGAGAGCGGTATGGAACAGATTCTCCCTCAGAGCCTCCAGAAGGAACCAGCCCTGGTGACACCATGATTTCAGACTTCAAGCCTCCAGAACTGTGAGAGCACAAATTTTTGTCATTTTAAGCCACCAATTTGAAGGGAAGAGACGTGAGGCATGTAAGGTATGCGGATGTTTGTCATTTACTTTTACCTCACTTGATCCTGGCAGAAACACATCAACCACAGTAGCTTTTGGTTCTGTGACTGGGTGAACCAATAAAGCGCTTCCTGAAAAATGGAGAAGAAATAAAGTTGAATATCATGATAAGAGGTCTGAAAACATCCCTTCTCTTTGTGGTTTCAAAGACCACTCAACTGAACTTCTTGAAGGTAGAGATCTTGGTGAGTTGAACCAATGATTCATCAGGGAGATGCACTGTTAGTTAGAAAGAGGACAGGTGCTCAGAGGTAACTGTATTATTACCTATCATTAATCCTCCTATGGTATAGTAGGATTACAGGCAGGGACCCCGACAAGTCTGGCACAAGTCTTTACTTTTTTCTACTTCCCTTCCCTGTGGTGGTATCATAAGGCTTAGGAGTGGACCCAGACAAGAATCCCAACTTACATCCACAAATAAAATGGGTTTATGTGAAGTTAACATGTTATGCAAAGCGCTGCATGACAAGAGAATAGAGCTGTGATCCCACTAATACACTAAAGATCTTGGTGATGGAATTTCTTTTATTTTTGTTTTTGGCTTTCTTGAGATTAGGGATTTTTTAGCGTTCTTACACTAGAAAATACAATAAGAAAAACATAATTAAAGTATTTATCATAACTATAATTAATCAAGAAATGCTCACCCAGCATGTATTCATCTTCCACACCAAAAGTCTCTACTTCATCAGGGAACTCTACCCACAGAGGCCTAGGGAAAGGAAAAAAGAAATTTCTTACTTCAATATCGTTAGATTTTTATTATAATTCAGTCACTTAGTTTTCAGTTTTATAACTATTCAAAGGAAATTGGAAAAAGCCAAGACTCTTTTTGTATGATTCATGATTTTATGAGGGCTTCCCTGGTGGTGCAGTGGTTAAGAATCTGCCTGCCAATGCAAGGGACACAGGTTCGAGCCCTGGTCCAGGAAGATCCCACATGCCATGGAGCAACTAAGCCCGTGTGCCACAACTACCGAAGCCTGCGTGCCTAGAGCCCACGCTTTGCGACAAGAGAAGCCACCGTAATAAGAAGCCCATGCACTGCAATGAAGAGTAGCCCCCGGGCTTCCCTGGTGGCGCAGTGGTTGAGAGTCCGCCTGCCAATGCAGGGGACACGGGTTCGTGCCCGGGTCTGGGAATATCCTACATGCCGTGGAGTGGCTGGGCCCGTGAGCCATGGCCGCTGAGCCTGCGCTCCGCAACGGGAAAGGCCACAACAGTGAGAGGCCCGCGTAATGCAAAAAAAAAAAAAAAAAAAAGAGTAGCCCCCGCTCGCCGCAACTAGCAAAAGCCCACATGCAACAACGAAGACCCAACACAGACAAAAATAATAAATTAAACAAATACATTTATAAAAAAAGATTTTATGTGCACTTGTGATTACTATATATTTTTCTTATGTGAAAGAGCTATGTATTAGCTTAAATGGTTCAATGAAAGCTTGAGAATTCTGGTACCTGAAATTTCCCCTTCTTATTGTTGAGCACTAAATACTACTCTGACAGAATCGGAGCTTTGTCCAAGTCCAAATGCCTAACACGTTTGGTGTAAAACAACTTAAATGTTTGTAAAACCGAATTTTATAGTGTTGTAAAATCTGTGCCATTTTTTCATTCTGTCACTGCTTTTCATGAATTGTTAATCATTGCCTATTTAAATAAAAATAACTGGTTTTTCTTGTTCTCAAGCTGGCAACATTTTTGGAGGTTTCAGAAACTTGTGTGGGTTTTGAGTTTTGTTTTATTGTTATTGTACACAACTAACTAGGAGGCACGTGGGCTTATAAAAATCATAAAACTTTCAATATCTATGTATCTGGATATTAACCTAATAGTTCTAATATTATTTTCAATTTCATGAGGAAAAGATATTTTTTAATAAGAGAAACTTATTTTTAGTTTATTCACTAGCCTTTGTAATAATCTATTCCTTTTCTACTAAATATAACAAAGCAGCGGTCTCTAAACCTGGTTGATGTCTAAAATCACCAGGGAAACTTCTAAAAAATATATATCCCTGGAACTTAACCAAGGGATTCCTAGTAGGTTGGTGGTATGGCCTTGGAATCTGTATTTCTCAAAAGTTCCTCGGATGATTCTGATCTGACCCAGGCTGAGGAACTGCTAATCTAGAGGTCTTGATGTATTTACTGTGTTTGTCTCTGTGTGTACTGTTCTCTAACCCAGAAAGTTGCTATTCACATCCTGTCTTCAAAATAGAATCAGAATGTAACTCATACACTAGGAAAAGCCCTAAGGGTAAGATAGAGCTAAGCCTGGCAGAATAAGTTGTTCTTCATGAGAGGATGCTTGTGGGTGTTGGGATGAAAAAACAACTTTCCTCTACCTGTCTAGGTTCTTCTGGCTGGTCTAAGAATTAAATCGACGTGAGAGTATTTAAAAGGAGAAAATCAAATTTAATTATGTACATATGAGGGGGTTCCATGAAAATATGATGCCTAAGGAGAAGATCGGCAATTGAGGCTTATATGACACCTGAGAAAAGGAGAAGGAAGTGCGTTTGGGACTTCAAAGGGGAGGAAGGATATTCACTCGGAGATGGAAAAACAAATGTTTGGTAAACAAATGTTTGCTGGGCCATGCAGAGACAATGGGACACAGAGAGGACTTCGGTCCCCACGTTCCCCCTACCATGCTTAGCTCATATTCCTTGTAGATATCTCTGATGATAATGCACTTCCTGGACCAGGTCCTTTAACTAAATTCTTTTAGGCAGTTAAGGAGGAGGTTAAAAAGAAAGACTTCCTGAGCCTTTTGTTTCTTAAAAACAATCAGCCCCCAAGAATCCTCAAGCCAAAGAGACACATTTTGCGGTGGCAAGTTTTGTAGGGGAACTACATGGGTTAAATATTGGATGAATTCAGTTACAAAGTCACTTCCTTTTTCTTTTCTTTCTTTCTCCTACAGATGTTAACACTTGAACCACCAAGTAGCAGGAGATCTAGTTTTTATCTTCTGTGACCTCCACTGCCTGACCCTGCTCACAGTTGGTGCTCAATAAGCCGATTGGCACTTGGTTAAACACCTGGCTTTTCTTTTGCAATCACTGTAATCACTCCACTGCCAGTGGCTGAGGGGATCTTCTGGTAGAGATTGGTTGCTGGTGTGACTGGTGAAGCCTGTTTACCTCATGACGGGTTGGGAAGCCAAGTGTGCAGAGTAGAACAGAGAATACCAGTAGGGCAGGAGGGTGTAGCGCTCTCTGATGGCTTCTTGGATGAGCCGGGTGTGCTCCTCCCCAAAGAGCCAGGGTTCCCGTCGCTTGGTGTTCTTGGTGGCATGGCCACGGAAGAAGGGTTGGTAGGCTCCAGCCTGGTACCACCGCACTAGCAGCTCTGCCTTTGGATTCCCGATGAAGCCGCCTACATCCGCTGATTAGTCAATTAAGAAAGGTTGAGTCAGACACCCAGACGTCTAACAGACAATGTACACAGGTAAGATAAGGCCTTGAAGACGGACAGGGCAAAGGCGCTGTATGCGCACTCAAAATGACAGCATAAAACTGTGGCCTCGGGCTTCCCTGGTGGCGCAGTGGCTGAGAGTCCGCCTGCCAATGCAGGGGACGCGGGTTCGTGCCCTGGTCCGGGAAGATCCCACATGCCGCGGAGCGGCTGGGCCCGTGAGCCATGGCCGCTGAGCCTGCGCGTCCGGAGCCTGTGCTCCGAAACAGGAGAGGCCACAACAGTGAGAGGCCTACGTACAGCAAAAAATATAAAACAAAAAACAAAAAACAAAAAACTGTGGCCTCAAATTGGGGAGCACATACTAAAAAACTCAAGGCTGTTTGGGGATCTGACAGTACGCTCTTTGAATATATTTTTTTCCTGTCAAAAGGCTTTACTGTAAGATCAACATTTCTGTATGTCCTGAGCCCAGGTAACCCAGAAATTGCAAAATGTCTGCCTGATTCAATAAGTCTGTGTTTAGGGGTGGGGTGGCAGTTTGGCAATTGATTTTGTTTGAAATCAACAGCTGAAGCAAGATAAAAATTATAGAAAGAACTAAAGGGAAAGATATAATCAGAATTAGAGGTTTAGGGAGAAATTCGTGCTTATCCCTTAAGCAGGATACATATTCCTTGTATTGAATGTGGACCAATGCCATAAAAAACCACATCTATCAAAAAGTGATATTAAGGTGCTCCCAGGCCCACTGAAAACAAGGAGCAGCTGGACCTGTAGCCATGCTGAGCACCTTCCATACTGGGATCTCTCACCTGCAGGGAATTGTTAGGATTAGGGAAAGGCAGCCCATCAGAGAATCTTATTTTAATTAAATTTATCTTTTCCAAGAGTGTGTGTGTGTGTGTGTGTGTGTGTGTGTGTGTGTGTGTGTGTGTGTATTTAACAGTTAAACTGTGTCACAGGAGTTCTGTAAGGCTGATTTCTGATTTGCTAAATTCTTTGTAGTTCTCTCCATTTTTCTCACTTCCAGGTAGAAAAGGCATGTTTTAAGAAGAGAAACTCAGTTATCAAGAGTGTCTAAGGAGGAAGCAGTAAGAGAATGAGGGAAAGAAACACTCTGGCTCACTTTCTGATGACTTTCTTCATGTTCTCAGTTCAGACAGTACACACACAGCTCTGAAGCATCCCCTTCACTCTCCTCTCTAGTCTGCTCTCCTTCACTCTCCTCATTTTCTCTTTCCCATGTTTACCCCTGTTTCCCATCCAAGTACTAACCAGGCCCGACCCTGCTTAGCTTCTGAAATCAGAGGAGATCGGGCACGTTCAGGGTGGTATGGCCATAGAGTATCCCTGTTGAAAACAGCTCACAAGAAGAGATTTGTGACCAGCTTTGATGAAAATACCCTCCCTTTATATGGCTGATTGATTTTGTTCTGCAGTGGAGGCTAACAGCATTGTAAAGCAACCACACTCCAATAAAAATTAATAATAATAATAAAAAGAAAACACCCTCCCTTTGATTTTCTCTCACGTCAAGCTTGAGGATATCACTTACCTCCACAAAAAGAGATCCCAGTCACGCTGAGGGTGAGTAACATAGGGATAGAAATTTTCAGGTAACTCCACTTTGCTGTGTTGTCACCTGTCCACACAGTACCTTTGGTCATCAGTAAGAAGGTATTAAAAGAAAAAAAATCACAAATCAGCCCAGGTACTCAATTTCATATTTAGATTCCTTATTTGTAATAGGCAAACCAACATAAAGGAAAACATTTCTTTCTTTTTATATATTCTGGATACAAGTCCTTTGACAGATATATATGTATATTGCAAATATCTTCTCTCAGTCTGTGGCTTGACTTTCATTTTCTTAACAATATCTTTGAAAGGGCATAAGTTTTTAATTTCGATGAAGTCCAGTTTATCTTTTTTTATTTTATGGTTCATGTTTTTTGTGTTCTAGCTAAGAAAGTCCCAAAGTCACAAAGATTTTCTATGTTTTCTTCTAGAAGCTTTTTGTTTGTCATAGCTTTTATAATTTAGGTCTATATTCCATTTTGAGTTACTTTGTGTCTATGGTGTAAGAGTCAAGGTTCTTCCCCCTCCCCCACATGGATACCCCACGTGCCAGCACGATTTATTGAAAAAACTCCTTTCTCCATTGAATTGCCTTAGCAACTTTGTTGCTAATTATTTGATCATATATGTGTGGGACCCCTTCTGGATTCTCTATCCTGTTCCATTAATCTATATGCCTATCCACCACACACTGCCCCTAACTCCACAAAATCCTCTATAAGAGGACTTAAGACGGTACAAGGGAGACATAATAGCAGCAATAACAATAGTTAACATTTACAGAGCCCTCACTGAGCCAGGTGTTACGTTGCTTTGCCTGTATTATCCCACTTAATCATTACAACAACTCTATCAGGTAAACATTGTTTAACTTTATTTTACAGTGAGGGAAATATGGCAAACAATGGATATGGTAGCATTTGAGCTCAGGCAGTCTGACTCTAAAGTCAGTGCTCTTGCGCACTGAATAGTTGATAAGAGCTTGTAAAGGTATATAACACTAAAGAGGATCATAAAAGGAAAAAAACTCTTACGTTACTAAGTCTAGATTACTCCTGAAACATTTTTGTCAATCTTTTACCAAAATACTTTTGGTAGCTATTTTTTGCTTTAATATTCTGTAGAAATTTTAGGCTGTCCTATGGGGAGCAAAGAAAAATATTTTCGAGGGACTTTTAAAATAGTATTCTCATAATTTCTCCTTGACTTCAGATGAGATATGTACATATCTGCATAATGATGTTGAAACCCACATGACAACATTCTTATCAAGAAACGAAGTTCATGTAAACGTTCAGATGTTTTCAGGTCTCACGTGGTTGTTCTGCTGAAAGCTCTCTCTGGCTATTGGTCTCAGCATAGAACTTGACACAGCAGTGTTCTCTGTAATGCCTCACTTGCTATGGTTTGGGGCAAATCGATAGCTTCACACAGAGTACTGAAGACTAGGCAGTGAGCCAATATTTAAGAGATCAAAGATTACTTAGTATGCGTATCTTCTGTTATCTTCTTTGTAAATTGGAGTATAGTGGATTTACAATGTTGTGCTAATTTCTACTGCACAGCAAAGTGATCCAGTTATACATATATATACAGTTTTTAAAATTCTTTTCCATTGTGGTTTCTCTCAGGACATTGAATATAGTTCCCTGTGCTACACAGCAGGACCCATTGTTTATCCATTCTCTATGTAATAGTTTGCATCTGCTAACCCCAAACTCCCAGTCCATCCCTCCCCCACCCCCATTATCTTTTTTAAACTGCTGCTTATAAGTGTTTACATTCAAAGACTTTACTTGTTATAGTGATTAAAAGGGATACTTGTAGAGAATTTGGAAAATAGAGATAAGTAAAAAGAAGAAAATTAAAATCACTCATAATCACCACAGTATTATAATTACTTAGATTACTACCTACATATATTTATTTTTTTTAACAAAATCAGGATAATATATAAACATTTAGGCTTTCTGCTTTTTTTTTCTTTTATCATGATGTCACAAAAATTTTCTCATGCAATTAATGCTACTATATTAAATAGCCTTATGATAGTCTATCATACGGATATACCATAATTTAATAACTATTCCCGTATTGTTGGATATTTGTATTTTCTTTAATTTTTATTTTAAGGACTAATGCTGAGTATCTCTGTACTTGAATCTTTGCCTGATGATTATATTTTGGCATCTTTCAGAGTGCCATTGGGGCTGGTTTTCAGGGGTGGAGTAGGAGGCCTAATATTGTCTGTGGTACAATAAAGGCTGGATTCCTCAAACTAGGACCTAAGCTTCAGGTTATTTATGCAAGGCCAGGGGACTTAAAATAGCCTTCCTGCCACAGGGTGGTTAAGTTGAACTAGATCTACATTAGCTAGTAAACCGGATCCAGTTATAGATGACGCTGACCACAAGCAAAAGCTGGGTCTATTTTAAACCACATTGCTGAGTGGAACAGGTGGTTGAAGGAATGTGTTAAAGTATATTTTCTCTGGTCTTGATAAATAAAGGAGACAGGATCAGAGATGACCATCCCAGGACCTAGAGTCTGTCACACAGAGTGAAGTAAGTCAGAAAGAGAAAAACAAATATCGTATGCTAACACATATATATGGAATCTAAAAAAAAAAAAAAAAGGTTCTAAAGAACCTAGGGGCAGGACAGGAATAAAAATGCAGATGTAGAGAATGGACTTGAGGACACGGGGAGGGGGAAGGGTAAGCTAGGACGAAGTGAGAGAGTGGCATTCACATATATACACTACCAAATGTAAAATAGCTAGTGGGAAGCAGCCGCATAGCACAGGGAGATCAGCTCGGTGCTTTGTGACCACCTAGGGGGTGGGATAGGGAGGGTGGGAGGGAGACGCAAGAGGGAGGAGATATGGGGATGTATGTATATGTATAGCTGATTCACTTTGTTATACAGCAGCAACTAACACAACAATGTAAAGCAATTATACTCCAATAAAGATGTTAAAAAAAAAAGATGACCATCCCAGCAAACAGATACTCTGAAGTCATTCTCCCAACAACTAAGTGTCCAGTTCTTCAGTGGGAAAAAAGTAACTAAACTTTATTAAAATTGGTTTACTCAGTCTCAAAGGACAAAATGCACACTTCAGAGCACATTGCTCTCTACAATCTAAGACCTGACCTACTGAAAAGGAAGGCATCAACACAGTAGCACCATCTGTCAAAAGAGACAGATTGCTAGCTTGTGTTTTTAAGTCTGATCATATGAACCAGTCCTTACCATATCTTTGTGATCCAGCAAAGAAAGAACGTGTAAGAACAAAGGGTCTCTCCTTCCCTTTAGATCGTTGGATCAGTCCTTCTGCAGTGGCCATTTGCTATAAAGTCAAAGGAGAAAAATTTCAAAGAGATGACTGGATTATGTCACTGTGCAGACATCCCCAATAAGCTATTTCACATGCAAAAAGTAAATAGTAGGTGGGAATGTGAAATGGAAAATATTAAAAATCTGCCCAATAGTTTTCATGATGTAATGAAACTACTCTAAATTCCCCTATTAAAAGAGTGAAACAATTTATCTCATTAAAATAGCAATGAAATAAGAGTAAATAATAGTATTTACTTGGTGCTTACTATTGTGAGGCATTTTTATAAGATTTTCTCTAGTAACCTACACAAAAACCTCTGAGACTGATTCAGAGAGGTTAAGTGACTGGCCCTGGCCTACATAAGAAAATTCTCCAGCTATAAAGTATTGATAATTTACAGTTATAGCAAGAGGCTGTGTAGAGAAGTACACAGATAGCATCTGAAAATCGTGCTGTATGTAGCCAGCAGCTCCCGCTGGAAAACAGCAATTTGTGGGAGGCCCACAGGAACACCATTACATTTTGAAGATAACAAAGAACCAAGGATATAAATTAGGGCAAGTGACTGCCAAGTTTTTTGGATGTGACTGGCAAGTGAAAAACAATTCTACCACCTTCTATTGAGAAGGCTAAGTACTTAAGGAAGGCTTTCTACATTTAGAAGTATACATATTGAAATTGTGCATCTGTGTTCTAAATCTTACTCCCCTGGTATGAATATAAGACTTGCTGTATTTAGACGTTTGTGAAGTTTAAAAAAATCTGTTTTAATTGCCTTTGTTTACATATTTATACACAGCCTACTTCAATAAAAGGTTTGAGGTATTATCTAATGCCATGTACCAATGGCTCCTGTCAAGGAAGATGTTTCTATGTTATCATTAATCAACCAATATCTATAAATTAATCAAGTTCATTATAGATGGAAAAGATGCAAAGGGAGAAATAATGAGTCTTATACTGGCTACAACCTGATAAGACCCATTGTATCAACAGTTGTCAGAAAAGACACACAAAGAAATGAACTGTATAGCATGGTTGTTAAAGCAAATGACTTTCAGCCCAAAAGTCAGGGCACATGGATCCAGGTGGCTGCTTTTTAGATGTTTTACCTGATAAAAGCCATAGATGTTGTGAAGTTCTCGGTGCTCCCAGTTGCCATGATGAATGGCATTCTTCTGCATGGTTAGTTCTGGCCCTCTAAAGACAGAGGGCTCATTCATGTCGTTCCATATGTGGAGGATGTCAGTAGATCCCTAGGAAGTCAATCTTGGTCATGATAAAACTCCTACAGTGACAAGGTTAATATGATAGCCGTCCCTATTCCTCTTTCTTACTCCATTTAATTTATTATTTGTTATGTTTATTATCTATGCTCTGTCCCCTGCTAGGTTAAAAGTTCCACAGGGCAGGGAATTTTGTCTGTTTTGTTCATTGATAAATCCCGAACACCTAGAACAACCTAAATGGCAGAGGGTTCTCAATAAGTACTTGTTGAGTACTTATGAATGAAAGAGTGCTATGCTGTACTCCCATGTGGCCCACAGGTCTGCTCTGAGACCCCCTGGAGAACCACTACAGGAAAGGTTGTGAATGTTCACAATTAGGCTCTACATCATCCATCATCTGCTACAACTCTTAACTATGGGCAATTATAGCTGTCCATGAAAAGATTCCCCCTTCCCTCGAACACTATGAAAGGTTTGACAGCTAGGATACCCGTTTGTTAGCAGGATCTATAGTGTGTGTTCTACATAGAATTGTTAGTTTTAGAGTGGGAAGGGGCTGTTGAGTCATGTAGTTAACATGGTGCTGCAATCCCTTTATAGAATCCCTGGTCTCTCAGCATTTGACTCAATAGCTACAATGACCGGGAGTCCCTCAGGCAGCTCATTCCATTATCTTCTGAAAGTCTTGCTCCTTGTAACATCCTCTCACAGGGCCTAGCTTGCCTTCTGGGATACCACAGAATACATCTGCTGCCTCCCCGACATGGTAGCCTTTCAAATGACTGGAGGAGGCTTATATGTTTTCTTTTGACTCTTTACTTTGAATTATTTCTAATCATGTATACTTCTATGAACGCGGCTATATGGGTTCCAAATATTTAACCACTTTGACTGTTCTTTTTAGCACCCTCTAAGGCAGGGGTTGGCAAACTTTTTCTGGAAGGACCAGACAGTAAATATTTTCAACTTTTCAGGCCATAAGGCCTCTTTTTCAATAACCCAACCCAGCTATAGTTATGTGCAAGCAGCCTAGACAATAGGGAAACAAATGAGCAAGGCCAGATTGGCCCACGTGTTCTTTACCCCTGCTCTAAGTTATTTTCTATATCCTAATACAGGATGCTCAGAAACTAGAGTTTAGTGGTTAAGAGCTGGACTTGGGAGACAGACCTGAGTTCAAATCTTAGGTCCACCACTTACTAGATGGGTGAACTTAGCAGGTTTTTACACTTGTCCATGCCTTGATTTCCTCACCTGTGGGATTAATAATTACAATTCCAACTTCAAAGAGTTATTATGAAGATGAAATGGTATAATGCACACAAAGTGAGTAGCATAGTGCTTGGCACACAGCACATACTCAGTCTATATCAGACATCATTATTCTCATCACCACCGCTGATTGAAAACGCTTCTCTAAATGTGGCCTCTCCAGTTCTCTCTGTGATTCTTATAAGGTTTTAAGAATTATTATTGTACCTTACTTTTAATATCACGTTATACTTTGCAAGATACTTTCTCATATATCATTATCATCATCTTTAATAATATTATACAACACTATTTTATGTAAAAATTTATACAGTTTGAAAATATAATAAGTCTCTATTATTAAGTACTTTGATATATCATAGAGTCTATCATAATAGAAGTCAAAATCACAGCTTTTGTGCACTTGGTAATTCATATGGTACCACCAAGGTCTGTAATGTGGTTGGCATCCCCGTCTTTTTTTTAAGATTTATTTTATTACTTATTTATTTATTTTATTTCCTTTTGGCTGCGTCAGGTCTTAGTTGCGGCACATGGAAACTTTGTTGAGGCATGCGGGATCTTTTGTTGAGGCGCGTTGATGGCACAGGCTTCTCTCTAGTTGTGGCGTGTGGGTTTTCTCTCTCTAGTTGTGGCGCGCAGGCTCCAGGGGACGTGGCCTCTGTAGTTTGCGGCACACAGGCTCTCTTGTTGAGGCGCCCAAGCTCAGTAATTGTGGCGTGCGGGCTTAGTTGCCCCATGGCATATGGGATCTTAGTTCCCTGACCAGGGATTGAATCCACGTCCCCTGCACTGTAAGGCGGATTCTTTACCACTGGACCACCAGGGAGGTCCCTGGCATCTCTGTCTTTTCATACAAGTATTATTTATCAAGAGCTCCTCAGTGAAGCAGAGTAGCTCTATTTAATCACTTCTTTTCCTTACTTTATCCTTCCAAGTAACTAGGAAAGAGCAAAAGAATAAAAACAAACCTGATAAACAGGGAAAGCAAAAAGACTGGAATACCACTCTCTGACTTTGGGACTGGTAAAATCCAGGTAAGAGGAGAGACCTGCAGAGGCAGAGGAGTAGACAGCCTGTTAGGAATGGTGCTCCTCATGGTAATATATTTGTAAAGAAGAATATCAGATGTGAAAGCTGGGTAATGAATGGGCACCTCACATCAAATGTGAAAGATAGCTGATACAGAGGCACGGTCTGGTGAGAAACGAATGAAGAAGGCAATGCTGGACTCCAGTGACAATCACTAGCTCTCTCAAGCTCAGCGGCCAGGGGAATGCCAATGAACAAGCATCAAGATGGAGCCTGTCCCTCACTGATGGCCTCAGACAGGCCCAGTAAGGATGGCAGATAGCCTGGAGTGACCTCTCTGTTCTTAAAGAGAGGAGAGACATGTTTATAAGTGGTATAGGGAGAAGAGGAATGCGTGTGGTTTCTCTACAGTGCATGGACTTGTGATAGAGTGCTATCATACGACAGAGTGGTGATTCCCTTTTGTCCTTGAGGAGTTTTTACCAAGGCTTTAAACTAATAATTTCTGAAATGAAGACTTCAGAGTTGTCAGGGGCAGCTGAGGTCACTCATGAAAGGCTGGGAAGTCAAAACTATAGGCTAACAGGGCAAAGAAGAATCACAGGGAGAGAGATTGCAGGATTCTTCTTCTTTCTTCCTCTTTCTCCTCCTCTCATTTTCTCATTCCCTGGCTTTTAATTTTTTGCTTAGGGAAATAGCAAGTCACTGGGGTTTGCTTGTTAATTTTTCCTTCATTCATTGACTTATAAATGTATACAAAGAACACTGTACCAGATGTTAAATGAAAGATATAAAAGAAGATAATACTATCATCTTTAAGGAAAGGCACATAAATGTAGCATGTGACAACTACAAGAAATTAGAAAGATGGCCATGCAACCTTCATTAGTTGGGACTAAACAGTGGATAACAGGTGTATCAAATGACATCTTACCAGGCCAGCATACACCTTCAAAGTCTCCCCCTTCATGATTCCTCACAAAGAAGCCCTGTTCTTTGGCCTTAGCATACACTAAGTAGTCGGGATCAATCTTGATGTGGGGGTCACTAATGACCACAAGCTGTTAGGACATAAAGGTTTAAAGATTTCATCAGTTTTATATGAGCCATATGTTCATTTACTTGTTTTCATCATAGTTTTGGCATTCAAATTTTACTCAAAACAACTACTATTACTGAAATATTTCAGACACCAGTAAAATCCTATAAACTTTCATGGGTTTATGGGAATATAAATTGATATCAGAACCAGGCCCGTCCTTTTTCACAATTATTGCTGCCCCACCAATACATGTTCTTAAGATCACATTTATTAGGCTTCTATCTCTCTGTGGTGCTGGGTGCTTTACATAAAGGATTAAGCAGGCAAGGTCCCTGCTCCCTAGAAAGCCAGAGGCTAAGATAACACAAAAGAAAACATTAAAGAAAAGAAACTAGCATATTAAAAACAAAAAATAATCCCCAAACCTAAATATGGTACTAAATAAGGAGGCTTGAGAAGAGCTGTGATCACAGCACTATTCTCCAGTATCTCTCCCTGCCCTTCTAATACCATCACTTCCACCTACTCGGGGGCCTCAAAACCACTTTATTTGGCTAGAATAACCTTCTAATAATCCTTCCTCATATCTATCCAAATCTATTCTACACACTAAAGTTTAATTCTCCATTGCTCAAAAACTTACAAAATTTTTTAATTGTGGTAAAATATGCATAACATAAAATTCACCATCTTAACCAATTTTAAGCATACAGTTCAACAGTGTCAAAAAGATTCACAATGTTGTACAATGTCTAGAACTCTTTTCATCTTGTAAAACTGAAACTCTATACCTATTAAAAACAACTTCCCGGGACTTCCCTGGTGGTCCAGTGGCTAAGACTCCGTGCTCCCAGTGCAGGGGGCCCAGGTTCAATCCCCGGTCACGGAACTAGATCCCACATACCACAACTAAGAGTTCGCATGCCACGACTAAAGATCCCGCATGCTGCAAGTAAAAGATCCCACGTGCAGCAACTAAAACCTGGTGCAGCCAAGTGAATAAATAAATATTAAAAAATAATACTCAAACCCCCCCCCCCAAAAACAGAAAAACAACTTCCCACTCCCTCCTCCCCACCATCCTTTGGCTACCACCATTCTTCTTTCTGCCTCTATGATTTTGACTACTCTAAGTATTACAGATTAGTGAAATCATATAGTACTTGTCTTTTTTTTTTTTTTTTTTTTTTTTGGTTTGGCGGGCATGGTTTTTTTTTTTCCGTTTCGGAGCACAGGCTCCGGACGCGCAGGCTCAGCGGCCATGGCTTACGGGCCCAGCCGCTCCGCAGCATGTGGGACCTTCCCGGACCAGGGCACGAACCCGTGTCCCCTGCATCGGCAGAAAGACTCTCAACCACTGCGCCACCAGGGAAGCCCAGCATTTGTCTTTTTGTGACTGGATTATTTCACTTAGCATAATGCCCTTAAGGTTCATCCATGTTGCAGCATGTATCAGAAAGTCCTTCCTTTTAAAGGCTGTATAATTTTGCATTGTATATGTATACCACGTTTCCTTTATCCGTTCATCTGTCAATGGGCTCTTGGGCTGCTTCCATAATAAATGCCTGATAAATGGTAGGTGTTTATTAACTGGGAGATTAAGAATTAACAGCATTGGCTCTGACCACCTGTGAAAGGCCTGGGGCTCAATGCAATGGGTTGAAAAGGCAACTTTAATCTCGGATCCATTTATGTGATACATATGGGGTTCCTCCCTTTTCCTCTCTTGTTTTTTTCTCCTTCACCCTTTTCATTATTGCTATCACTCCCCCCCCGCCCCGCATTACACACTTTCCAGTGTCTTCTCCCTGTCCTCATTTTCTATTTTAGTTCTTTCCTTGGCCATATGGACAGATGGAGTCCATCAGGGAAGCATGCAGGAAAAATGGTGTAATAAAGAATCTGACTCCATTTCTGAGTGACTGTTAAGAGTTTCAAGCCCCATCACTCCCCCTTAGCCTTCCACCCACATCCGTGTGTACTGACAGAGAAAGCCCTGATGCGCCCTTCTTTGATGCCAACAGGAAGTTCAAACCACACAAGCCCCGGTGCATGCACAGGAATCCTCACTCCAGTTCAACCCTCTAACCACCTTAAAACCTTAAAACCTGATCCTGTCTCCTTTCCCAGCTCTCTCAGGCCAATTTCAAAGGAGCTTGGGAGCTAGTCTGCTCCCCCAAGAACACCTCACTATGGGACTAATTAGCCTTTTCATACCCTTTTGGTGCCAGTGTGACATACTCAATCTTGACATCAAAATCAAATTTTGCATCATGGGGTGCATCCATCACAGCACTACAGGGTGGCCACAACGAATGGGACTGAATGCTAGGCCCCTTCATCCTTACGGGGACCTAGACCACTAAGGCAGGGATGGATGGACTGCTAAGGCAGGGATGGATGGCAGGGATGGCCGCCTTCTCACCATTGCTTTTCTGTTATCACAGTTACAGTTACAATTGAAGGTACTATTTTCCTGGCCATTTTTTACCAGATGGTTCTCTTCCACTAATGTATCAAGGCAACTTTAAAAAATTTAAAAATGCTTTGTAATGAAAAGGTTCAGAGTGCTGGCTTATTTTACCTTACGTTTTTTGCTCCTGAGCAGCTCTTGCATCCTTTTGGGGTTTGGGAACCTTTTCTTGTCCCAGGTGAAGTACCTCTTGCCTTCAGTGTGCTCTATGTCCAGCCACATGACATCGTAAGGAATGTCATGTTCATCAAATCCTGCATCCACTGCCTTTACATCACGCTCATCTTCGTAGTTCCAGCGGCACTGATGGTACCCCAAGGAGAAGAGAGGGGGCATGGCTTGTGTGCCTAAAAGGGGGAGATGACAACTGAGCCAATTACCACCACAATGATAATTATACAGTTGATAAATGTTTCCTGAATGTCTACAAGGTCTAAGCACTGAGCCTGGTACTTAGAATATCAAGAAGAAAGCAGAGTCCCTACCCTCAAGTGCTGTGGGACGGCAGAGGGGCTGATAAATTTTGGCTGCAGTGAAGTATGGAGTCTTGAAAGGCTTCACAGAGGTGGTAACACTTGGTTAGAACGTTGAAGAATAAGTAAGAGTATTCTCAGGCAGGGAGAATGAATAGATCATTGAGGCACAGGAAATAGAAAAGATACGGAGGCAGAGAAGGACATGATAAGCTTAGGGAAAAATAAATATTCCAGGGTGGTTACACTGTGAAGGAGGCCAGCAGAAGATGACACTGGAGAGGGTCAGTTTGTAAAGGACCCTGTAGTTCAGGCTAAGGACTCTAAATCTTCTTGTATAGGAAGTCATCAAAAGTTTGGCAAGATGTAACCTCAGCAGACTATGTTTTAGAAAAATTAGTTGGGAGCAGACTTGAAGGCAAAGAAACTGAAGGCAGGAAGAACTGTCAGGAAATTATCATCAAAACATTTACTGATAACATGGAGGACATCTGGTCAACCACTTGCATTTATCTCCTTCCCCTCTTAAAGTCCCACTAAAATCAGAATAAAGAAAAGAAAGAAAGGAAGAAAGAAAAGAATAAAACCACAAGAACAAAGAGAATGGGAGAGGAGTAATTTCAACAAAATTTGGAAGGCTGCAGGCAGGGGTGGTGTGGTAACTATTGAGCAAAACCAAGTAAGCTTTCACCAGAGTGCTTATGAGGGGGATGACGACGAGAAGGGTTCATCCCTGCTCCCAGAACACTAGCAGACAGGAGAATTCCCCCCTCCACCTCAACACGAGAGTGTAAAACTCATCCAGGTACACAGAGCTTCCAGGCAGAACCTTATTCTTATGCATGGATAGCCAAGGATCATCCAACATTTGAGTAAAGCCTCCAAAATTAGACAGAGGGACTCACATAAAGAAATAGAGTAAAAGGATCTCTGAGAAAATAGGGGCAATACAAGGAATCAAAGTAAATATCAAAATGTTATCATTAGTACCTCTGGGAGATGAAAAAAAGTTGCACCCATAAAATAAGACTAGGGTAGCATAAAACAAGTATAAGATATTAGAAACAAGGAACAATCAGAGGATAAGAAAGAGTCTGCAGAAATGAGAAATATGAGCATAAATGGAAAGGCCTGGAAGATAAAATTGAGAAAATTGCTCAGGATTGGACAAAAAAGAGAAGATTATAAAATCTGTAGAGTAGAAAGAGAAAAAGGAGGTGAAGATATTTTCAGGGGAATAATAACTTTTCCAGAACTGAAGGATACAATTCTCAAGAATGAAAGAGTCTACATCTAATATGCAATTATTTTAAAAGGTCTATATCAAGGCATTTGGTTGTAAAATTTCAGAGTTTCAGAATATTAGAAATTTCAGACTATCAGAGATAAAGAGAAGATATGTCAGAGAGAAAAGATAGATCATATACAAAGGAACAGAGTTCAGAGTGATTTTGGAACAAGAAGATAGATTATAGAGAAATGCCTTCAAATTCTGAGATAAATAATTTTCAATCCAGTTACCAAATTATCAAACAAGGGTGAAAGTAGGAAAAGAAGATGTTTTCATATCTGCAAAGATGCAAAAAGTAGACCTCTAATGCACTTTCATAGGAAACTACCAGAAGATGCTTCAAACAATGAACAAAAACCAGGTTAAGGGCTTCCCTGGTGGCGCAGTGGTTGAGAGTCCACCTGCCGATGCAGGGGACACGGGTTCGTGCCTCGGTCCAGGAGGATCCCAAATGCCACGGAGCGGCTGGGCCCGTGAGCCATGGCCTCTGGGCCTGCGCGTCCAGAGCCTGTGCTCTGCAATGGGAGAGGCCACAGCAGTGAGAGGCCCACGTACCGCAAAACCAAACAAAAAAAAACACCAAGTTAATAAACCACGAAAAAGAAAAACATGGGCCCCAAGAAGGGAGAGATCTACCACCAGAAAACAGAAAACAGTAAGTCCTAGGGTGACAGCTGTGCGGGGAGCCTAGAGAAAAACAGTCCAGATAGAGATCTGGGGGTAAGTCTCCAGGGGAAAAAGTGGAATGGATAAAGCATCTGACACCCCTGAGCATTGGAAAAATGTAAACACTGAATGTTGATTAACCAAAAATTATGATATAACAATGTTGGGAGGAAGAGGTAAGAGGATATTATTGAACTAAATCCTCATTAGGTGTTAACAGATAATCTATAAATTTATAAATCAGATTTCTTTGACCATGGTGGCAGATCCACTGTTTTTGAAGCACTTGCCTGTAAATCAGACTATTCTCTCTAATAACAATGTTGAAAGGGGCTGTAGGGGGGCTTTGATGGTACTTATTCCTATATGGGTGTCTTCCACAAATTCTCTGTTGTTCCTCTCATCAAAATTGGAATCAAATTCTTCCCTTGCAAATGGGCTAGACTCAGGAAATTTTAACAATGGAATGCAGCAGAAATGATGCTACATTACTTTGATTTTTAACAGTTTTATTGATATGTAACTCATATATCATACAATTTACCCATGTAAGGCATACAATTCAATGTGGGTTTTTTGTGGGGAGTGGAGCATATTACACTACCAATTAAAAAAAATTGTGGTAAAATATATGTAACATAAAATTTGCCATTTTAACCATTTTTAAGTGTACAATTCAGTGGCATTAGTTACATTCACAGTGTAGTACCAGCATCACCACTAGCTGTTTACAAAATTTTTATATCACTCCAAACAGGAATTCTATAACCACAAAGCAATAATTTTCTGTTACTCATCCCAACCTTCAGCCCCTGCTAACTGCTAATCTTAACTTTTTGTCTCCATGAATTTACCTACTGTAGGTACTTCATACAAGTGGAATCATGTTATATTTGTTCTTTTGTGTCTAGCTTATTTCATTTTGCATAATGCTTTCAAGGTTCATCCATGTTGTAGCATGTATCAGAACTTCATTCTTTGTTATGGCTGAATAGTATTCCATTTTCTGTATATACCACATTCTGTTTTTCTTTTTCTTTTTTTTTTTTTTTTTGCGGTACGTGGGCCTCTCACTGTTGTGGCCTCTCCCACTGCGGAGCACAGGCTCCGGACGCGCAGGCCCAGTGGCCATGGCTCACAGGCCCAGTCGCTCTGCGGCATGTGGGATCCTCCTGGACCGGGGCACGAACCCGCATTCCCTGCATCAGCAGGCGGACCCCCAACCACTGTGCCACCAGGGAAGCCCTATCCATTCATTTTTGATGAGCACTTGGCTTGTTTCTACCTTTCGGCTATGGTGAATAATGCTGTAGCGATCATTGGCATACAAATATCTGTTCAAGTCCTTGTTAAGTTCCTTTGAGTATGTATCTAGGAGTGGAATTGTTGGGTATATTAGTTAGGGTTCTGCAGAGAAACAGAATCAATAGGATGTGTATATATGTGTGTATGTATTTGTATATATACAGAGAAAGAAAATGATTGATTGATTTTAAGGAACTGGTTCATGTGATTGTGGGGACTGGCAACTCTGAATTCTGCAGGCAGGCCTGGAGACCCAGGGAAGAGTTGAAGTTGTAGTTTGAGTATGAAGACAGTCTGGAGACAGATTCCTGTTTCTTTAGAGCATACCTCAGTCCTTTTCTCTAAGGTTTTCAGCTGATTGTATGAAGCCCACTCATGTTACGGAGACTAACCTGCTTTACTCATAGTCTACTGATTTAACTGTTAATCTCATCTAAAAAATAACTTCACAGTGGTATCTAGACTAATGTTTAACCAAATATCTGGGCACCATGACTTAGGCAAGTTGACACAAAATCAATCATCATGCTGGGTCATATGATAGTTCTATGTTTAGCGTTTTGAGGAACTGCCAAACTGTTTCCACACCAGCTGAACCATTTCACGTTCCCACTAGTAATGTATGAGTTTCCAACTTCTCTACATCCTCACCAACACTTATTATTTCCCCTCTTTTTTTGATTTAGTCATCCTAGTGGGTAGGAAGCAGTATCTCATTGTGGTTTTAATTTACATTTTCCTAATACCTAGTGCTGTTGAGCATCTTTTCATGTTCTTGTTAATCCATTTGTACATCTTTGGAGAAATGTCTATTTTAGCCCTTTTCTCATCTTAGAGTTAGATTGTTCCTTTTTATTGTCGAGTTATAAGAGTTCTTTATGTATTCTGGATACTAGACCCTTATCTTATGTATGACTTGCAAATACTTTCTCCCATTCTATAGGTTGCCTTTTCACTTTTGTGGTAATGTCCTTTGATGCACAAAAGTTTTTAGGTTTTTTTTTTTTTTTTTTTTTTTGCGGTACGCAGGCCTCTCACTGTTGTGGCCTCTCCCGTTGCGGAGCACAGGCTCCGGATGCGCAGGCTCAGCGGCCATGGCTCACGGGCCCAGCCGCTCCGCGGCTTGTGGGATCTTCCCGGACCGGGGCACAAACCCGCATCCCCTGCATCGGCAGGCGGACTCTCAACCACTGCGCCACCAGGGAAGCCCAGTTTTTAGTTTTAAATAAGTCCAACTTGTCTAATTTTTTTTCTGTTGCTCATGATTTTGGTGTCATAGCTAAGAATCTGTTGCCAATCCAAGGTCATGAAGATTTATCCCTGTTTTCTTCTAAGAGTTTTATGACTTTAGCTCTTATATATATGTCATTGATCAATTTTGAGTTAATTTTTTGTATATGGTGTGAGATAGGGGTCCAACTTCATTCTTTTGCATGTGGATATCCAGTTGTCCCAGTGCCATGTGGTTAAGAGACAATTCTTTCTCCATTGAATGGTCTTGAACATTTATTGAAAATCAATTGGCCAGAGATGTATGGGTTTATTTCTAGACTCTCAATTCTATTCCATTGGCTTATATGTCTATCCTTATGCCAGTACCACACTGTTTGGATTACTTTAACTTTGTAGTAAGTTTTGAAATCGGGAAGTATGAGTCCTCCAACATTTTTTTTTCAGGACTTTTGGGCCATTCAGGGCCCTTTGAAATTCAGTATGATTTTAAAGATCAGCTCTTCCATTTCTTAAAAAAAGGCCATTGGAATTTTGGCAGGGATTGTAGTAAATCTGTAGATTGCGTCCAATAGTATTGCTTGCTTAACAATACTAAATCTTTCAATACACAAACATGGGATTTCTTCCCATTTATCTAGGCCTTCTTTAATTCAGGAATTTTTTGTAGTTTTCAGCATACGAGTCTTTCACATCCTTGGTTAAATTTATTCCTGGGTATTTTATTCTTTTGGATGTTATTGTAAGTGGAGTTGTTTTCTCAATTTCTTTTTTAGATTGTTCATTGCTGGTGTATAGAAACACAGCTCATTTTGTGTGTTGACCATGTACCCTGCAACTTTGGTTAATTGTGTGTGTGTGTGTGTGTGTATTCTTTGGGATTTTCTATCATATAGTATCACATCATCTATGAATAGAGATAATTTTACATCTCCCTTTCCAATTTGGATGCCTTTTATTTCTTTTTCTTGACTAATTTCTCTGGCTGGAACTTTAACTACAATGTTCAATAGCAGTGGTGAAAGAGGGAAGCCTCATCTTGTTTCTGATCTTAGGGAAAACCTTGCAGTCTTTCACCATTGAGTATGATGTTAGCTGTGAATTTTTCATAAATGCCTTTTATCATGTGGATGAAGTTTCCTTTCATTCCTAGTCTTCTGAATGTTTTTATCATGAAATAGTGTTGGATTTTGTCAAATGCTTTTTCTGCAATCAATTGAGATGATCTCATATCTTTTATTTTATTTTATTTATTTTTTTTGCGGTACGCGGGCCTCTCACTGTTGTGGCCTCTCCTGGCGGCATGTGGGATCTTCCCGGACCGGGGCACGAACCCGTGTCCCCTGCATCAGCAGGCAGATTCTCAACCACCGCGCCACCAGGGAAGCCCCAATCTCATATCTTTTAAAGATAAAATGCTTTTATAGTGCTAAAGCCACTATATTTTAATGGAGAAGAGAACATAGAAAAGTTCAGGTTGGGATACTGGTCATCTGAGATAAAGGAAGAGAAAGCCCAGGGGTTAAAAGGCTCTAAGGAAGGCAGATGGTGAGTATTAGGGATTAGAGAATGGAGAGTTCCAGCCCTAGTGGAATGTTTAACCAAGCTGAATGGGATGAGAGTGGGAGGAGAAATGCTTGCTTCTTTAAAAGCTTGGGTAAGTTGTTTATAAATACTATATGGTGTACAACAAATATTAATTTACAGTGATTCTACATGGGATAGAGGAAATATAATGGAACAAGAAACTGGCACTTCCACATGCAAGTACCTGTAAGGTATGAGTACTGCTTGAAGACGTCAGAAGGTGTAGGTCCTGTCAGCAAAAAAACATCAATGATTCCACTCTCTGACATCCAGTGCACATCAGTTTGAGATCTGACCTTTTGTCTAACAGCAACTGGGCCCGTCTGGGTCAATGCATCCTGGAAAAGGAATGGAATGAAGGTCTGAAAAATTTCCCTCTAACCCACAACACCCATCCATATGTGTGTAATAGTCTGATCCTTTAGTACATACCAATAACCTTCACTGATTATACTGCGAGGACTCTGGAGGCAGAGGACTGCCATTAAAAGCCCAGAGCTACAATTACACTTCAGTGGCTTTGTTTCTTCTGTGATTATGACATGCAGTCATGATCCATTGCTCACCTTTACAGCAGGCTCTGTATTGATCTCCACTAGTGTTTCTGAGGCATTTAGCCAAAAAATGCCTAGAGTCCTGCCCAGTTTGTGGGCCAGGAGATAAGGCACTGAACCATAAATGCCCATTTTGTCATGTATTTTATATCCATAGACATCTAGGTTATAAAGACGGTAAGCATCTCCATCACTGAAACACACAAGGAAGGATTACCAATTACCACTGCATATATATTCTTAATGAATATTATAGCTCCATTCTCCCCTGCATTCTCCCCTTGGGTACAATACATCTTTCAAAGCTCAACTCCTAACACTTCCCTAAAGGTTTCCTGACCCAATGTGGGTGAATATGATCCTCCTCCTTTGATTCCTTTGGCATCCCCTCAGGCTACTATTGGCGTGTATGATCTCATATCTTAGATAGCTTTTCTAAATATCTCTTGTGAGGTGAGGACCATTTCCTGTGAATCCTGCATAATAGCAAGCACACAATAAATTGACAAATTTTGTATTTCTCTGTCGTGAAAGCAAAATGATAGTATCCTAACATGTTTCCACAGTACTGAGTAGGGAAAGATTAGGAACTGAATTGAGGTGGGGAACACGGAGCTCAGGTTGGTGTGAGAGCAACACAGTTTCTGATTCACTTGTCACTATGTCTCCCTATTATCTAAACAGCATCTGAACCTGGCAACTTTGACCAGACTCTGTTTCTCTTTGGTTCCGCTTCCTCTTAGAGTGATACCCCTGGCATTTGTTTGTCAATAGTGTTAGTTTGAAATAATCTCCCCGAGGGAATCAAAGGTGATATGAGATGCCACACTCTTCCATTCTCTGGCTCACTGTCCTTTTTTGGTAAAAGCCTTTTTCTAGGTCAGTGATCTTCACAGTGTATTTCCCAAGGTTCCACAGAAAGGCCTTGGGAGGTGAAAGCAAAACCCGGGGAGGTGATATTATGAAGCTCTCCCCGCTACTTCAACCACAGCAGCTCCATATTTTTACTTCCTCTATATTTTTAGGTTCAGCAATACAGTTTTTATAATTGTCTTCTTTTTGCCAAAATATAAAAATTGAAAACCACTGCTCTGGGCGATCATTAAAGGGAAATTCTTAAAGATCTACAAGCAATATCAAGAGGGGAAAGGCCAGATACATATTAGCACTGGCTCAGACATCTCACATATTTTCCTTTCAAACTTTTCCAGTCCAGAAACCAGAGCCTCCTGTAAGAATTCTTGTTTTCACTTTACCTTGTATTTTTAAGTTGGTGTGATTCTGCATGTTGCGGGATCCCATAGACATGCTCAAACCCATGCAAGGAGAAATCCAAACCAATGGAGGCAGGACCTGCAGGGACCAGGATAGTGACTGAGTTTTGCTTCTCAGTGGGACAATCGATTAAGGAGATTCAGCAACTATAAGAGCAGCAAGATGACTAGACTAGGGATCAAGAGACCTGAGCTTGCCCTGATCAATCAGTAAATCATGTATGCTGACTCTCTGTACGGTTATATTTAGGTGTTGTGGGGATACAAAAATGCACATGGCAAAGTTCTGGGCACTTATTAGTTATGTTTCCTTAGCTGTGTGCTAAAGTTCTCTGTGTCCTCATTTATAGTAAATCTCCTTTCTATCTGTAAAATAGGATTACAAAGTTTTAGATTTTTTCCCTAATCTAAATTTTCCAGAAATGTATTGCATACTTGTTTGCTTTAGGAAGCAGATGATAGCGAGCACTTTTAATACTTACTAGATGAAAGGCTGGGTGTCTTCTGCCTGACGGTTCATTCTTACTGCATACAGAAACTATAAGGTCAAGGGCACCAGGAGGACCTTTCCTGGCTCCTCAAAATACCCCCTTCCCTGTGATTGTAGATATATAAATTTCCTTTAGCCAAAGACAAGTCCTTTATCTAACAATTATTTTAGAGATATGGGGAAAATGAAAGTAACTAGGAGAGATAACATTGACTTAAATTCCCTCTCAGGTAAAAGTATTTGCCATCAAATGGTCCTTATTTGGAGGAGTTTATGGAAATGGGGTGCTTTAGGTAAGGTAAAAAGGATTATAATGTTACAGAAAGGGGAGCTTTAGGGCCCCTCTACTTATAATTTTTGGGCACATGTCAGTCCTGATCATTATATGAGGCTATAGAAATAGATGCTAGAACAGAGATTCTCAAGGAGTTAGGGAAGGTCTGTTATTCCCCAGGGTAGGGAGAAATAAGGAGAAAAGTGAGTATTTTTTCCAACTAAATAAGCCCCAAGTATTTGAACCGTGTCTCCTAAAGGGACAAATTCCTTCCCAGCCACCTACACCCTCCCCCTCCATCACTAAGCCTAGTGAGAAATGTCACATGATGCTCACATAAATGATGGGGAGGCCTGGAAAAGGCTGAGAACCACTGCATTGAAATGTTGGAGGCAATGAGCTCTAGAACTTGGTTTCTCATCACTTGACTCTCATAAAAATAGAATGTAGAATTTGCAGCTGTCTGATTCACTGCATAGTGCAAGCAGTATGCGGACCTCCATGAGACCAGAAACTCCATAAGGCCTATACTTCTACGCTCCCCACAAGTCATACACTCACTATTTCTCTATTGCAATGCATTACTGAAGAATAGGGGACCCAAACATGAGATTTCTGTTCACCTTACAGAAGTCATGTGTTTAGGTGCCAAAGCTCAAGGGACTTTTAGATAGAGACTTTTGGCCATTTTGGAAAGGTCTGTTTTAACACTACACCAGTTTTAATTGTACCATTATCTTTGACATCCACAAAATTTCTGAATTTCTCCTCCCACAGGCCCAGTTCCTCTTGATTTTCCTGTTGGCACAAAAAAAGGGAGCAAACTGAGGTTATATATTGCAACAAATGTTGTTACCACAATAGCACATTTATTTGATTAAAATATTAGACTGAGGAAGTGATTTCATCTTTTAAAAGGCCAATTTGTGATATCAGTATATTAATCAAATTAGATCTATGTTCTATATAAACGCCATTAATCATCCTTATGATCTATAGCAGACATGAATATATTTTTTATTGTGGTAAAATATACGTAACTTAAAATTTACCATTTTAACCATTTTTAAGTGGCATTAAGTACATTCACATGTTGTACAACCATCATCACCATCCATTTCCAGAATTTTTACATGCTTCCAAACTGAACCTCTGCACCCATTTAACAATAATTCCCCATTCTCCCCTCCCCCCAGCTCTTGACAACTACTTTTCTATTTCCTGTCTTTATGAATTTGACTACTCTAGATATCTAAGTAGAATCATAAAGTATTTGTCCTTTTGAGACTGGCTTACTTCACTTAGTATAATGTCTTCAAGATTCATCCATTTTGTAGCATGTATCAGAATTTCCTTCCTTTTTAAGGCTGAATAATATTCCATTGCATGTATATACTCCATTTTGTGTGTGCATTCATCTGTCAATGACTCTTGGATTACCGGATTGCTTCTACCTTTTGGCTACTGTGAATATCATTCTGCTATGAACATAGGCTGCAAATATTGGTTTGAGTCTCACTTTCAGTTTTGGATATATATCCATAAATGGAATTACTGGATCATATTGTAATTCTTTTTTTTCTTTAATTTTTAATTATTTATTTATTTTTATTTTTGGCTGCTTTTGGTCTTTGTTGCTGGGCATGGGTTTTCTCTGGTTGTGGCAAGCAGGGGCTACGCTTTGTTGCGGTGCACGGTCTTCTCATTGCAGTGGCTTCTCTTGTTGCGGAGCATGGGCTCTAGGCACACGCAGGCTTCAGCAGTTGCACCAGGCGAGCTCAGTAGTTGTGGCTCGCGGGCTCAGTAGTCATGGCACGCGAGCTCTAGAGTGCAGGCTCAGTAGTTGTGGCGCACAGGCTTAGTTGCTCCAGGGCATGTGGGATCTTCCTGGACCAGGGCTCGAACCCGTGTCCCCTGCATTGGCAGGCGGATTCTTAACCACTGCGCCACCAGGTGAGCCCCTCATATTGTAATTCTATGTTTAATTGTTTAGGAACTGCCACACTGTTTGACGTGAATATCTTTAAAAGAGCCAAAATGATGTGAAAGCACTTTGCAAAATGCAGTCTTTTACATATGTAAGGCAAAACATTTAGAATCAAATAACTTGGGTCTCTTCTGAGAGACCCTAAGCAAAGATTTTGGCTGAGATGGGCACCTTCCCCCCTGCTTCAATTAGCCAAACTACTGGCTGTGTTCTTGTGCTGGATGGAGAAGTCAACTGGGATGGCCACTGCTCAGGTTCACTATCTTTTGACCTAGAGCCATGAACTTTCAAGCTTTACAAAAGTCACCTTGTCTCTGGTAAAATGAAAAAAGTTTTAAAAGAATTGTGTGTGTATGTGAAAAGCACATTTCTTTTTAAAAAGTGAGGGACTTCCCTGGTGGTCCAGTGGGTAAGACTCCGCACTCCCAATGCAGAGGGCCTGGGTTCGAACCCTCATCAGGGAACTAGATCCCGCATGCATGCCACAATTAAGAGTCCGCATGCCACAACTAAAAGATCTCTCATGCTGCAACTAAAAGATCCCGCATGCTGCAACGAAGATCCTGAGTGCCACAACTAAGACACAGCACAGCCAAAATAAATAAATAGATAGATAAATAAATAAATAATAATAAAGTGAGCCCTTTCCCTATTTCTAGGCTGTTTCTTCATAATTAAATCTTCTGTAAAGTGAGTCTGTTTTTTTTAAAACGACACCTGAATTCTTTTTTTTTTTTTTTTTTTGCGGCACATGGGCCTCTCACTGTTGTGGCCTCTCCTGTTGCGGAGCACAGACTCCGGACGTGCAAGCTTAGCGGCCATGGCTCACGGGCCCAGCCACTCCGCAGCATGTGGGATCTTCCCAGACTGGGGCACGAACCCGTGTCCCCTGCCTTGGCAGGCGGACTCTCAACCACTGCGCCACCAGGGAAGCCCGACACCTGAATTCTTAATGTGGGATTATTATCCTGAGGTCTAGATAGGCTTTAAAGTTTGTGAACTCCCTGAAACAGTAGGAAAAAAATTTTTTTTCTACAGAGGTGGTTCACAGCTTTCATCAGAGTCCTGCAAAGGGGTGTTTGACTCAAAACCACTATCTAAGCTATATGATTAGAGGTCTCCCAAAAGCTAATATAACATATTGTCACAAAGCTGTGTAAGGCACAAATGTGTTAGTTTTTATCTTCCCTATTTGAAAATGGAAAAATTATTCTCTCTCATATTCATCAGTATGGGCCAGTTCTCAAGAGGGAGAAGCATTTGTCTTATTGCACTGGAAATATTTTTCACCATTCTTCGTGGCCATAGCTACTGTCAGGGTTCCTTTAAAGATGTGTGGGGCTTTGGATGAAGAGACGATTTCTGGAATGTCCATTCTCCAGAATTTAGCCAAAATAATCTTTCCGAAACAGAAATCAGACCATGTATCTCTGCTGCTTAAGACCTTTCCATAGTTCTCCTTTGCTCTTAAAGTCCAAAAAAGTTAATGTGACTTAGAAGAATATAAGCTCCATGATAATGAGGGAATCGGATTAGTTTGATGATACAGCACCAATTCCTTGAACAGTGCCTGGCCTACAGGAGGTCCCATTTATATGTGGTAAAGCATTTACCAACTACCCACCTGTATAAGGGAAGAACAGACCTATTATACTCCACATAATGATGATGATAGTGAAAAACATTTTAAAAAGATATATTACTCTATGTAGATTACCTGAGTGGTATCATCTGATGTATCCTCCTCATTTTCCTTGGTGGCTCTGCTGTAATATAAAGTTGTTTCACTCATGGCAAGACTGACAATTTGTTCAATGATAAAGATTTCCATTTCCAAATATTGAGACCCCATAAATTATATCCTTTAACTTATTAAAAATAACATCATTATAAAAATAAATTTATGAAATTAAACATTTATGATGAACATTAATCCAACAGCTTGATTTCTTATAAAATATAGAGAGATTTGAATTTCCTTAAGTCTTTTAAAAATACATTAATCAGTTTTTTTATTATAAATGTAATACATGTTCATAGTATTTAAACAAAACGTAAGCAAGGTAGAACACAGTTCCTCTCGCGCAATATTACCCTAGAATGGAGCAACATGATGCACTGTCTTGCACAATGATGACAACTTATTCTAACACCTATAGTTGTATTTGAGTGCATATTTCTTCCATTCTTAACAATACTAGACTTCATGGATTTTTTTTTAACTCTTTGCCAATCTAAAGTTTTAGAAAAGATAATGCATTTCAGTTTGAACTTGTACCATTAATGATGCAGACTACCTTTTTATACATTAAATGGTATTTCTAGTTCTGTGAATTGTCTATTCATACTCATTATACATTAATTTTTTCTTTAGTGTAAAATGCAGCATGCATATAGAAGAGTATATAATGTATGCACAGAGTTTAAAGAATAATACTAAAGTGAACAATTATGAACCTACCAGTGAGCATAAGCAACAGAAATGACTTGTTCTTTTGGAGTTCCTATGTGCCTCTCTTCAAATGCATCTGCCCCCCTAATATTTGCATTCAATGCTACAAATTTCCCTCAAAGCACTGCTTTTGCTGCATCCCACAAATTTTGATGTTGTATTTTAATTTTCATTTAGTTTGAAATCTTTTCCTTTCTTTCTTTTTAGATTTCTTCTTTGTGTTATTAAGAAGCATGTTGTTTAATCTTCAAGTATTTTGGAATTTTCCAGCTTTCTGTTGTTGATTTCTAGTTTAATTGCATTGTGGTCTGAGAGCTGGCATTGTATGATATCCATTTGTTTAAATTTGTTAAGGTGTGTTTTATGACACAAAATATGGTCTTGGTGAATGTTCCATGTGAGCTTGAGAAGAATGTGTATTCTACTGTTGTTGGATGAAGGAGACTATAGATGTCAATTATAGCCAGCTGATTGATGGTGCTTTTGAATTAGAATATGTCCTTATTGATCTTCTCCCTGCTGAATCTGTCCATTCCTGATAGAAGGGTGTTAAGGTCTCTAATTGTAATAGTGGATTCATCTATTTCTACTTGCAGTTCTATCATTCTTGCCTCAAGTATTTTGATGCTTTGTTATCAGGCACATACTTTCCCTGTTTTGAAGTTAGCTCTTTCTGAAATTAATATAACTACTCCTATTTTCTTTTTTTTTTGAGAGTTGGGAGTTAAGTTTTATTGGGGGCAAAATGAGGACTGCAGCCCAGGAGACAGCGTTTCAGATAACTGAAAAACTGCTCTGCTATTTTCTTTTTTAAAGATCATAATGTTATCATTTATTGGATGAAAAAAACAAAGAAGAAAAAGAATTGTTTTGGAATGTTTGGGGGAAAAACAGCTTGCTTATAAGTAAAATTCTTTCTCTTTGAAATGAGTTAGTAAAAAAGAAAACAATCTTCATTATATGAAATAACATCCCCAGGTAGGAAAAGCAGCACACAAGAATATATTTTTGGATATAAAAATTTATATTTATATATAGTTATGCCATCAGCAGCATTCAAAATTAGCTGAGTATCTATACAATTACACATATTGATTCATGTTTTAACGAAGTGTTTTAAAAGCTCATCATATTAGAACATGCACAATATTCTGAAGGCATATAAATTCCCCATGGGTTTCTGAACATCCTTACCCTCAACTTCACAATCAGAATGTACAAAAGCAGTGAAAGATCAGAGTTCAGAGGTGTTTTATTTTTCTTTTCCTTGTTCAAAGTGCCTAAGTCAAGCAAATATATTGAAAAAGGCAAAATAAACACTTTGCATAGCAGAAGATTGCAAGATTGCATGTAAACGATGATTCTCCTTTAGGACATTACACAAGTACAAGGTACATCTGTACTTAGAATAAGGCTCATTACCTCTTCTTGCAGCATGAATGTTCAACAGGCAGAGAGCAACGTTCTGCCCAGGGACCAGTCTCAATTTGGTCTCAAAGAATGCCTCCCAAGGATCCACAAGGACAATAAGTCTAGGCAGCCATTTATATCAGGGAACTTTTGTCCCCACTATGTCTACTTTTTGGTGCTGTCTGTTAAATGTAGTGACATTACTTTGTTGTGAATATACACATTAGTGTTATTACGATGCTGTGGACTGACCTTTCACTCCAAATAGCCATGTTCCCCCCATCTAGTGAACTCACTCTTCCCTGGTTTCAGTTCAGCCCGTCTATAGAAATTTTTTTTTACATTTCCAAGCCCAGTGTCAGTTTATCAGCTCCTGCTAAGAAGGATATAATTTTATTTGGTCAATTTACATTAACAATATGGTTGGCCTGTTAAACTTTAGCCATTCTAATAGGTGTGTGGTAGTACATCACTGTTGTTTTAATTTGCAATACCCTAATGACTAACGGCATTAAACATATTTTTCAAGTGCTTATTTGTCACTTGTATATCTTCTTTGGTGAAATATCTGTTCAAATCTTTTGTTTATTAGATTATTTTCTTAAATTTTGAGAGTTCTTTCTATATTATGTCAATCCATACAACTTCTTTATTAGATATATACTTTGCAAATATTTTCTCTTAGTCTATGAATTATCTTTTCATTCTCTTCATATAGTCTTTTTTTAATATACTAAAGCTTTAAATCATTATACAGAGGGATTAATATCCCTTTTTTATTGTTGAATAATATTTTATTATAATTGATTATGGTTAATTATTCAGGTTTTTTCTAGTTTTTACTATGACAATGCCACAATAAACACCTTCATACATTTATCTTAGATACATGTGTGTTTGATTACAACAGGACAAAGTCCCAAAACTGGTACTGCTAGTTCAAACGTATGCATATTTTAAATTTTAATGCATTTCCAGATCATTTCCTCCAGTTTGAAGCAACTCATACTCAAATGAACAAAGTCTAAGGCCTGGATGAACCTTGAGGACATTCTTCTAAGTGAAATAAGCCAGTCACAGAAAGATAAATACTACATGATCCCACCTATATTAGGTATCTAAAATAGTCAAATTCATAGACTCAAAGAGGAATGGTGGCTGCCAGGGGCTAAGGGGAGGGGGAAATGGGGAGTTACTAATCAATGGGCATAAAGTTTCAGTTAAGCAAGATGAATAAGTTCTAGAGACCTACTGTACAGCACTGTGCCTACAGTTAACAATACTGTATGGAACACTTAAAATTTTGTGAAGAGGGTAGATCTCATGTTAAGTGCTCTTACTACAGTAAAATAAAATAAAACAAAATAAAACAAAATAAAGTAATTAATAGTCAATGCAAATTAAAGGAAGAATAATAACCTATTTCTTCATATAGTCTTTGAATGGGCAGGCATTTTTACTTTTGGTTATATCCATTTAACCCATTTTTTCTTTTGTGGATCATGCTTTTGGTGTAATATCTAAGACATCTTTGCCTGATCCAAGGTTTCAAGATTTTCTTCATTGTTGTCTAGAAGTTTTATAGTTTTAGGTTTTACATTTAGGTCTATATTGTATTTTGAGTAATTTTCTTTTTTTTTTTTTTTGATTGACGTTTCATTCTTGTTTGTGGCAACTTCTGAGCTCCTCACATGCCAGACTGGAAATTACAAGTCCTTGCCTTTTCATTTTGTTCAAGTTTTTTTGTTTGTTTGTATTTTGTTTTTGTGGTTATAATAAAGTTTAAAGTTTAAAATTTCTAAGTAATCGAATCAATCACCCTTTTTCCTTATGGCTCTTCAGTTTTTCTTACACTAAGATTCTTTAAATTCTACATTTTTTCCTATTTTTGTTTTCTTGTGTGCTTTATTTTTATTTATCTGGAATTCATTTTTGCTAATGTTCTGAGGTTAGGACCTTACATTTTTTTTCCAAGTGGATAATCTAATTTTCCTAACACAAAGATAAATACAAATAATGGAAATATAAACTAGTACACAACCTCTATGGGAGGCAATTTGGAAACATCTATCAAAAGTACAGATGTACAAACCATTTGATCAGAAATTATACTTCTGTGACTCTGGTCTATGGATATACTTGCATGTATGCAAAATGACACATATACAAGGTTATTCATGAAGTAAGTAGTTGTAAAACAGTATCAGAAACAACTTTAAAGTCTACTAGCAGGGATTAACTAAATGAATCACAGTGTAACCATATAATAGAAACTATGTAGCTGTTTTAAAGAAATTAGAAACTACCACATTGGTAAAGGGAAAAAAAGCAAGGTACAGAATAATGTGTAAAGATGATATCATTTGTGACAGGAAAGGAAAAAACAAAGAATACATTAATCTTATTGTATAGGCATAAATTATCTCTGGAAGGATACACAGAAAACTGGAAACACTGATTACTTTCAAGGATGGAATGAGGTAGCTCAAGCACAAATGGTGAGGGAGACTTTTCACTATATACACCTTTTTTTTTTCACATCTTTATTGGAGTATAAATGCTTTACAATGTTGTGTTAGTTTCTGTTGTACAACAAAGTGAATCAGCTATATGTATACATATATCCCCATATCCCCTCACTCTTGAACGTCCCTCTCACCCTCCCTATCCTATCCCTCTAGGTCGTCACAAAGCACCGAGCTGATCTCCCTGTGTATATACACCTTTGTACAATGTGCTTATTTAAAAAAATAAATAAAAATTAAAAAGCCCAACTTAGATATCACCTCTAAAACAAAAATAATGGGAGTTTAGTAAAAGGAAAAAATGTTTTAAATATTAATGCTTTAAATATAAATAAATAATGAATTAAATATAAATAACAAATACACAGGGATTTGTTATGCTATTAGTATTTTCAGTCAAAAAAAGTAATTGAATTATATTCATAAGGCACTAACAGAGTAGGTGGCAGGATTATGGGTATTTTTTCTTCTTTTCAATATTTTCTATTTTTCCTTCAATGAACACATTTCTGTGATAAAATAAGTCATTTATATTTTATAAATTTATAAATTTATTTATTTATTTTTGGCTGCATTGGGTATTCGTTGCTGCACGGGCTTTCTCTTGCTGAGGCGAGCAGGGGCTACTCTTTGTTGCGGTGTGTGGGCTTCTCATTGCGGTGGCTTCTCTTGTTGCAGAGCATGGGCTCTAGGTGCGTGGGCTTCAGTAGTTGTAGTGTGCAGGCGCAGCAGTTGTGGCACATGGGCTTAGTTGCTCCACGGCATGTAGGATCTTCCTGAACCAGGGCTTGAACCCGCATCCCCTGCATTGGCAGGTGGATTCTTAACCACTACACCACCAGGGAAGTCCCAAAATAAGATTTTTTAATATTAAAATTTTAAAATAGAAATAAGTTGAAACTCAGAAAAAAATCACTATGTTGAATGCTTTCTGCAGCTCATATAAGATGTTCATTATTTGGGTAAAAATAGAAAGACTGGAGGATTTAAAGACAATATTGGTAAAAATGGAAGAAGAATCTCCTTCTACTACTATCTTCCAATTCATGCGACCCACACACAAACAGCTTTGATCAAATGGTTGGTTCCAGAAAATTCCTGGACAACTATTCAAGTCTAAGGTAACTCATGTTATTCTAAGGAGGTAAAATGAAATTCTGAAGACATGTTAGTTCACATTAGCATCTATCAAGTTAACACGGTGTGGGCTTCCCTGGTGGCACAGTGGTTAAGAATCTGCCTGCCAATGTAGGGGACATGGGTTCAAGCCCTGGTCCGGGAAGATCCCACATGCTGCGGAGCAACTAGGCCTGTGTGCCACAACTGCTGAGCCCACGTGCTGCAACTACTGAAGCCTGTTCACCTAGAGCCTGTGCTCCGCGACAAGAGAAGCCACCGCAATGAGAGGCCTGTGCACCGCAGTGAAGAGTAGCCCCTGCTCGCCGCAACTAGAGAAAGCCCGCGTTCAGCAACGAAGACCCAATACAGCCAAAAATAAATAAATATATTTATTAAAAAAAAAAAAAGTTAACAGGATGATTTTTTAGAAGGATGTGTAGGGTAGAGAACGTCCTCAGTCAAACATATAGGATGTGTTAAGAGTGTCATCTTCACAAATGTCTGAGAATAATTTTTGTCATCAAGCCTGCATTCACCTGCACAGGTGAAAAGATGAAATTTCTCAGAACAATATCCCAGCAAATAAGGCAAACCAGTTTTCTATGGTGATGTATTATCTATTTAGGCAACTGGTATTCACAGTCAGGTTTTCTTAAGTTCTTTATGTGTTAAGTAATGTGCAAAAATACCTTTGCTTGGGAGGAATCTGCAGCTGCTCAAAGTACAATTGGCCCAGGGAGTTTATGCTCATCACAACCTCTTCTTCAGATACCAAGTCTATCTTGAATGGGTTTGCTGTGATGTGACACTTCAGATCTCCTTTTCCATTTGCCAATACAAGACTGCCTGTATCCCCTGAGCATGAAATCAGCCTGGAAAACAAGGCAGGAAGAGAAAAATAAATTGCTGTAGGTTTACATGGCTCAATGCAATTCTCAATTCAAATTAGTAAATCAATATTCATGTGACATAGCACAGATAAGGCAGTAGAGAGCTGTAATTGAGAGCATGGGCTTTGGTGTCAGAAAGACTGGACTAAACATAGCTCTCCCACACACTAGGTGTATAACTGTGGACAAGTTAATCTTTCTAGTTCTTGTTTTCCTCATCTGTAAAGTGGAAATGATAAAAGCAAGAACAAATAGAGATTTTTGAGAGGATTAAATGAGATCACACATGTAAAGCACTTGGCAAAGAGCCTGGCATATAATAAGCGCTCAGTAAATGTTAGCTCTCATCATCATTATTACTTTGGTCTGGTAACAAGTTGGTGCATAGAATTTAAACATTTTGCTTTTCTTTCTCGTTCCAACCCTACACTCAGAAACTGAGTAAATAACACAGATTCGGTTATTGATTCACTCAGTCCAAAGTGAGATGGAAAGGTGAAACTTTTGTTTATTTATCACCTAACTTCCAACAGCCCAATCAGACACGTACACTTTTTGGATGCTTTGGATCCCCAGGAGTTATATAAGCTCAGAGACAGCACTTAAAATCCCTAGGTCTATCATCAGGAAAAAAAAGGGAGACTCAAATCAACAGAATTAGAAATGAAAAAGGAGAAGTAAGAACTGACACTGCAGAAATACAAAGGATCATGAGAGAATACTATAAGCAACTATATACCAATAAAATGGACAACCTGGAAGAAATGGACAAATTCTTAGAAAAGTACAACTTCCCAAGACTGAACCAGGAAGAAATAGAAAATATGAACAGACCAATCACAAGCACTGAAATTGAAACTGTGATTAAAAAACAAAAGCCCAGGGCCAGATGGCTTCACAGGTGAATTCTATCAAACATTTACAGAAGAGCTAACACCTATCCTTCTCATACTCTTCCAAAATATAGCAGAGGGAGGAACACTCCCAAACTCATTCTACGAGGCCACCATGATCCTGATACCAAAACCAAACAAAGATGTCACAAAAAAAGAAAATTACAGGTCAAAACCACTGATGAACATAGATGCAAAAATCCTCCACAAAATACTAGCAAACAAAATCCAACAGCACACTGAGAGGATCATACGCCATGATCAACTCGGGTTTATCCCAGGAATGCAAGGATTCTTCAATATATGCAAATCAATCAATGTGATACACCATATTAACAAACTGAAGGATAAAAACCATATGATAATCTCGATAGATGCAGAAAAAGTTTTTGACAAAATTCAACACCCATTATGATAAAAACTCTCCAGAAAGTGGGCATATATGACGAACCCACAGCCAACATCATTCTCAATGGTGAAAAACTGAAAGCATTTCCTCTAAGATCAGGAACAGGACAAGGGTGTCCACTCTCACCACTACTATTCAACATAGTTTTGGAAGTTTTAGCCATGGCAATCAGAGAAGAAAAAGAAATAAAAGGAATCCAAATTGGAAAAGAAGAAGTAAAACTGTCACTGTTTGCAGATGACATGATACTATACATAGAAAATCCTAAAGATGCCACCAGAAAACTACTAGAGCTAATCAATGAATTTGGTAAAGTAGCAGGATACAAATTAATGCACAGAAATCTCTAGCATTCCTATACATTAACAACAAAAAATCAGAAAGAGAAATTAAGGAAACAGTCCCATTTACAACTGCAACAAAAAGAAAAAAAAATACCTAGGAATAAACCTACCTAAGGAGATAAAAGACCTGTATGCAGAAAACTATAAGATACTGATGAAATAAATCAAAGACGATACAAACAGATGGGAAGATATACCATGTTCTTGGATTGGAAGAATCAACATTGTGAAAATGACTATACTATGCACAGCAATCTACAGATTCAATGCAATCCCTATCAAATTACCAATGGCATTTTCACAGAACTAGAACAAAAAATTTCACAATTTGTATGGAAACACAAAAGACCCTGAATAACCAAAGCAATCTTGAGAAAGAAAAACAGAGCTGGAGGAATCAGGCTCCTTGACTTCAGACTCTACTACAAAGCTACAGTAATCAAGACAGTATGGTACTGGCACAAAAACAGAAATATAGATCGATGGAACAGAATAGAAAGCCCAGCGATAAACCCACACACATATGGTTACCTTATCTTTGACAAAGGAGGCAAGAATATACAGTGGAGAAAAGACAGCCTCTTTAATAAGTGGTGCTGGGAAAACTGGACAGCTACATGTAAAAAAAGAATGAAATTACAACACTCCCTAACACCATACACAAAAATAAACTCAAAATGGATTAAAGACCTAAATGTAAGGCCAGACACTACAAAACTCTTAGAGGAAAACATAGGCAGAACACTCTATGACATAACTCACAGCAAGATCCTTTTTGATCCACCTCCTAGAGGAATGGAAATAAAATAAAAAATAAACAAATGGGACCTAATGAAACTTAAAAGCTTTTGCACAGCAAAGGAAACCGTAAACAAGACGAAAAGACAATCTGCAGAATGGGAGAAAATATTTGCAAACAAAGCAACTGACAAAGGATTAATTTCCAAAATATACAAGCAGCTCATGCAGCTCAATATCAGAAAAACAAACAATCCAAAAATGGGTGGAACACCCAAATAGACATTTCTCCAAAGTAGACATCAGATTGCCAACAAACACATGAAAAGATGCTGAACATCACTAATCATTAGAGAAGTGCAAACCAAAACTACAATGAGGTATCACCTCACACTGGCCAGAATGGCCTTCATCAAAAAATCTAGAAACAATAAGTGCTGGAGAGGGTGTGGATAAAAGGGAACCCTCTTGCACTGTTGGTGGGAATGTAAATTGATACAACCACTATGGAGAACAGTATGGAGGTTCCTTAAAAAACTAAAAATAGAACTACCATACGACACAGCAATCCCACTACTGGGCATATACCCTAAGAAAACCATAATTCAAAAAGATACATGTACCACAATGTTCATTGCAGCACTATTTACAGTAGCCAGGACATGGAAACAACCTAAATGTCCATCAACAGATGAATGGATAAAGAAGATGTGGCACATATATACAGTGGAATATTACTCAGCCATAAAAAGGAATGAAATTGAATTATTTGTAATGAGGTGGATGGACCTAGAGTCTGTCATACGGAGTGATGTAAGTCAGAAAGAGAAAAACAAATACCGTATGCTAATGCACATATATGGAATCTAAAAGAACAGTACTGATGAACCTAGTGGCAGGGCAGGAATAAAGACGCAGACATAGAGAATGGACTTGAGGACACAGGAGCAAGGGGAAGCTGGGACGAAGTATGAGAGCAGCATTGACGTATATACACTACCAAATGTAAAATAGATGGCTAGTGGGAAGCTGCTGCATAGCACAGGGAGATCAGCTCAGTGCTTTTTGATGACCTAGAGGGGTGGAATAGGGAGGATGGGAGGGAAGCTCAAGAGTGAGGGGATATGGGGATATATGTATACATGTAGCTGATTCACTTTGTTGTACAGCAGAAACTAACAACACAACATTGTAAAGCAATTATCCTCCAATAAAGATATAAAAATAAAAAAATAAAATCCCTAGGTCTAGATATTTTTCTAGTGCATAGTCACCCTGGTCACAGGCCTCTTTAGGGAGGATTAGGAGGGATAGTTTATGATCTTATATATCTTTACAACCTCCTCCATGGATTCTAGGCCTGCCCCTCAAGCAAGATGCTTTGGGTTCTGGAAATTAACTTTGTAGTTTGAGAGGTTGTGTCTCACTGTTCATCAAACTTAAATAGAGTTCTTTTGATTATTCTGTCAAGTAGGACTCTAGTCCATCTATTTCAGCCTAATGGACCCCCTGACGTATCATGCACTGCCCTGAGGCTTGAGCCATTTTGAGTACCACACAGGCCCTGTTATGGAAACACGTCTACCTTGTCTCTCACAACTAAATGCTGCTACTTTGACTCTGCTACCTAGAGTCTCATCATTTCCACTGAAATCAGGGAGCCCATTTTAATGGTACCATTCCCACCATTATCTCTAGCTCAGAAAAGACATTCACTCACTATAATGCTTTCCAAGTGTTCCCTCACTAATGTATTTCTCAATGAAGGAAGTATCTTTTGGATCCTTTGGAGAACAGACTTAGGGGCTAGATGCATATGACATATCCACTTCAACATTTTTATCTCCCTAAGTCTATGAATCATTTCTTCTACACAGCACCAAGGAATTTCTGGTATCTCAGCTTCATTCAGCACAGTCCATAGCTGAGTTCAAGTTATACTTAACCAAGCAAATAATTAGAACCATTTTCAGCTGTCTAAGCTAGCATATTAAATCTGGATTCTCTGGTACCTGTACCCATGTCAGTAAATTTAGCATGATCCTAAAATTATGGTCCTTCCTTCTGGTCTAGAAGTCCCTCAGAAATCATTTCCATGCATATTTCCCAGATTTTTGCCAGTATAAAATCTTACAATTCTTTAGGTGTGTAAGCCTTTTCCTCCTGGGTTTGACTGTAATTGGCTCCCTAGGCATGTTGGGGTCTGACTTGATAGTGGGTCTGGAGGCAGTGAAGAGTGGTAAGGGTGAAGCACAGGGAGCACTGGAATCCCCTGGCACAGTATATTTCAGGTGAGGTTAACACGGGGTGTCCAAGCAGGTGAGATCAGCCTTATCAGATGGAGGAGAAGGAGCTGCTTCTGCTGAACTGGGAGGCTCAGTGGAATTTTGAAGTTTGGGACTCATGGTTATCCAAATCTTCCCAAATGTTGCTATTCAATTTTGGGGAGTCCTACCTTTTCACAGCGATGCCCTAAATTCATAGCCCTGATGAAGCTGTGAATTCAACTTACGCTCTAATTCAGCAGACCACAGAATCTAACTCTGTATCTAATTTTCAGCTACGAGGACTCTGTAGATATGACTTTTAGGATTGTCACAGAAATCTGTTAGGTTTCTGACAATTTAAAAGCCTGAAACTGCTGTTTTCTTTAAGTTCTTCAGTGAAATTAATAGCAGCCAGGCCACCTCAGAGTTTTGAATTTTGTATGGCAATCATGCTATGCTATGGCCCCACCACTTGGTTTGCCAGAGCCATGCTTTCAATAGGCACTCTATTTAAGGCAACCACAAGTAGTAATTTGACTGTCACAGAATGCCGTGGTTTATTGCTAGTCGTACTAATTTGCTAGAGCTTCCATAACAAAATACCACAGACTGGGTGGCTTAAACATCAGAAATTTATTTTCTCACAATTCTGGAGGCTGGAAATCCTAGATCAAAGTGTCAGCCGGTTTGGTTTCTTCTGAGGCTTTTCTTCTTGGCTTGCAGATGGCCATCTTCTTGCTGTGTCCTCACATGGCCTCACATGGCCATCCCTCTGTGTTATCTGTATCCTCATCTCCTCCTCTTACAAGACACCAGTCATACTGGATTAGGGCCCACCCTAATGACCCTATTTTAACTTAATTACCTGTTCAAAGGCTCTGTCTCGGAATAGTCACATTCTGAGGTATGGGGGGTTAGGGCTTCAACATATGAGTCTGGTTGGGGAGGGTAGTATTCAGCCCAAAACATTAATATCTCACCGCCTAATGAAAACCAGGTCCTCACTGCCTTCAAATCCAAGTAGATCAGCTAACTAAGCTCAGATTTCCATCCTTGAGGGTCTGTTGCTTATACTCATTCTGATATCAATGACTGTGTTAACCAAAACTCAACTGCAGATAACAGAAACAACTCTGGCTATTTTAAGCAGAAAGTAAATGACTTAATATGGAGGAATTATTAGCTTACAACATTATGGAAGGTTTGAGGTAGCAGGTTCCTGGCTGAGTGTCCAGTAATGACTCCTAGAACAATACTGCATAATTGCAGGCCAACAGAACTTCTCTCTTAGCTGGAATCAGGAAGCTGGGTAATCAGAAGTCAAAGTGGCAACTGGTGGGCTCCAGGATCATGCCAACTTAGCTGCAATCCAGAGACTGGGAAACCACTGCCCTAACTAGTGGCTCTAGAGTCATTCTATAACTGCTGATGCACACCAGCAAAATGGGAGACTCAATTCTGAAATCAAGATAACTGTAAGTGCATCTGATTGGTGGAACCTGAATTACATCAGAAACTAGCTATATGGGAGTCTGGGAAATGGAGAAATGTAGTTTTTAGTTATTACAGTAGCCAAAGGTCCTCTAGAAAAAGGCTGAAATAGAGGCAAAACTAATATACCACATTTACTACACAATGCTAATATTACCCTGACTCCAAAACCTGGCAAAGATAGCACAGAAAAACTATAGACTAATGTTACTTATGAACACAGATGTAAAAATGTTAAAGGTCTACTAGTAAAATGAATCGTCCAGGAGAGTAAAAAATAATGTAATGTGACCAAGAGGAAATACACACACACACACACACACACACACACACACACTCTCTCTCTCTCTCTCTCATTTGCCAAACTGCAAAGCTATGAGAATAGTCCCTTTTTAATTCTTATTTCCTAAGTTCTTAGCCTATAGTAGTGGCTCAGTGATATATTTTAAATTTATGATAGTTCTAGCATAGCTAAATTAATTTCTCCTTATAATTTATTAGCTTTTTTTTGGCTGTGTCAGGTCTTAACTGCAACACGCAGGATCTTTGTTATGGCATGTGGGCTCTTTCGTTGCGGTGCACAGGCTCTTCGTTGCAGCACGCGAACTTCTCTCTAGTTGCCGTGTGTGGGCTCCAGAGAGCATGGGCTCTGTGTTGCAGCGTGGAGGCTTAGCTGCCCTGCAGCATGTGGGGTCTTAGTTCTCTGACCAAGGATAGAACCTGCGTCCCCTGCATTGGAAGGCGGATTCTTTACCACAGGACCACCAGGGAAGTCCCATAATTTATTAAGTTTTTATTAGATTTTCATGGAAAAAATAATCTACATAAAACTATGATAATGATGTAGTGAAAATTAAAGCATCTGGCATAATCTTATATTCCCTTAGTGACATGATATAAAGAAAATAACAAACCAACAGACAGAACCAAGTTAAAATATCACCGGAAAATGTGCTGAGAACTGATGCAGATTCTGCAGGTACATGAAAAATGCTTTAATCCCCAAAGATTTTTTTTCCACCTAGAAACTGATCATTAATTTATCTCTGACTCTAAGACAGATTATATGTTAGACTTCTGAGACTGCTGTTAATTAAAAGTGAGTCAGTCTAACTGTATAAATTACTGTAAGCATGGGAGTTTTGCTAGTACATTGGATCTCTGGAGCCCTGCTGTTCATCTGAGTGAGTCAATTAAACAGGTCTCCTGCTTGCTCCCAAAGTCTGGCTGATAAACCGCTTACTTTGTCAGGAGGAGAGAAGATCAGAAGCTCTGCTTCTCCCCATTAATAAGTGCTGATGAGTCAAATGGTGGAGGAAGAGAGTACAGAATGGATAGCATCAAAATGGATAAATTTATCCCCAAATAACTAAAAACTAACTCTGCCAATGGTTGTATCTTTGAAGAAACAAAATAAGAGACTCATACAAAAGCTGCTACTCAAGGTATGATAGAAGAATATATTGAGGGTGTATCCAAGGTAACGTGTTTCTTGGCTTACCTTACAGTGCTTGGCTTGCTTGTGAGGACATCAGGAACTTCATACCTGGGTTTCAAGGGTGTTTCTTCATTGATTTTAAGCCTGAAAATATTTCCCTCTATACCATAAACTTCAGCCAGGAGAGGAACCTGGGAACACACACGCGATTAGTTTCAACAGATTACCCAGGTCAGTTCTACAAATTATGATAATTAGAAAACTATGTTTAAATTATTATAGGCCAAGCAAATTGGAGAACAATGGCAATCATGAAGGAAAGCCTTTCCAATCTATATGTACTTGCTTGGCTCTATCTGTAGTAGAAACAAACATCTCCTATGTGTTCTATGGTTAGGCAAACATATAATTGTCCAGACCAGGACTGTTAAGAGTGAGAGGGCTCTCTATTAATAACGATAGTGGATGACAGGCATAAACTGAAACTGCCCTTGGAAAATTGGGACATGTGGCCCACTGTATCTATGATACATATCTAAGATATGTACAGGTATCTTAAGAATAAGTGTTTGGTGTTAAAACTAGAGTAACTGGATTCCAGTTGAACGAAAGATGAAGGGTAACAAGGACAATTAGCCTGTCCAGGTATGCTTCTGATTGCTTGGCCAGTTCCCCAATAAGCTGCCTGTTCCTGGACATTTCTGCAGAAACAGTCCTGGTTAACAAGTAGTAGTTGTTCCTCATCTGTTGAGGAGGTGGCTGGTTGGGCAAAGTCCCATTGCTTAGATGAAGACGCAAGGGATAACTTCATGGAGGTGCTCAGAGATATCCCTGCATCCTTGGAGAAGCTGCCAGAAGTGTTGCCACCAGTGAAAACTTGCAAACAGGCTGCAAAATAAACATTTTGCCAAATAGTTCATCCATGTCATGAAAAAGCATAAAAATTAGCAATATAAAGTAGGTCAAAGACGTAGGTCTGTTCAAATAGCCTTGCTAGCAGTGCTTTTTAGGTACACTCAGAAGATAGCATAAATTTCCCTGCTCTGGTGTCACAAGACTAGATCTTCTCTTTTTCTCAATCCAGGTCAAATTTTGACTGGAGGTAAAAAATTGATAGTAGTAGGAAAAAAAGAGGTCTAAAAAAGCAGTCAACACTTTACTGATAACTCCTTTAAGATTATTTTCTGGAAGCTTCTTTATCAAATATCTGATTATTTTGTCATAAGAAATAGGACCCTATGTGAGAAAACTTAGGGATCTGAACCTGCAACCAGCTTTTCTTCAAAGCCTAGATGTCCTGACCTAGAGGCAACACACAGGGCAACACTTCAGTTTGTTTTGTAACATTACTGTGTCCCAGGAACATCATGTTTGCTATGGACTGAATTGTCCATTGTCATTTTCCCCCCTCCCCAAAGCTTCCCCATTCTCCAACCCTTCAATTCATATGTTGAAGCCCTAACCCTCAATGTGATGGCACCTGGAGATGGGGCCTTGGGAGGTGTTTAGGTTTTGATGAGGTCATGAGGGTGGAGTCATGATGGGATTACTGCCTTTACAGGAAGAGACCAGAGAGTTAGCTGTCTCTCCATCATGTGAATATACAGTTGACCCTTGAACAGAGATTTGAACAGCATGGGTCCACTTATACATGGATTTTTTTTCAATAAATACTTACTATAGTACCATACAATCCTTGGTTGGTTGAATCTGTGGATGTGGAACCATGTATACTGAGGGCTGACTGTGAAGTCATACTTGGATTTTCCACTGCTAACCCCTGCGTTGTTCAAGGGTCAACTGTACACTAAGGAGGTGACAGTCTACAGGGCAGGAAGTGGGACCTTGATCTAGGACTTCCCAGACTCCAGAACTGTGAGAAATAAAGGTTTGTTAAGACACCCAGTTTATGTTATAGCAGTGTGAGCTCACTAAGACAACGGTGAATGAAACTTGGTTCTGTTTCCTGGTTGCTTATTAAGTAGCAGGTTGGGAGAAGGGAATTGGGAAGAAGGATTTCAAAAATTAACAACAGGGCTTCCCTGGTGGCGCAGTGGTTGAGAGTCCACCTGCCGATGCAGGGGACACGGGTTCGTGCCCCGGTCCGGGAAGATCCCACATGCCACAGAGTGGCTGGGCCCGTGAGCCATGGCCGCTGAGCCTGCGCGTCCGGAGCCTGTGCTCTGCAGCGGGAGAGGCCACAACAGTGAGAGGCCCGTGTACCGCAAAAAAGAAAAAAAAAAAAATTAACAACAAAGCCTGACAACAAAATTATTGCTTTAAGAGTTTTAATGGTGTGAGGGCAGGTAGGCACTAAGAATGCTGGGTTTGTCAGAATCTGCCTCATCAGTGAAATCTGAGAACTGCAGCTGTGAGCTGAATATGATCCTCTTAGACTTTGGGCTCTGTCTCTCTGAACCTGAAATAAAAAGCTATCATTCTAAATAAGTGGATGTACGTGGCTTTTTAAAAATCTCCAGACCATATCCATACCATATCCTACTGTGAAATCTCCCATGAAACACCCATCTCATCCCAGAAAAAACCTCTAATGGAGGCTCCTTGACTATGCAGTGAGCAGGATACAAGGTTCAGACAACTTTAGAAATTACTGTTTGGATCTTTGTTGTCCCTATCAAACTGATAGAGGGCACGAAGCCTTAAGTCCCTATTAGTCATCTCAACTCCAAGTGACAAGGAGGACATTAAAATGACATTCAGTTCAGAATTTTAGGGTGACCTCCCAAAACATACATTGCATGCATTTGCCTGACATCAGAGCATGCAGATTCCCTGTGCAGCACTGTTATTTCCAACACCTGAACATTGTGTCTGTTCCAAGGGGACCTCAAAGTTCTCAGTCTTGGGAGCCACGTTGCTGACATCCTGGATCACTTGCCCTTGCTCGTCCGGCTCCTCAGCTCCCTTCTGAGCCATGTGCTGTCTTGCGCTGAGCTCCCGTGGGTCCTCCTGGACTGTGGCTTCTTTTCCTTTGAAGGCATCCATAGCTGGTGGGCTCTGGTTCTGGCACCTGACCTGAACAGCATTGTCCCTCATATTTTCAGGATCCAAAGAGCGGTGTGTACAGAAAAACTGACCTATAGTCTTGTAAAAGGCAGTGTGAGAGGCTCTACCACTAACTTCACTGGTATGGAGCTGCATCGAGAAGTTGCATTTTGGCCCACACTGGTATTCCGAGTGCCTCATTTACTCTGCCTCGGCATGTGTCATCACGACAGTGGATTGTTCAGGTGCTCAACAGACTGAGCCTCCCCAAGGACAGAAAGGGACTGTCCCTGACCATGGGACAGCTATAACTCTCTGGGGCTAGACACATCAGAGGCAAGAAGGAAAAAGAGCAAATGACAGGAAAAATGAGAAAGGAAGGGAACTGACTGCTGGTATTAAAGGCCTACCGACTCCTGGAAGGTCTCTGGTGGACTCCTTGCATTTCCTGGAGCCAGCTGCTTCTGCTGACCCTGAATAGAGGGGTTTGGCGGGGTATTGGGCTATTAGACCACATGCAAATGACGGGTGGCTCTCTAGGAAAGAAATTAATGCTGCCCCATGTTTTCCCATGAACAGCTTTCAAACTTGGCTACAAAAGGATGTAAAGTTTGGGAGACCTGCATCAGTACTCTACCATGAGCTGTGAACTCAAAGGTTGCACAGATGCCAAGCAAGGAGGGAAATTCCTCCAGAAAAAAATGAGTGGTGTTAAGAAGCAGCACTAGGTTTTGAAGAAAGGCTAACCATCCCTTCAGTGTAGTTAAGAGAAAAGAACTAAGTGTGCTGCTACCACAACTACATCCTTAAGTAACCATAAGTTGGGAAAAAGGGATGGGGATAGAGAACACAAACTATTGATATGATTCTAGCCCCTATTTTGAATTCAGGTAAGAAAGCTATGTTAGAGAATTCTACATCTTTGAAGTGACTAAAATCTCTAAAACTTCATATGGAAGGTAGCCTTCCTCACTGTGCCATTGCTCCTCCTGCCTGGGAATAAAGTTGAGCCTCCCGACGAAGTTAGAGACCTTACAAATGTTACACAGAATGCCCTGATGTTGTGGGGCAGTGTTTGCTCTGTCTTCTCCGAGAAGATTCCTCAGTGTAATGTTATACGGAGCTCTACGGTAGTCACAAGATCTCTCACAATGCTGCAGTGAAAGTGGGGATGTCTTCTCAGTCTGCTTGCCAGAACTGGGATTTGTTAGTGAGCTGATGGAATTACTATCTAAGCTGTTATGGGACTAGACTGCATGTCTTTACCTATGTCCTTCAGCGAATTACCAATTAAACCAGATTGGTCTGGGAGGCCTTAGAAGCTTAGGACACCTTTCAAAGACAGGGGAGGATGTGAAGTGAGGGTCAGGTTGGAAGCATCAACTACTTGTGCATAACCACACTTCCTAGCCCGGCCCACAGCACTTCCTCTGTGACTGGCCCATCTGAAGTAGTGTGAAAATTTGACAGATGAGAAAAAGCACTTAGGATACTGCTCTAATCCTTTTAGCATGTAACAACTATGGTGATCTGTTAGTGAAGCAGCCTAGGGGTGGGAACATCTGTGACTTATTCAACTGCATAGACCATTGTTCCTCTTGCCCACTCACATTTTGAGGTTTGGACATTCCCTGAATCTGTACCTTGCTTGAGGTATGTTGTATAATAGTGATAAAAAGAGCATGGGTGCGTGACAGAGTCTACAGTCACAGGTGAAAATTCTGGTTACTAGCTATGACTTTGAGCAAGTGGCTTTTTAGACTTCAATTTCCTTATCTGAAAATTAGGGACAATGCAATGTACCTCTTAGATGATTCTGAAGATTAATTAATAGGAAATAACATTCGCAAAACATCTAAGAAAGCATCTGATACAAGGCAATCTATATGTTGATAGTCATATTACTTTTAAAGTAGCATTGTGTAGATATTAAAAAGATGGCATTACTTCTCTCACAAAGTTTGTTTTTGAAGCATACATAGTTTAATTAGCCTTTGTGGAAATTTACTTCATTCAACCCAAATAAATATAGAAACAAATAATTCTCTGTAGAAAATACTTTTTCTCACCTTAGCTGCTTCATTGATGATTTGGAACCTGGTGCTCTCTTTGCCTTCTGTGACTGAGTCTAGTAATGCCCAATAGGTAGACTTCTTGGAGAGCCGCTGTTTCTGACGCCTACAGATTTGGAGTATACAGACGTCTGAGAATGATTTGTGATTCTCAGCCTCCAAAAGACTATATTACCATGTGGAAGTCATTAAAATTCACTTCAATAGTAGGTGAACTGGGCACAAGCAGTATATTAGTACTCCAATAAAGCACTAAGAGGAGTATCAATAATTTAGAGAGCTAAGAAAATTAATAAGCAGAGTGCTAATGCAATTAATAAAATAATAAGAAGAGTACTAATAAAATTGTTCCCCATAACACTACTCAAGGATGGTATTTTGTCCCCTTTATTGAGAAGGTGGGGCAGTTTTCATAGATGACACATATTAGCTTGTTGATGTCCCTCCCTCTTTCCATGAAATGTATACTTTAATTGAAACTTAATAAATTTTAGTGGAAATCCAATATAATCCAGTGGTTTGTCAAGGTGACCAGGAGTTCACTATAGAATTCCCTCTAAGGTACCTGTTCAGAATTAAAATGATATGATTTTCTTTCTCTAGAGTTGTGTGTATAAATTAGAAAGTTGTATGATATAATTTTTGGTGATTTCAGTTTCAGGACCACATAAAGGTAGACACTCAAAAAAATTTTAAAGAAATATTTTTTGAGGCTCTGGGGAAATAGGCAATCATATAGTGGTGATGGGAGTGCAAAATGACACAATCTCTATGGAGGGATATCTGGTAATAGTTAAAATTTCAAATACATTTACTCTTTGACCTAGTAATCCCACTCCTGGAAATTCATCCTACAAATATACCTGCGTGTGTAGGAAATGACATATGTATAGCTTTTCACTGTGGCAGTGATGTTACAGCAAGACTGAAAACAACCCAAGGGTCTAGCAATAGGAGAGTGAATACATTATAATTTACCCAATGGAATACCATACAGCTATGAAAAAGAGGACAATTTCCATATACTCATACAGAGCTCTTCAGAATAAATTATGAAGCAGAAAAAAAGATGTATACAACAGTGTATATAGAAAGCTACTTGGCCTAAGAATGGTGGTGATATAAGAATATGTGCATTCACAAAAAGAAATACTGGAAAGATAAATAAGAAATTAATAAATCTGGTTACTTACAGGGAAAGATGTTGAATGGGGTGGAAGGGGACAAGAGAGTAAGTAACATTTTTCAATGTGTATCTTTTTATATTATTTGATTTTTGAACCATGTAAAAGTATTATTTCTTCAAAGATTCAAAATTTTAACGTTAGTTGAAAAACACTTTGACTTTTAAAATACCTGTTTATTAACACAGTAATGTTAATTATAATGTATAAGTATACAATATAATTAATTATAATTAATAACATATTAATAATAAAATGATACAGGAGTTAAGCTAGAGTAGTAAAGGTGAATTTCTCCTGTCAATAAATTATTTAATCACTGAATTTCCTAATCGACTCTTTCCTCAGAAAGTCTATCAGTTCTCAAAAATTTAATAAACATCAATTTTGAAATATTTTCAGAACTATTCTATCTAGGTCATATACTTCCTCTTCTTACCTGTAGAAAGCAATCTTGCTGCAGTCTTTGAAAATGTTTTTATCCACAGCTTCATCTTCAACGCTAATAAAAAGACATTTTAAGAAACTTATTTTATATAGGGTTTGTGAATCCAAATTTTGTACTTTCTCTAACTATAATATAAATCATGGGACATAAATCATTGTGATGCAAAATTGTGTCATGGCCATAACACAATAATGTGTTTGCTGCAGAACAACATCCTTTTGTAAACCACCCATGGTAAACAACAAAACATGAAGTTCTGGGATTGCTCAGAAAGCAACAGAAAAAGAGTACTGTCACTTATGAGAAAGGGTTCTTTAAAATGAATGACTGAAGGCTATGGCTACAACAATAAAATCTGAAGGAGTAAAAACAAAAAGCCCCAAACCGGACCAACAAAAACAACCCTCCCACCTACTTATTCAACAAAATATTTTCAGAACTTTCTTGCTGAGTGTTGGGCTCTGAAGAAGATAAGAAGTACTGTGTCTGAGTTTTCTTTGACAGCCTAACCAACATCACAAATCAACCTGACAAATGATATAACAGAGGTATGTACGAGGTGCTAGAATAAGGATAGAAACAGAGAAGGAAAATCCTTTGCTTTTTAAGATGATGCTGATAATCTAGGGGCCAATGTTTTTTATTTCTTATTTATTTTTAACATCTTTATTCGAGTATAATTGCTTTACAATGGTGTGTTAGTTTCTGCTTTATAACAAAGTGAATCAGTTATACATATACATATGTCCCCATATCTCTTCCCTCTTGCATCGCCCTTCCTCCCACCCTCCCTATCCCACCCCTCTAGGTGGTCACAAAGCACAGAGCTTATCTCCCTCTGCTATGCGGCTGCTTCCCACTAGCTATTTTACGTTTGGTAGTGTATATATGTCCATGCCACTCTCTCACTTTGTCCCAGCTTACCCTTCCCCCTCCCCGTATCCTCAAGTCAATTCTCTAGTAGGTCTGCATCTTTATTCCCATCTTGCCCCTAGGTTCTTCTGAACATTTTTTTCCTTTTCTTTTCTTTTTCTTTAGATTCCATATATATGTGTTAGCATACGGTATTTGTTTTTCTCTTTCTGACTTACTTCACTCTGTATGGCAGACTCTAGGTCCATCCACCTCACTACAAGTAACTCAGTTTCGTTTCTTTTTATGGCTGAGTAATATTCCACTGTATATATGTGCCACATCTTCTTTATCCATTCATCTGTTGATGGACATTTAGGTTGGTTCCATGTCCTGGCTATTGTAAATAGTGCTGCAGTGAACATTGGGGTGCATGTGTCTTTTTGAATTATGGTTTTCTCAGGGTATATGCCCAGTAGTGGGATTGCTGGGTCATATGGTAGTTCTATTTTTAGTTTTTTAAGGAAACTCCATACTGTTTTCCATAGTGGTTGTATCAATTTACATTCCCACCGACAGTGCAGGAGGGTTCCCTTTTCACTATACTCTTTCCAGGATTTATTGTTTCTAGATTTTATGATAATGGCCATTCTGACCAGCATGAGGTGATACCTCATCGTAGTTTTGATTTGTATTTCTCTAATAATTAGTGATGGTGAGCATCTTTTCATGTGCCTCTTGGCCATCTGTATATCTTCCTTGGTGAAATGTCTATTTAGGTCTTCTGCCCATTTTTTAACTGGATTGTTTTTTTGATATTGAACTCCATGAGCTGTTTGTACATTTTGGAGATTAATCCTTTGTCTGTTGTTTCATTTGCAAATATTTTCTCCCATTCTGAGGGTTGTCTTTTTGTCTTGTTCATGGTTTCCCTTGCTGTGCAAAAGCTTTTAATTAAGTCCCATTTGTTTATTTTTGTTTTTATTTCTGTTACTCTAGGAGGTAGGTCAAAAAAGATCTTACTGTGGTTTATGTCAAAGATCTTTCCAGTTTTGAAGAATAAACTCTGGAATGATATAGGAAGAGATGTACTTAGCTGAACCTGGAAAGCAACCTGTTTGAAATTCATGTGTTAAGAGTTCTAATCACAGGGCTTCCCTGGTGGCGTAGTGGTTAAGAATCCATCTGCCAATGCAGGGAACACGGGTTTGAGCCCTGGTATGGGAAGATCCCACATGCCGTGGAGCAACTAAGCTTGTGCACCACAACTATTGAGCCTGTGCTCTAGAGCCCACGAGCCACAACTACCAAGCCCGCGTGCCACAACTACTGAAGCCCACACCGCTAGGGCCGTGCTCCACAACAAGAGAAGCCACTGCAATGAGAAGCCCGCGCACCGCAACAAATAGCCCCCGCTCACCACAACTAGAGAAAGCCCGTGCGCAGCAACGAAGACCCAACACAGCCAAAAATAAATTTATAAGATAAATAAATAAAATACCACCATGTTAACGTTAAAAAAAAAGAGTTCTGATAACAATTCTTCCGGTTTTGTTAACCATCCTTCAAGTATTTCATGAGAGGCTATTAATATCAATTAATTCCGTGGAGAATTGAGAAGGCTAGAGATTGAGTCCACAAATATAAAATATGCAAATAAGACATGCAATCAAACAATCAATAAAGTCTTCAGGGTCTTCCCTGGTGGTGCAGTGGTTAGGAATCTGCCTGCTAATGCAGGGGATACAGGTTTCAGCCTGTGTGCCGCGGAGCAACTAAGCCCATGCGCCACAACTACTGAGCCTGCGCTCTAGAGCCCGCGAGCCACAACTACTGAAGCCCGCGCGCCTAGAGCCTGTGCTCTACAACAAAGGAAGCCATCTCAACGAGAAGTCCGCGCACGGCAACAGAGTAGCCCCAGCTCCCCGCAACTAGAGAAAAGCCGCACGCAGCAATGAAGACCCAACGCAGCCAAAAATAAATAAATAAAATTTATAAAAAAATAAAGTCTTCAAAGCCAGAATGTTGTTTTCAGGTACTATCTATCCCCTGCTTCCGTGGGCCCTGGGGTCAGTCCCTGCTGGACCACTGGGCCTTTACCTGATTTCCTCTTTCTCAGCTGCGTCCATGGCTTCCCAGTCACTTCACAGGCTCCCAGATCTCAGGCCAAGGCCCCAAGCGATCTTTTAGATTGTCAGTCTTTCTAAATAACCGCCAGCACTTCACCACCATCAAGTTTCTGGGACTTTCATGTCCTTAAGGAGTGACAAATTGACACTTGCTCCCGGGATTTCCAGGCCCAGATAAGGGTTTCTACAGAGATTGATCTGGCAAATTTTTCTTGGTTCTGAGTAGCTGATGAGGAACTGCCTTCATTAGAAACTGAAAAGGTTTTTGCATCCGAGGAGGCGTGTACTCAAAGAGCCCTAGAGGATGCAGACCAAGGGCGTGACAACGAGGAAGTACCGACACGCCCTGCGTGATTAGGGCGAAGCTTCTGCAGATCTACCTCAGTGACTGTCACGCCACGGATACTGAAAACTGACCCACTCTCTCCTGTATTTTAGTTTTGAGTAGGAAGTGCCGGCGGGGTTGTTGCTGGAGGTTGATGTTCTCCGACCAAACTCTACATCATACTCTTCACGGATAGAAGGGTCTTTTAAAAGGGGTTGTCTACTACATTACTCCGTTTAGGAAGGCTTATACTCCACCACCGCCAAACTCCAGTCTTTGCTTAAATACCTCCGGAAACCGAGTACTCACTACTACACGCTAAACAGGCAGCCAGACTTACGGCTTTCCCAGACTTTTGGCCCCAGCGTCTGACTCAAACGATGAGGGACTGGGGCGAATGGGAGGAGGAGAGAGCCAAACGCCACATGGGGTTCTTCCCTGGTCCCCAAACCCTTTAAGGGAGAGAGAAGAGCCAACAGACTCGGCTGGTAACTTTTGCAGATCATCCTAACACTCCAAGGTGACCAGGTTACGGCAGGAAGACGCCTGCGCAGTAGGTCCAAAGCCTCATACGAAGCCTGACAACTGCCTGAGGGCGGGGCCGCTGAGTCGCTAAACAAACAAGCCACCAGAGGTTTTGAGGACCCGGATTATCCCGCCCCCAGAGAGGAGCCGGAAGAGGGCGGGACGAACCGGAAGAAGGTGAAATGCTTTCGGTAGGCACTCCACGGCTGTGAAGATGGCGGCGGCTGCGTGGCTTCAGGTGCTGCCTGTCATTCTTCTTCTCCTGGGGGCTCAGACGTCCCCATTGTCGCTTTTCAGTGTAGGACCGGCACCCGTCGCTGCTGCCGACCGATCCAAGTGGCACATTCCGATACCGTCGGTGAGTGGTCACTTCAGGAGCAACTGAGCCCGGAGGAGCAAGGGGTGGGGCTACGGTAGCCCAAGGGGTCCATGAAGGTTCCACTAAAGTCCGCTTCCAAAGGGGTGGGATTGCCGGGAGTGTCTGTGTAGCTGCTTAACCGGGACTCACCTCCCTGGAGCGGGAAGCTGTACGCTTCTTTGGGTAAATTAGCAGGAATGTCAGGGTCAATTCAGGAGCGGAGAGTGGCGGTGGAGCGGTTTCTTATCAGCAAAGGCAGAGAACTTTCATTGTCTGACTGGAAACGTGTAAACTTGATGTATAGGTGGAGAGTGGTTTCTCTTTCAGCAGAAGTTTCACAGAATCTTGTGACCCCGGGTTGGATGAGAGGAATATGTAAATAGACATCTTTCTTTTTTTTTTTCTCTGCACTTTTTTGTTACTGGATAATTCTACTTACGAAGTTGGTTGATTTCATTTGGACTTTGAAATGGTTATTCTAAGCCCTGCCGTGTAATTAGGAAGCCTAGGTATTTAAAATGATGTATTCAAACGTGAGAATGTTTAAAACGGAAGAAACAGTATTCTAAAATTTCTTATGATAAGTTCGTTTTTCTTAAGGATAATTAACTGGATTGGTTGACCCTTTCTTCCCTTTACCACGTTTTTGAAACGTCGTTTGAGTAAGAGCTATAGTGCTGTGAGCCGACAAATCAGATGCTGGCTGGAAATGCCGAAAAGCATTAGTCTTATTAAAACCACGGTAGCCTTTTTGTTCTGCTGTGCTCACTGGTTGTAATGCCCAAATCTTATTTGAGCTTTTGATATGGTGAGAATTACAGCTTTTGTTAATTTGGTGACGATGTTCAGATTCTCAGTTTTAGGTATTTATTTGTTACCTGTAAAATGGTTAATAGTTAAATATGGCTGTCTGCTCATAGAATAGTTTATTTGAAGAAATGATTGGTTATTCTGGACGGTGATTAGTGAGTAAAGGGAATGAACTGATTAAGGAGGACCTTTTAGAAAGATTTAAGTTAGGTTAGGATTTCTAGCAGCCTTCCTTCTGGAGTACTTGCTTCATGGCCTGTGGAAAAAAGAAAAAACTTGTCTCTGCACCAAGCTTCAAAATCCTGCAGTTTGGATATGGTTGAATTTTACTAAAAGGAAGGATATTGATGCCTTTTTTGGTGTGTGTGTTAAGAAAACTAACGTCAACATTTTATAAATTTTAGCTTTTTATATCAGTTATATTCTTTGGGAATTAAAGTGATCTGATGCTAATTATCTCTCCTTTATCTTTGCAGGGGAAAAATTATTTTAGTTTTGGAAAGATCCTCTTCAAAAATACCACTATCTTCCTGAAATGTGAGTTTTTGCATTTCATGAAGTTTTTATTCGAGTTTTTGAGTGATCTTTAAACTTTCAAATTACCTGTTTTCTACCTCTGATGATTTACTCTCAACATAAGTTCTGAAATTTAATAGTCAAGCACTATCTAGGTATAAACCTATGTAGTGTAACTAAGGTCCTTTCACAGAATAATCTTTAGAATACTTACTTTTATGAACTTTATTTTCTTCTCTTGTTTTTCTGGTGTTAACAATATATAGTTAGACACATTGTTTTGGTTGATCGCCTCCATGGGTTTTAATCTGTTCTGAGTCATAGAGATAACTGCCGATTTTGTTTTTGTGTGCTTGTTAGATGTTTACTGGACACATGACCTAGGTTTGTCAGACCATTGGCTCTGAACAAATATGTTCAGTAAAGCTTTTGTTTGCTGAAGGAGTATTTTACCACTTGGATCTTTGGAAGAGGAAGCTCAAAGATAATTACCAGGAAATAGGGATAGTAGAACAAAACCAGTCTGTCCAGTGGGAAAACCACTGTATCTGAATCCAGAATACCCCATTGTGCATTAAAGAAAAGCTTCCTTTTATTTCTGAAACTGGCTTTATTTTTAGAGAATGAGTGATCACGGGCAGCTCCATTTCAAGATCAGGAATAAAAATCCAGATCATCCATGTGTGCTCCTATGCATATTTCTCTCTATGAAAATGCAAAGTATGTCATAGTTGGATGATTTTATTCTTTTAATCACTTAGTAGGTAGTTACTGAACACCTACTATGTATAGTGCCAGGCACTGTTTTAGACAGCAAGGAAGTGATAGAAAAGACCCTTTCTCTTATTGAGATTATAGCCTGGTGGGATGGAGGGGTTAGGTAGAATTTCTATGAAGAATGTACTGTGTCCATGAAAATACGATCTCTTGGCTGATAATTTAAGTTTGATTTAAATCAAATCTACTCTGACACGCTGGTATTTCTTGTGAGGTTGGCTTTCTAGAAAAGAAGAGCTTTTAGGGATAGCAGTATTTTGTCTTTTGAGATACCCTGACAGCCTGTATGCTATTCTGTCCTTTTATTTTGTACAGTTTCTTCTTACCTGTATTTTGTTCTAATGGTTTTTCTAGTGGTTTTTGGTCAAGCTGCATATTTTGAAGTGTCTGTGTTTCGTTGTTTTTGGAGGGTTTGAAGCTTCTTAAAATTTGCATTGTCTTTCACTTTGTTACTTCTGTGTTTTCTCATACTTACCTTGTCTCTGATTTTATGCTTTTGTGGGTATGGTATACAATAGATTTCCATGAAATTGGCAGGGCCATTTTCTTTTCTTTTCTTTTCAAGCCTAAAATTACAATTTTTCACCTACATTAAAAATGTCTGTTTTGGAGAAAGAAGTGAGATTTGCTCAAAGCTTGGAACTCCAATCCTTTCTAGAGGTAGCCACTTCTCCCTTACACCTGCACCTGGCTCATGTAAGATTCTTAGGGACTAGACCTGCCAGCCAAGGGAAGGTGAGGAATGTGGCAGGACCATTTTCATTGTCTCTTAAAGCCATTCATTTAAAGTTCTTTGTGTTTTGGGAGTTCCCTGATGGTACAGTGGTTAGAACTCCGAGCTTTCACTGCAGAGGGCCAGGGTTCAGTCCCTGGTCTGGGGACTAAGATCCCGCAAGCCTCGTGGCGTGGCCAAAAAAAAAAAATTCTATGTCTTTTAACATAAATAGTAGTATTTTTGCAGGCACATTTCCCTGCAAATCTCCTGTTAGGGCTTTGATTTAATTAATTCCTTTTCTGTTTGGTTCTTCTGAGTAGTTCATAACAAGATTGCAGTATCCTTTACAGCATATCCATACATTCTATCCAACACATCAGATTTTTGTGTATTTTAGCCTTATAAAAGCCTTATAAAAGTTGAGCTTTATAAAAGTGTGCCGCTTAAAATTAGTCTGAGAAAACCACTTAAACCAAAGAAAAGGGAAAGTTTGTAATTTTAGGTGTGCTTCTTTTAAGAACCAAAAGTAGGTTTTTAGATGCAGTCGTGTTTATCTTTGTCACATTTGCACAAAGTATGTATTTCTAGTATATTTTCCCTTCCTCAGCTGGAATCAAAGATAAAAGGAAATACTGACTTCCCCCAGGTGAGACAGTTAACAGTCATATAGTCAGGTTTACACCCCAAGTCTTCAGACTAATGCTTTGGTTCACTAGAATATTGTGCTCCAAAATATGTTGAGTGAGTTATGTGAGGCTTCTATGATTTCATGAGGTTCCTTGAGGCTTCTCTTAAGGTGAGTTTTAAAAAGAATCTAATAACTCTTTTTATCTTTGTTTTTTCTATTCCTGCCTTCCCCAGCCAGGTTTGCTTTTTGTTGATAGTTCTTTTCTATCCAATTTTGATATCTCTCAAGGTTTAAGCCATGAGGTTAATAGCCATGGAACTATTTTTGTTGCCTTGTGACATTCCTAATGTTGTTATTCCTTGACTCTTCAACTAGAATCTTTTTTAAGACTTAAGAGTCTTCAATAATTTGTTACCTTCTGTTCCCCTGTTTGGCCTAACACAGTGCCATGTATCTTTGTATACTTAAGTGCTCTGCTCAGTAAATATTTAAATGATAACAGAAGACTGATTTTAACTTAAGGCTGCTTTATCACTTCCAGGTTTTTTCCCAAGAGAGAACCAGAAATGAAGGTTTTAAGGCATAAAAATAGATACACGGTTTCAAAGGTTAAAAATCCTCAACTGCTTTTTATTTCTGTGAGCAACAATTCTTACTTTTAACTGAAGAATATCTAGTTCTTTTTAAATTTATTACTTCATTACCTTCTGTTTGGAGAAAGGATGGTCTTTGAGTATCTTAGTTTAGCAGGAAACGGGATGTGGGGTAACAGTTTAGGAAAAATGCTTTGTTTTGGGAATTATCTTTTATTCACAAAGATTTCTTCTTTTATAGTTGATGGAGAACCTTGTGATGTATCTTTGAATATAACCTGGTATCTGAAAAGTGCTGACTGTTACAATGAAATCTACAACTTCAAGGTATGGAACATAAAATTACAGACTTTTCTTAGTGTTTAGATATCATCGGGTCCCAACCTGATAGAGGAAAGAGTGTCATGTAGCTATGGAGAAGAACTGGAACTAGAATCATGCTTCCCAATATGCAGGCAAATTTATACTATCAGTTCTCAAACTTATTGGTCTCAGAACTGTGTTTACTTACTACAGACCCCAAAAAAGCCTTTATTCATGTGGGTTACTGAATTAGAAATTATAACAGAAAAATACAGAAATATTTATTAATTTGTGAAAA